ATAACCAACGCCGGCATACTCGTACGAGACATTGGCCGTGGCCTGGTCGATTTTCCTGCCCTGCGCGGCGGCGACACCGTGTACCTGTGTTGGCAGCGTGGGGAACCCTCCATTGAGTGGTGGCATCCCACCGACACCGGGTTCAGTAGCCGGCGTTCGCTGTAACCCTGCCAGCAGGGTCGAGTGATCACCGTGGGGACGGCGTTATTGTTCCCCAGACTCGATTGACGCTATCGCTGTTCGGATTTCATCGGCGTGGACGGCGTAGAAAGTTCCCACGACCAAACCACCGTCAGCCGAATGCCGAGCCGCCGCCCTTACCATCCCGACCACCTCGCCTTGTCGGTTCAACACCGGGCCGCCGCTGTCACCCGGATCTATGGCAGCATCCATCTCCAGGTTCCTACCGTAGCTAGCGGCGCCAAAATTGGTTATCTGAGACAAAATGCCGGCGTTCGCCTTTGGTGACCCTACTGTCCCCAGGCGCTTCACGCCGCTGCCCGAATAACCCAACGCGAGCAGGTCTTTGGCGATATCGTCGATCGTGGCGTTGCCCATCGGAAGCGGCATCGCCCTGGGGTCCAACGCGGCTTGGGCCGGATCGTACCGTAACAGTGCCACATCTCGAAGATGGTCGGAACCCACGACATCGGCCACAAAGGTCGGTGCAGTGGCCTGCCGTACGATAACCTGCCGCCGACCTTCGACCAGGTGGGCGACCGTTACGATCAATCCCGGCTCCAGCAGCCAGCCGGTGCCGTGTTGACGATCACCGGGATCGACGTAAAACACCGATGGCCAAACCCCTCGGTACAGTGGATTCAGGTCGCCAACAGGTACGTCGGAATTTTTAACGGCAGCCTTTATCCCGTCTGCGATCCGTGTGGCAAGTTCTTCATCCGTTGGATTGCATCCGGCGGTCAGCAGGAGTGCGAGCGCTATCAATCCGGCCAGCGCGATCGATTTCTTGCCCCGGCGCAACCGTGTTAGATGAACCTGGCCTGCTCCCGAGGGGCGTCGGCGTAATCGATGTAGACGGTGATTACCTCACTGAAAAAATCTACCGCTTCCACTCCCTGTTCTCGTTGGCCCACCCCCGATGCCTTCAATCCGCCAAAGGGCAGGTGAACCTCGCCACCGAGCGTTGGCGCGTTGACATGAACCATACCAGCGTCAACCGTGTTGATATATCGGAACGCCCGCGGTATGTCTCGGGTGTAAACGGAGGAAGAAAGTCCGAATTTTACGCTGTTGGATATCTCGACGGCGTGATCCAGGTCCCGTGCCCTGAACACCGTGAGCACCGGTCCGAATATCTCCTCCCGGGCAATACGCATCTCCGGCGACACGTCGGTGAAGATCGTGGGTTCCACGTACCAACCTTCGTCGTAAATGCCGCCCGACAGCGTGCGTCCTCCGTAGGCCAGCGTTGCCCCTTCTGAAGCCCCGGTCGCAATGTAGTCCGAAACGGTACGTTGTTGAGCCTCGCTGGACAACGGGCTTATATCAATACCGTCTTCCAGGCCATCCCCAATTGTCAGCTTTGAGGCGCTATCGATCAGGCGGTTCATAAACTCATCGTAAACGCCATCTTCCACGATGACCCGGCTGGTTGCGGTGCACCGCTGCCCGGTGGACCCGAAAGCGCCCTGAACGATTCCGCCCAACGCTTTATCCAGGTCGGCATCCGCCAGCAGAATGACGGCGTTTTTGCCGCCCATCTCCGCCTGCACCTTTTTCAACAGCGACGCGCCCCGGGTGTACAACTCCGTACCGATTTCGGTACTGCCGGTGAAGGAGATGCCCGAAACGTCGGGCGATTCCACCAGAGCGTTACCCACACTACCGCCTGGCCCCGTTATCAGGTTCAAAACACCGGGGGGCACTCCCGCCTCCTCGAACACCTCCACCAGTTTTACTGCAGACAACGGTGTGGAGGAAGCCGGTTTGAAGACCATGGCGTTGCCACAGATGAGCGCCGGAGCCATTTTCCAGGCGGGTATCGCGATGGGGAATTCCAGGGAGTAATGATGCCCACCACTCCCAGCGGGCGGCGCACGGTGTACGCAACGGTGTTGGGCAGTTCGGACGGGCGTAGTGTATCCGAACATGCGGCGACCCTCGCCCGCGGCATACTCCATGATGTTCATCGCCCGTTTCACTTCACCGCGCGCGTCGGGCAATGGCTTGCCTTCCTCTTCGGTGATCGTGCGAGCGATTTCTTCCCCGCGGCGTGCCATGATTTCCAGCGCCTTGAAGAGCACCTGCGCACGCACCGGAGCCGGCGTGTCTGCCCACCCGGCTGCGGCGTCAGATGCCGCGGCAACCGCGCGAAGAGCATCCTCGGGGTTTGAAAGCTGGAAATGACCCAGGACGCGGTCCTTGTGTGCCGGGTTGTAAACCGAGTATGTATTGCCAGAATCGGAGGGTGTCCACTTTCCGCCGATAAAATTGTGGTAAGTGCGAACGTCTGTGCCGGTGGTCATCTCTGTCGATGCTCCTGGTTCAAGGGTTGTTCTACGACGATCCGGCCCGCGCAGCATGAGCAAAGCAGGTCCGATTTGTTCCGTAAGTTTGTTCGGTCGTACGGTAACATCGGTAAGGCTGGTCGGGCAAGTGGGCTGGCGGCCATCGATTCCGGTGGGTTAGAATCCGCAGTGCGCACGCCGTTGGCCGCGCCGATCAATCGACGTTGAAAGAATTCGACCAGGGGGGTCCATCATGGCCGCTTACATTATCGCTACCATCGAAGTTACCGACCCGGAGCTCTTTGAGACTTATCGGGCGCAGGTTTCGCCAACCATCGACAAGCACGGCGGCAAGTATCTGGTGCGAGGTGGAGATGTCGAAGTGCTGGAAGGTGACCAGCCAGCCAGACGCACCGTTGTGTTGGAATTTGAGAGCCTGGAAAAAGCCCGCGGTTGGTACTATTCCGAAGACTATGCCGGCCCGAAAGAATTGAGGATCAAGGCCACCGAGTCCAACGTGATGATAGTAAACGGAGTGTGATGGGCTCCCCGTCTCAAGGCGCGATTTGGCCGTCCCATATACGAGGGCCCAAGTTCCCTGTGCCAGAGACCACGGGGAGGGGAACGACCTGTGGGGGTTTCCCCTCCCCGTCAATTGGCGGACAGCGGCGCGCCGGTGGATTAAGCCTCGAAATCGACTCCTACTCCCACGATTTCCACCTGCATAGCCCGCACGTCGGGCGCCCCTGCGTCAAACGTGACGCCGACCACCACGTTGATGCCGCGATCTCACTTCCGGACCGCCGGGAATCTCAAATTTACTGTCCAGGTGATCGCCCTTTAATCCCAGGTCCTGATGCTCCGCGATAATCTTTTCGCCGTCGTATACCAGCACTTCGTGCACCTTGGCGTGAGAGCGCGCACGGAATGCCACCGACACCGATTCTGCCTTGGTGTGGTTGCCGTCATGGACGGTGGGCGTGGGTATGGCGAAATGCAGCCAGGTATTCTGGCCTTCGTTGCCCTCAATTCGCACGAACGGCCCGCAGTGGCGCACCGACGTAATGCGGTTCAAGTATTCTCCGGTCATGGCGGAGCCGTGTACCCAGGAAGTGAATTTTTGACCTGCCATCGTTAGAACCTCCGGCCGAGAGAGCGATTGTCTGAATTTCTGGTCATTATAGCGTTGTTGACGATTCAATGGGTTCTGGCCGGATCGCGTTCCATTTCCAGCAATCTGGTCTTGACATCGAGGCCACCGGCGCCGTAGCCGTGCAGGTTGCCACCACTGCCGATCACTCGGTGACAGGGAACAACCAGAACCAGGCGGTTTTTGGCCATGGCCTGCCCAGCTGCCCGGGCTGCCCTGGGACTGCCGGCGGCATTGGCCAGCCATTTATACGAGCGCGTCTCTCCCGGTGGAATGGTTCGGCATGCTTCCCATGCTGCCCCGTAAAACGCCGAAACTTCTTCCATATCCAGAGTAATTCGAGCCAGAGCGGCGTTGTCGCCACCGAAATAGTCGCCAAATGCGGTGAGTGATTCTGCAAACATCGCCGCATTTTCTTCGGCGATTTGCAGCTTGGCTCCCAATCCGTCCAGCGCTTCCCCGGGATCAGGCTGAAGGCTAACGCGCTGCAAGCCCCGCTCAGTGCCCAACAAAGCCAGCCAGCCCACCGGACACTTTTCCAGGTGGTAATAATAACGAGTCTGGGGAATGTCAATTTTGTTGCTCATTGGTAATGTACTCCAGTGTCCCGCGCCAGCGCTCCAGCTGGTGTCCCGTTTATGCGATCCGGTATCTTACGCCCACCGGCCTCAATCCCGTCAACGGGTCATGTCACTGGCGCGCCGCGAACCAGGCGATCCCCCAACAACTCTAAGTTTCCCGGCGTCTCAGGTGTGAAGAGCCAAGGGTATGCGCAACCCGCGCCAGGCCCTCACAACACTTTCGTCGGGTGAACCCGCAGAGCGTTGGCGGCCCGAGTATGTTTCGCCCACGTACGCATCCACGATTGTCAATATGTCCCGTCGTTGTGCGGGCAACGCAGTGGACACCGTGGCAGCCCACTGGTGTGGAGTTTCGTAAGGCCGGGGACCCAAAGAAGCGAACCGGCTCAGGCGACGCAAACGCCGATAGACGCCAACACTGTTGGACGGAGTGGCCAGCAGCCAGCGCCAGACGATTCCGGCCACGGCTGCCAACAGCGCCGCCGTGGCGGCGATGCCGATGATCCAGGGCAGGCTATTACTCCATACGGTCCGCCACCGTATCCCGCCGTCGGCAAATAACTCCAGGTCTTCATCACTAAATCCCGACTCTATTTCCTCGCATTCATCTTCAAATTCGCACGGTAACTCGCCCGGATCTACGAATTCGTCAAGGGAATTCTGTTCCGGCTGGGCTTGTGGCTCCACCACAATCGGAATGTCTCTCCCCGGAGTGGGTTCAAACGGGATCCAGCCATACCCCTGGAAATACACTTCGGCCCACCCATGGCTGTGGTGGTCAGAGACAACGTACGTTTGCGAATCCCGGATCCGGGTACCGATGGAGTAACCCGTGACCATGCGCGCCGGAATTCCCAGGCTGCGCATCAACACGGTCATGGCTGAACCGAAATACTCGCTGTAACCTTGACGGCTATCGAAAAGGAAGTAATCACGCCGTCCTCACCGAACGGCGGCGGTTCGATCTCCAGGTTGTAATCCAGCGAATTCTTCAGGTATTGTTCCACAGCCACCGCTTTTTCGTGTGGGGTTTCGGCGCCGGCCGTAATCTGGCGGGCCAACTCCGCAACCCGAGGCGGCATGTCAGGCGGCAACTGGGTGTAACGGGTCCAAACCCACGGAGCATAGTCATCGTTTGCGGTATTGAGATCTTCTGCCGTTGCCGTCGACACCGCCGACGTAACCTGGTACGGCACCCCAGAATCGGCGGTGCTTCCCGCGGCTCGCACTGCCAAAACATCGGGCATATTTGGCACGAACTCCCCAACTATGGCCGTTTGAACCACGCCAATGTCATCGCGCTCCACAGATTCCAGCAAGAAATTTGAAGGTAGATTGGCAGCTATGATTTCATCCGCCGCCGCCGGGTCTTGAGCCGTTGCGTCCCTCACCGCCCGCACCGCCATGGCCAATGTGGACGGTATCCCCTCTGGAAGCGCCCCGGCGTAGGGATCAATCACATACCGTGGTGAGTCGAAAGTCTCCAACCGGACGTCACGGTTGGCGCCGACGGTAAGGCCACCCGCAAACAGACTGCGGCTCTCATAATTCGGGACTACCTCAAACGTAACGTTGAACCGTTCTTGATCGGGATCCACTCGGCTGTACTCAGGTTGCCACCCGGGTTCCTTCAGCACCGTGCCCTCCGATAGCCAGCCCTCGTGGGTGTAGGTAGCGTAGGAACGCGCTTTCCAGTACAGGGGAATCGGGGAGTTGATCTGCAATACAGGGGTATCCGTGGGGTTGATTGTCCCCTGGAATGCCATTGCGTCGCCCCAAATCCGATAGGGCAGCGGCTTACGGGCTGGCAGCCCGGCGAACAAACGGTTGAAATCCTCTTCCCAACGCACCAGCGGGGATCGGGTATAGTCGTACACCTTGTTGGCCGGGCCCCATTGGCCGCCCACGGGCAACAGGAACGCGATCAGCAAAGCCACCAATGCAACCAAAACCGTGTCGCTAACAGTCAGGATTCCCAAATGCCCGTCGTAAACGCGCCCCTGGGAATCCCACTGCTGGCGCGCCCTCATTGACTGCAACCAACCAACCAGAAGCAAAGCCGTAAACAGGTAGACTCCCAGATACACGCTGGCCTGGGCTGGCAAAAAAGTCAGATTGGAGAGCAATCCGACCGCCCCCAACGCAAAAACTGCCCAGAAACTCCGTCGGCGGAAAAATAACCACCCACCCAGGAATCCGATCAGCCAGGCCGCAGTCATCAACCCCACCCCAAACGGCAGCGGGTCGACGCTGATCCCTTCAGCGCGGGCAGCCGCGACCCAGGCGGCCAGCCTGCCAAAGAGTTCACCGGCAGATGCCAACCTTAATTCTTCGGGCGACGATGCGGTCATCTGCCAGATAATCACACCACCGCCGATGGCCAGACCGGCGGGTATCAGAACAGCCGCCCAGAGTTTGATGCGGCTCAGCACCAGGGCCGTCAATAATCCGATGCCCAGCACCAGTACCAGGGGTGGCGTCGGGGCCCAGTCTGCCACTTCCACAGACCACACGACGATGGTTAAGTTCAGGGTCAGAAGTCCCGCGGCTGCCCACCCATCCGGCGGCCGAAGGGCCACCAGCGCCGCCAACAGCCGGAACAGGAACGCAGATACAAACGGAGTCCGGCGTTCTGCGGGAGGCCGTTGCGTCAGTCCAGGTGCTGCAGTGGTTAGAGTTGCCATAAAACTACCAGGTGCGGGCCAAGTATAAGCGAATCTGTTTCGCATACCCGGGTGTTGCCAACGTTGTATACGGCTCTCGTTTGCCTGGATGCCCGGATTGTCATGCGAGCTTTTCCCAGTCGCTGCCACGCGCATCGATCAACAGCCGAGTCCATCCAATCAACGTCATATCAATCCGCAGTGACCGGGGAGGTTGATGCGACCGAATGGGATTCCGTGTTGGCGGCTTCCCGCCGACGCTCCGCCGCTCGCTGTATGCCCGTTACCAATGGCGCCGAAAGCGCACGATTCAGATCTTCTCCCTGACGCACCAGGTAAAGGGGAATGTCGTGTTGCGCCAGGAATTCGGCGGTCACCTGCCCGGTTGCACCCGGCGCTGCCCTGCTGTCCAGCGGTACGAAGGACGTAGAATCTATGTAGCAAACCGCCACGTTAACGCCCTGTCGACGCAATCCAACCAGAACCGGCGCCCATTCCATCCTGCGCGACGGTGTAACCACCATCAGCGTGTTGAACCCGGATAAGTGCGGGCGCAGGTCGAAAATGAACCGTTCCAGCGGCGACGACCCATCAGCCTGCACCGCTGCCAACGTTTCCATCAACATGCCCAATTGGGCCGGTCTACGATCGGGTTTCAACATCCAGTGGGCGGACGCGTTCGCCGCCAACCCCACCGGCACAGCACTTTGCTCGAGTCGGCGAATCAACGATGCAGCAACAGTAACCGATAATTCTTCAGTGTTGTCGGGCGGGGCGCCCACGTGGGATCGTCGTTCCATGTCCAACAGCACCCACGCCTGCGCCGACACACCTATATCAAACTCTTTGACCATCAATTTGTTCATGCGGGCAGTGTAAGGCCAATGAATCCGTCGCCACCCATCTCCGGGGTTGTACTCCCGCACCCCGGATGATTCAGGTGTGATTGACATGGCCCGGCGAGACAGCCCGGTGTCGCTGGGCAGGCTGGCAAACCGGTGATCCAGGTTGGGCAGGGGAACCGTTAAAGGCAGCACGGTGTATTGTTGTTCATCGAGGAAAGTACGGCTCAGGCGGAACATACCAAATGGGTCTCGCGCGGTAACGCGGATTCTGCCGGTTCGATACACTCCTCGCCGCGCCAGGTAAGTGGCAATCCTGAACGCGCGTTGTTGGCCCCGCACCAGCGCGATGGTGCGTCCGCCGGCATTGGGTAAATCGGTTTCTTCCACCACCTCCAGCCACGACTTCGGCATTCTCGTCCGGTTGACCATTTGAACCAGGCCTTCCAGGTATCCCCCCACCTGACCGCGCGTATCCAACCGCGTTAATCGCACGCTTATTCCACGCAGATTGAGCCACGCCCATGCGTAGCCAACCAGGGTCAGCAGCACCAACACGAACCACAACCGGTAGAAGAATGCGAATCCGGTGCCCATGGCGTACAGCAGTACAACCAACATCAGCAGAGAGTACTGTAACTTACGTCGGTGTCGCCTTAGCGTTTGCCTGATCATCGTTTGTTAGTGGCTCCTGACTGTCGGAAACGCGGTTGTCTCCACCCCGTTGATCGCCATCATGACCCAACATGCCCGCACTTTACCGGCGAATTCCTCCAGATCGTGCAGCGAAATGCGACTAAAAAATATCGCCTCCAAGCTGTGCCCCACTAGTCGACGGGTGCCCATTAACCTTCCGGATGACCCGTTCCCATGAACAAACCCTTTGCGCGCGTTTTTCAGGTGCCTTATGACTCCCGAGCCGCGCAGTTCAAATAGGAGTAGAACCGGGTTGTTATCCCCTATTCTCAGTTCCCAGGCTCAGGGTTAAGGCCGTGGCCCCAATTATCGAGCGCCGGGCACCGGCACGGTATTGAGCAGTTCGGCCACGAGTTGCTCCGTGCGCACGCCTCGCATCCGCGACGCTGGCGTCAACACAATTCGGTGGGAGAGAACAGAGGGAGCCAACTCTTTCACATCATCCGGCAGCACGTAATCGCGTCCCCGCAACAGCGCCATTGCACGGGAGGCGCGGAAAAGTCCCAGGGAAGCCCGCGGCGACGCGCCCAGTGTGGTATCAACATGTTCCCGGGTCGCTTCCGCCAGCGCAACTATGTACTCCCGAACCAGCCCGTCAACGTATATCTCCTGCGCGACCGTCTGCATTGACAGCACCTGTTCCGGATTCGCCACCGCCTGCATATCCGTAATTGGATGCGTATGTTCCTGTTGCGCGATGATCGTCATTTCCTCGGCAAACTTGGGATATCCCACGCTCATGCGTATCAAAAACCGGTCCAGCTGCGCTTCAGGCAACGGGAAGGTACCTTCATATTCGATAGAGTTCTGGGTTGCTATCACCAGGAAAGGTGGCGGCAGCGGATGAGTAATGCCGTCAACCGTTATCTGACGCTCCTCCATTGCTTCCAGAAGCGCAGATTGCGTCTTGGGCGTAGCTCGGTTGATTTCGTCGGCTAGGACCAATTGCGCGGCGATTGGCCCGGACCGGAAGCTGAATTCCTCGGTGGACTGGTTGTATACCGACACTCCTGTAACGTCACTGGGTAGCAAGTCCGGTGTGAACTGAATGCGGGAGAACGTACCACCGATCGATATTGCAAGCGCTCGGGCCAGCATCGTTTTGCCAACGCCTGGCACATCTTCCACCAGAATATGCCCTTCCGCGATGAGTGCAGCCAGCGCCTGTTCAATTACTTCGTCTTTCCCAACTATCACCGTGGCAATGTTTTGGGCAATACGTCGCCCTACTTCTGTAGCTTCGATGATAGTGGCCGGCAGACCGGCAGGAGCTGAAACAGCGATGTTTTGCACGGCAATACTCCGTCGCTGGGTTAAATGAACCTGACGCCAGTGTAGCATAGGAATGTGGCTGGCATTTCTAATCCCAACGGATCGGGCCCGATTCGTCGGGATGGGACCAGGGTGGGCCCGATAACAGGCCACATCGCCGTTGGGACGGCGAAATCCCGGCGGCTCGCCTCGCTTTCCTTTCTTCACAAAACCGCTCCTGTCTTTATAATGCCGTTCCTGGAATGCCACCACTGACCTTCGCACTGCGGATCGTTCCAGCAATCCGCAATCAGGATGCGGGCGTATACTTATTACGAAACACGGGCACGAACCGGTGTTGTACATATAGCGATTCGCGTGAGGAGTTTTCATGCCGTCGACATTCAGTTCGCCTCGTGGCGTCCTTGTTGCGCTGATAATCGTCCTGGTGACGGCAGCGCTGGCGTGCGGGGCATCCACAGCGCCGGACGGTACCACTGGTCCGGTGGAATCCGAAACCCAAGCTCCGCAGGCGGCAGACGGGCAAACGGTCGAACCCGCATCAGATGCTGCTCAGGGGGAGTCCACTCCCCAGACACCTCCGACGGTTTCGGCAGCGCGCCAATCAATAATCGCGGACATCCCTGAAATCTCCGGCATCAGCGCCTGGCTGAACACAGACGCCGAACTGTCTATCGCTGAATTAACTGCCGAGGGCAAGGTGGTGCTGGTAGATTTTTGGACGTACACCTGCGTCAACTGTATCCGAACGCTCCCTTACCTGCGTGATTGGTGGGCACAGTATGAGGACGATGGCCTGGTCATCCTGGGTATCCACGCTCCTGAGTTCGAATTCGAAAAAGACTACGACAACGTGGTTGACGCGGTGGCCTCCTACGAGATCGGCTGGCCGGTGGCGCAGGACAACGACATGGAAACATGGCGTAACTTCGAAAACCGGTTCTGGCCCGCCAAGTACCTGTTCAGCAGTCGAGGTGAACAGATTTACCGCCATTTCGGCGAGGGTTCTTACGGCGAAACTGAGCAACGTATTCGCGAGGCTCTGGTAGAAGCTGGCGCCGATTTGTCAGACGACCCGCTGAATCTGCCCCAGGATCAGGTGCGAGACTCAGCTTTTCAGCAAGCCGGATCTTCTGGCTCCGCGCCAATAACCCCGGAACTATACGCCGGGTGGCATCGCAATTTCCTCACGCTCCAGGCCGGGCGGGCTCCGTATGTAGCACAGGTGGAGTTCTTCGAATCGATCACTGACCCTACTGACAACGAAAGCACTGGCGTCATTGACGTTACTGTCCCGCAGGACATCAGGCAACATTCCCTATACTTCAACGGGCAATGGTCGGTGGAACCCGAACGCATCCGGCACGCTAGGCAAACCGAAAGCCTGGAAGACTACCTGGCCCTGAACTACGCGGCCAGGAGTGTGAACGTGGTGCTCACCTCCGAATCCGGCGAACCCTACCAGGTATTTATCACCGTAGATGGGTCCATGCTGACGCCCGAAAATGCCGGTTCCGATATCCAGTTCGACGAGAGCGGGCGTTCATACCTGTTGGTGGACGAACCACGTCTATATGCCATGGTCGACAATCCCGAATACCGTCAGGAATCCGTCCTGACTATGCGGTCTAATTCCGACGATTTCGGTATTTTCGCGTTTACGTTCGGCGTTTACTCTGAGGGTCCATGATGCCCCGTTTTCTCGCGCCATCAGTGGTAGTGAGCAGGTTCCTGTTCGGTTTGATCTCGTTGGGAATCGTAGTTGCGTTGGTGGGTTGTGGCGGTTCCGCCGTCCCGGAGGCTGTCACGCCGGACAACACTGCCACACAGAATGAGGCCAACTTGATTCAGATACCCACCGTCGATGCCTCGCGAGAATTCATACGGGCCCATTTGGCCACGACCGTGCTCGATGTAGGCCAAAACCGGATCGCATTCCTCCTTGAGACGCATAAGGGTTTGATCAAGGCCCCCACAGCAGATATATCGATTGCCCACTCGGATGACACGGCGCCGGCGGCTCGGGCGACCGCGAATTTCAATCCCTGGCCGTACGGTGTTCGAGGATCATACGCCACCGCTGTCGATTTCCCGGCTCCGGGGCGTTACGTGCTGACTGCAACGGTCAGTGAAAACGACGTGCAGAGAGCGGTAGCGATTCCGGTTGACGTGTTGGCCGAGACTCCGATCCCATCGTTGGGTGATCCTGCGCCGCCCAGCGCTACCAAAGTATTGGGTGACGGACTGGAACTGCCCCAACTGACCACCGCGTATTCTCCAGACGCCGAGCTGTACCGGCTGTCGGTATCCGACGTGGTTGCCGACGACGTACCGGCTGTCATCGTATTCGCTACGCCCGCCTTTTGTACCAGCCCGACGTGCGGTCCCCAGGTCGACACCGTTTCAGAATTGCGCGCCGCTCACCCCGATACTGCCAACTATGTCCACGTTGAGCTTTACGACAATTCGGCAGAGATTCAGGGCGATCTGAGTAAAAGCCGTTTGGTTCCCGCCGCCGATGAATGGGGATTCACAAGGTTGGAAGACTGGGTAAATGAATCCTGGGTATTTGTGCTCGACGCCGACGGTATCGTTCGGCACCGGTTCGAAGGATTCGCCACGCTCAATGAATTGGAAGCAGCGCTCGCCGATGTGGAAGCCTTTTAATCAGGATCAACCTCTGTTTCACTCATCGAACACACAAAACGCCAGGGAAGTACTACATCCCTGGCGTTTTGTCATGGAGACGGAAACGGCGTGATGGCCGGCGTACCGACGCCGGTTTTCCGTTTAGAGTATGTGGTAAAGCAAATGATGGTCGCGCAAAACATCCTGGGCGAAGTCATTTTCCACATCACGCCACACAGAGTGAATGTGATTGGCGCCGTTTTGGATGTTGTCGAATTCCACGATGAACTGCCCACCATGAATGCGGTAGTAGTGGTCACGGCTACGGTCCAACGCACCGGCCCATACCAATCGGTAGTCATCCAAGCCGGTGTCGCGAATCCTGGCCATTCGGTCGGCGGCCACCGGCTCCGGCACACCACCGACATACTCGGAGATAAGGGTCATCAGCATCTCTTTCTGCGTACCGTTCAGGTCACGCGCCGCCAGACCTTCATCGTTGTGTATGGCCTGCTTACTGCTGTTGTAGCCCAAAATGTCCCACGGCGCATTGTCATGGATAATTGCCTTGCCCCGTTGGCCGGCGTCCAACGATGCCATCAATTCAATGGCCAGGTCTTCGCGCTGGCCCAGAATCCGCTGACCCAGTTTCGGCCCTTTCCGCACTTCGGCGGGGTTCGCGCCCAGGAAAAACGGCGTGACGGCCAGTATCTGGTCGCCCCAAACGCTGTAATGTACGGAAAGATGGTGGCCTTCGGCGCGCCAACCCCAGGGGTCTGAACCGGTGGGATCGCCGAAAACCGTCCAGTAGTAAAGCTCTGGGTCCCTGGGCCACGTAACATGGCCCGATTCCGCTTCCAGAGGACCAAGCACCTCTTCATGCTCGATGATCAGGTTGGCCTGCCGGTTAGTTTCATCGGTCAGACCGGTGGCCAGTAAACTCAGTGCCAGGTTGCGTTGATTCCCATCCATGTCCCGGAGTGGCAATCCGTGTCGGTTCAATGGCGGGTAGTACCAGAAAATCCTTTCGCCATCCATGTAGTGGAACGTTGCCTTGCTGCGTTGCTCGCTGTCGAGGCTATCCATCCAGGCGCTGGCCGCATCGGACATGCTGCTGGCGACCGAAGCGTGGGGGTGCGTGTGCTGAGCCGTCATCGCTGATGACCTCCTGTTGCAGACTGAATATTGAGTGTGCCGCAGTGTATGAGCCTTGCGTCTGGCATGTCAAGAACACCCAGCCACTCACGCGTAACCGCTTTAATCTGTCATTGCGAGGAGCACGGGGCCAACGAGCATACAAGAGCAATGCGCTGATGCCTACGGACGCTGTCGGCGGCCGCTGAACCCTCGATCAGAATTCTAACTGCCGCTTTGGAAACCGCCGATTTGTTCGTCGATCCGTCTGGTTTGCTCTGCGTTTCCAGAGGAAAGGCTGTAACAGCGCTCCAGGTATAGCTGGGCCAGTCGAGCGCCTTCCGCGCTGGTGTCGAACGCGGCAGCAACCAACGCGTCGATGTAAAACTCTTGGGGAAGGAGGCGACCCAGGGCCGCCATTTCCGCGGTAACGTCCGCAATGGTGGCGATATCGTTACCCTCCTGGGCGAAACGCAGGCGACCTAAAAGGCGACTCAACTCGGCGAGACGGTCCCCTTCGCTCATGAACGACCACAGAACCTCATTAACACCCATGCCGTCCGATTCAGCGGCGTCATCCCCCATTACCGGCGCCAACTCGGGTTGAGAGGCGCCCAACGGTATCGACGCGCCGCCCGGCGTCGCATCAGCGGCAGCGCCGATGGACCCTGGCGATACCCGCGCCCAGGCAGATGAATAAGCTTGGACCGCCTCCGACACCGACTCCATCATGCGCGCCAGGTCGTAAGAAAACATGCTGCCGCCGAATACCAGGTCATCCTGACGCAAATTAGCCAGCCGAACCAACTGGTCATAACCACCCTGGACGAGTTCGCCCATGGGCGGCATTGCGAACGATGAAAAATTGGCCAATGGCCCAGCGGCGCCGGTGCCCAAGTGCGACGCCAGGAACGGCGGGACATACTTGGTAAGATCGGCCGTGATGGGCAGCGTGACGATATAGGTACCGTATACCTGGTCGGGCTCGGTTTCGACCCTGAAATATAATAGAGCATGGCCCCGCGGACGTTGAGGGTCGCCGATTTCAAATTGGAGGTCCATTAGAGTTGTTTCCCAAAGCGCCGTTGTAGAAGGCTCGGTTGCTTCAAGTATAGATTAGGCCGGCAGGCTTGGCAAAGATAGGGCGTCATTCGGTTGTTGCGATGAAAATTTGGTGACAGTTTGCCAGTTGCGTACTAATGTTCTCAATTGATACCGTGTTGACGTTCCACCACGGGAACATCGCTAACGCCATAACGTTCGACACCAGAACAGGAGCATCGGCATGCTGGCAACCGCTCAAACCTGCGCCGTCATCGGTCTGGACGGCCAATTGATCCAGGCCGAAACCGACATATCGCCCGGTCTTCCAGCCTTCCACATCGTGGGGCTGCCCGATACGGCGGTTCAGGAAGCTAAAGAACGGGTTCGCGCTGCCGTCCGAAATAGCGGTTGCGAATTCCCAATGCGACGTATCACGGTCAATCTCGCCCCGGCTGATCTCAAAAAGGCTGGCCCTGCTTACGACTTGCCCATCGCTGTGGGAATCCTGTACAGCACTGGTCAAGCTGCTACCACGCTGGAGCCGGCGATATTTCTGGGTGAGCTTTCACTGGATGGCGGCCTGCGGCACACCGCCGGCATTTTGCCTATGGTTTGGGTCGCCCGCGAACATGGAATCAGATCGGTCTACGTGCCGGCGGTGGACGCAGCTGAAGCGGCGTTGGTTGAAGGCATCAAGGTTTACCCGATTGGAACGTTGGCGCAACTGGTAGCTCACCTGGAAGGCCATGCCCCAATCGAACCGTTCCCCAGCAGCGGCGTGCATCTGAACGGCAATCGCGAACCTTCCGACAGCACCGACCTTGCCCATGTAAGGGGGCAGGATCACGCGAAACGGGCGCTGGAAGTGGCGGCTGCCGGGTTCCACAATATCCTGCTGAGCGGTCCGCCCGGATCGGGCAAGACCCTGCTGGCACGGGCGTTGCCGGGCATCCTCCCCTACCTAACCCCCGAAGAAGCGCTGGAAGTAACCAAGATATACAGCGTCAGCGGGAACCTTCCGCCCGACAGCCCGCTGATTGCCCGCCGACCATTTCGCGCTCCCCACTACACTATTTCCAACGCCGGCCTCGTAGGCGGTGGACGCATGATACGGCCCGGTGAGATCACCCTCAGCCATCGCGGTGTCCTGTTCCTCGACGAGCTGCCGGAATTCGGGCACGCCAGCCTGGAGTCTTTGCGGCAACCACTTGAGGACAAAACCGTCACTATCACCCGGGTTAGCGGCACGGTAACCTACCCGGCCAGTTTCATGTTGGTAGCGGCCATGAATCCATGCCCCTGCGGGTACGCGAGCCACCCCCGCAAAGAATGTGTGTGCAGCCCATCCGCCGTCGCTCGCTATCAGCGGCGCATCAGCGGCCCGATGCTGGAGCGGATTGACATCTTCGTGGAAGTTCCTCCCGTCGAATTCGAGAGTCTCCTGGGCGAATCTGTTGCCGAATCTTCCGAGCAAGTGCGCGAACGAGTGATCGCGGCCCGCCACATCCAGGAGGACCGATTCGCGTCTACCCAAAACAGGCCCGCGATTTTCAATGCTGAAATGTCCGGCGCCCGCGTTTGGGAATTTTGCAACCTGGCCGATGATGCTAACGATCTGTTGCGACGCGCGTCGCAACAATTGGATATGTCTGCCAGAGCGCTGCATCGGGTACTGAAAGTCGCCCGTACCGTGGCCGACCTGGCTGGTTCTCAAGCGATTGAACCCGCTCATCTCGCAGAGGCTTTGCAATACCGATCCAGGGGACTGGGATAGTCACGGCTCGCCCGCAGCTGCGCGACTCAACCCGGCTGTTCGCACAGGCAATTCATCTGCATCCCGTTGCCCGATCTGCCTGGCGCCGTTTGCAATTCGTCGCCATGTCCCGGTATCACCGCCGGTTTAGGGAGGCCCCGGCTCTTGCCAGCGCTGGGCCTGCCGACTATCATTACGGCATGGCAGATCGAGAAGTCCGTTACAATTTGGGCGCCGCCCAGTCTATTGCCGCCGAAACGTTTGGCCTCCCGGGACAGCGTACCTTTCGGATATCGGCAGCAACTGGCCGTGCCCAGTCCTTCATCTGGCTGGAAAAAGAACAGCTATTCCAGCTGGCGATATATCTGCAGCAGGCACTGGAACAGGTCGGTGAAGATACCCAATCCAGGGCCAGTAACCCCGGAGAGGAATCCTGGACGGGCGATCCTCTGGAACAGGATTTTCGAGCCCGCCAGATGCAATTGCAGTACGACAAGGATGCCAACTGTTTCCAACTACAAGCCTTTGAAGGCGACGAAGACGATCCGGATGCCGGCTCGCAAACCTCCGTCAGTTTTTGGTTTACCGTTTCCCAGTCGTCGGCATTGGCCGAAGAAGCTCTGCGAATATGCGCCGCAGGTCGTCCCCCCTGCTTCTTGTGTGGAATGCCCATAGATCCAGAAGGCCATCGATGCGCGCGGGCCAATGGCCATGCCGTTTTCGAGACCGGCTAGTGTATCGGCGGGTTCAAGTCATACGTTAGGTTCGTTGTGTGAACCTGGTAGAAGTCAGTTTCCAGCGTGGTCATTTCAGAACCCAACGACCTGGCTCTACTCCGTGATGGGGAGATTGTCAGTTGCGAACTCACACCAGCCGGTTCCAACTACACATTCCTTGCGGAACTATCCCTCAATGGGAAACATGGCAGCGCGATTTATAAACCCCTGAGGGGCGAAATTCCGCTTTGGGATTTCCCCACTGGAACTCTGTACAAACGCGAATGCGCCGCTTTCCTGCTCAGCAGGGCCTTGGGTTGGGATTTTATCCCGTTGACGATCATTCGGGACGGCCCTTACGGAATCGGGTCGGCCCAGCTCTTTGTGGACCACGACCCCAAAGAGAACTACTACACTATTTCCCACGACAGCCTGGATGAATCGGACGCCGACCAGTTACGAACAATATGTTGTTTCGATCTGGTGGCCAACAATACCGACCGCAAGGCCAACCACATATTGCGCGATCCGTCGGGCAAATTATGGGGGATCGATCAGGCCCTTACGTTCCATGCCGACACCAAAATCCGAACCGTCATTTGGGATTTCGGCGATGAACCCATCCCCGAGCATTTGCTGGAACCCCTCCGCGACCTTTGCGGTCAACTGATGGCCCCAACCGGCGACCTCGCCGAGGTCGTATCCCTGATCGACACGGGCGAAGTTCGGGCGCTGTCGGAGCGTCTGCTATGGGTGTTGCGGGAAGGCGTATTCCCTGGCATTCCCGGGTTGCGCCGCCGGCGACGTGGACGTGAATAGGCTCGTTCCCTGAGAGTTACCCTTCCACCAGCAACGTGTAATCGAATTCGTTCAGGTTTTCGATGATTGCGTGCGCCGCCGACAAGTCCAGGTGCCGCGTAGAATCGGTAAGGGTGCACACCGTGTACGCACCCGACGCGGAAGCCGCCGCCAACCCAATTGGGGAATCTTCGATCGCAATGCAGTCGCCGGCCGCCAGACCAATCAATCGCGCCGCCTTGATGTAAATGTCGGGAGCCGGTTTGCCATTGTCTATGTCGTCGCCGCCCAGTGTAACGTCGAAGGCATCCGTCAGCCCGATCACGTCCAGCTTCAGATTAACCCACTCCCTGAGCGATGATGACGCAACGGCGATGGGTATTCTTCGGCGCTGGGCTTCTGCGATCAGCTCGCGAACACCCGGCCGCGGGTCAAATCGGTGCGTAACACTTCTTTCACCACCTCGTTGTAACCGGCCAGGAGCTCCCGCGGGGATTGAGGGATGCTCCGCAATTCTTTGACGCGTACCCACGTCTCCTCAACGGTGGAGCCCAACAGATACCGATTGTTCTCTTCTTCCGTTATGGGAGCCGCCCCGCAGCGCTCCACCATCATGTTCACTGCCTTGTGAAATAGCGGCTCGCTGTCGACCAGCACGCCGTCCATGTCGAACAAAATCCCCTTGTAACCCGGCATATCAGGTTGCTCCTCGTGGCTGTCAGTTGGATAATTCCGTGGCTCTCTCTCGCCAATTATACTGGTGACGTCGATGCGTCCGAACCGGTCGAACTGCTCAACAAAGAAACAGGAAGACGCCTTGAAGATCGCCCACAGCGCCATTCCTGCCTGTATGTTCATCGCTTCCAGTGAAGCGCCGGTAATGTGGCAACGCAGCTGGATTCCTTCGCACTCCAGCGTTACCTGATACCCGGGCGGGCGCATCTGCACATCGGTTACGACTCCGGACCAGGTGTTGCGTGCCGATGATTGGGGCAACGGCCCGGACGCCAGGATGATGTCCGATGCCCGAATTCCAACCGTTACTGCATCGCCGACCGCCAACCCATCTGCCAACGGTGTTTCCAGAGATCCGCCGCCTGCGGCGCAAACCATCGTTCCGTCCTGCGGCAAACGCTCCACAACCTCCATTTCCAAAAGATTTTCCACCCCCACCAAACGGGCGACCCGCCCCTGTCCCGGCTGTTCCAACATCGAAAGCGGTTGGCCCACAGCGACCGTTTTCCCGTCGTCGATGATCTGGACGGTATCCCCAAGGCCCAGCGCTTCTTCCCGGCTGTGTGTAACCAGGATGGCAGGAACGCTCAACCTGCGGATGGTGTTTCGTAACTCGGCGCCTAACTCGCGGCGCAGCTCCATGTCCAGAGACGCGAACGGCTCGTCCAGCAGCAGTAACGCCGGCTCCGGAGCCAGGGCCCGAGCCAACGCCGTTCGTTGCTGCTGGCCGCCGGACAATTGCCAGGCGCGTCGTTCCGCCAGGCCATCCAGATGTAGCGCATCAATCAACGCGCCCACCCGATGACGCGCGGCGGAGCTTTTCCGGTCTTTCAGCCCGTAGCCGATATTTTGGCTGACCGTGAGGTGGGGAAATACATGGTTTTCCTGCGTAACGTAGCCCAACGACCGGCGGTGCGGAGGCACCCAGATCGACTGCCCTCCAGGTCCGCTCCCGTCGCTGTAAACAGTGTGGCCGGCAATCGTGATCCACCCTGCTTCCGGGCGCACCAGCCCGGCCATGGTGCGGAGCGCGGTGGACTTACCGGCTCCTGATGGCCCAAAAAGCACCAGAATGCGTCCCGAATCAACCTCCAGAGCGAGTTGCAGGCTAAAATCTCCGATCTTGACCTCGAACTGCCCGGACGCAGCGGCATTCTCCATGGACACCGCCATCACCTGACCCCGTTGCTGCGGCGCAACAATAACGCGAGCAGCGCCAATGCCAGCACAGACATCGCCAATAACAACACCGCCAGCGCCAGGGCAGCTCCAAGGCTGGATTCCATCGCCGTCATTATCGCCAGTGGCATGGTTTGGGTGCGCCCGGTCAGGTTGCCGGCGAACATGATGGTCGCCCCGAATTCGGACATCGCCCGCGCCCAGGCCAACGCCAACCCGGTGACCAGCGACGGCCATGCCATGGGCACGGTCAGCCTCCAGAACGTAGACCATGGGCTCACGCCCAGCGTTTGCGAAACGTCTTCGAAGGTTACGTCAACTCCCGAAAACCCTATTCGCGCCGCCCTCACGTAGAAGGGCGCCGCCACAAAAACCTGCGCAAAGATCACCGCCCCGGTGGTGAACGGCAGCGTGATTCCCACCGCGGATAACCCCGGGCCCAGGATCCCGTTACGCCCAAACGCCATCAACATGGCTACCCCGGCAACCACGGGCGGCAACACGATAGGCAACTCTACGAAAGAATCGATCACCCGCAACAATGGGGAATTTCGCCGGGCCAGCAACAACGCGAACGGTGTGCCAACAACAACGACCACCGCCATACTGATTGTGCTGGTGATCAGCGACAGTTGCAACGCCTGGACAACCAGCGAACCACCCAGCCCGGCCAGGAATCCGTCCTGCTGGAAAGCGCGGATCAACAATGCCAGAATGGGCAACCCGATGAACAGGACGTATACGGCCGTTGCGGCAACACCGGCGGGCGCCAACACGCCCAGGGTTGTAGCCTGTCGCCGGCCCGAAGACCATCGTCCCATCATCTGCCTAACCCGTCCGTACGAATCCTCGCATCACCGAATCACCGAAACCAATGATTCCATTACCGCCGAAACAGAGTCAGTGCACGGACACTCTGCGGTGGATGGAGCGCCAAAACCGTGCTTCAGCAATATCGCCCGCCCTTCGGCGCCCAGTACAAATTCCACGAAGTCAGCTGCGATTCTCCGTTGGGGTCCCGCTGCCACGGTAGCAATGGGATATTCAACTACCACGTTAAGATGACCGGGGATGTCGACAATACGAAACATCGTCGAATATTGCCCGGCTGACGCGTCGGTTTGATAAACGAAACCGGCGTCCACCTCGCCCAAGGCTACCTTTTGCGCCACGGCGCGCACGCTGGTTTCATTGGTTACAACGTTGGCGAGCACTGAATCAGCGAAACCACTGGGAAAATCCGCATCATCTGCCATCAATGCCAGGGACTGCCTTGCGTACACACCGGCGGGTACCTGTTCCGTGCCGATCGCCACGGTTACGTCGCGTTTCGCCAAATCCGTCAACGATACAACAGCCTGTGAATCTATCGGAGCCACTACAACCATTTGGTTGGCGGCGAAATATACGGGCTCGCCGTTCAATAATCCGGCATTGCCGGCAATCGCCATCTGCCGGGCATCCGCCGCCGCGAACACATCCGCCGCCGCTCCGTGCGTCAACTGCGTGCTCAACGTTTGGCTGCCGGCGAAATGATACTCAACCTGTACCTGTGGGTGTTGATCCTGGAACGCCTCGGCCAATTCGCGAAACGAGTCCACCAGCGAGGCCGCCGCAAACACCGTGATGGCGCCTGCAATTGTGCCGCTGCGATCCGTCGTCCCGCCGCAACCGCCGACCAGTGTCGCCAGCGTCGAGAAGGCGACGGCAATCAAGATACCGCGGACAGGCAATTCTACGGGAAAAATTCGGGTGAGCATTTTGCCGCCGTATTATAGCGGAAACCATGATCGACGCTCCCTGCTCATTACTGCATTACCAATATCAGGCAGTTCGAATTGCCAGGGCTGTTGGGACTTCCCTTCGACGGCGCCTGCCAAACTCGCTTGACTTGCCGGCGTCGCTGCCGTTAAATGAATTCGATTACCTGATTCTCCGGTGTTGCGACGATGCAACACGAATTCGACATGCCGGCCACAGACCGGACAGGAAGGTGCACAATGGCTTTGGTTCGCTGCGTTACCGAAATGGGTATGGGTGTAGACGTACATGGTCTGGACTACACTTTGGCCGCCAAACGCGCCGTTTTTGATGCCATACACCACAGCAGCCTCGGCTTCTCCCGACTGGTTGGAGCCACCGCCGATGACATGACGGTGAACGTTACAATCGGTGCGCCGCATCCCGAAAAGGTGAATGCTGACGAGGTAGCCGACTCGCTTCCTCACGGCCGGGCCAACGTCGATGTCGTGGTGGGCGGCCTGCAGTTGCTGAACGACGACGGCACCGATGGCACTCTGATCGCCAATGCCATAATCACCGTCAGTATCGAAGACGGCAAGTAGCGCAGATACCCCAATTCCTGGGCGGCAACGCGACCCACCGGTGTCAAGGATCGTCGATGCTGTATTTGACTGTCGTATGAGTGGACTCTGATGCGATTCGGACATTTCTTCTACCCCATGAAATTCGACGACTCGCACGACGACGAGGCGATTCACGATTGCCTGGAAGAAGCCGTACTCGTTGAGGATCTCGGTTTCGATGCCATCTGGATCGCGGAGCATTACTTCACCGGCGAATGTGTATACGGCGACCCTTTGGTATTTGCCAGCGCGCTTGCGGTGAAAACCCGACGCGTGATGCTTGGGTTTGGCATTCTGGAATTGCCGCTGCACAATCCGGTACGGGTTGCAATGCAAACGGCCCTGTTGGATAACCTCTGCCGGGGCCGTCTGGTGGTGGGCACCGCCAGGGGCTCGAACTACAACGCATTTGAATACCTCGGTTTTGGCAGCGACCCCATCCTGGGCGCTGAACAAATGGAAGAGGCCGAGGAGCTGTTGGTAACCGCGTGGACCACCGACAACGTTGATTTTCGGGGAAAACACTGGCAAGTATCCTTCCCTTCCGTCAGACCCAGGCCGTACCAGAAACCTCACCCACCTTTGGCCCGGGCCTGTATCAACCAGGAGTCCATCGTGGAGATGGCGCGCATTGGCCGACCTATTCTCCTCCGTGGGCGCTCGGTTAACAGCGTTGCCGCCAACATCGCCCTGTATCGTGACACCATGGCGGCCTCCGGGTTCGACGAGGAATCCGTCCAACACAACCTGGACCAGATTTGGGTCTGGCGAGAATTGCACTTGGCCGAAACTGACGGCCAGGCGATGGACGAATTCCTCCCCGCCAATTACGACGCCTATGCGATCATGCAGGATTTCCGGCAACGCCTGAATCCCCAGGAGTTTCCAATGTCCCAACAGGCGCCTCCAATACAGCGGGACGGCTACGCTCCGGACCCTGATCCGGATGCCGCTGAAAACCTGGTGGGCAGCCCGAAGCGGGTCGCGGAGCAACTCGACCAGATGCGACAAGCCGGCATCCGCAACCTGATGCTTACCAACCGGGGCCTCGTTTCCTCAGACGTGACTGCCCGTTCGCTCAATCTCTTTGCCGAACGCGTAATGCCCCGATTCCGCAACGCCTGATTGCTGAAAGGCGCCGTTATCCACTCAAGCCCCGGGGTCACATGGACTGCGCCGGGCACCAGCCTTAGGGATGGGAACCCGGTGGCGAAATGTATAATGCTCCCAACCGGCTCGCCAGGGGACGCCACGCTCTACAGACTAACCCCAAACATTCCAGGTACTGCACGACGGGTCCCACAGGTCACAAGCCGGCCCGCACAGGAGTTACATGATGGAAGTAATGCCATTTGAGATCGCCATCGACCAATCCGTTCTCGATGATTTGCAGGTGCGTCTGAATCAAACGCGATGGCCCGACGAGGTTACCGGTTCAGCGTGGGGCTACGGCAGCAATCTCGACTACATGAAAGAACTGGTGGAATACTGGCGCACCAATTTCGACTGGCGCGCACAGGAGGAGAAACTCAACGCCTTCCACCACTTCAAAAGCAAGGTCGACGGTCTGGACATCCATTTCATTCACGAACGCGGCGTCGGACCCAGTCCGATGCCTCTGGTTATAACCCACGGTTGGCCCAGCTGTTTCTTCGAGATGACCAAAATAATACCGCTGCTGGCCGACCCGGCCAGCCACGGCGGTGACGCGGCAGACGCCTTCGACGTGGTCGCCCCGTCCCTGCCAGGCTTCGGTTTCTCCCAGGCGTCCAACGACCCCGGTATGCAGGTTCAGAAGGTCGCCGACATGTGGGCGACACTGATGACCGAAAACCTGGGTTATCCTAAATTCTCGGCGCAGGGTGGCGACATAGGCTCTGGAGTGACCTCGCGCCTCGGATATTCGCACCATGAGAAAATGTATGGCGTCCACCTTACGTCCGTTACCCGGCCCACTCCGTATCTGGGACCTGGTTCCCGACCGCTCACCGAGGCTGAAGACGCCCTCGTAACGCAACGGGACAGATGGTTCCTTGACGAGGGCGGTTACAACCACATCCAGGGCACAAAACCTCAAACCTTGTCCTACGGCCTCAATGATTCGCCCGCCGGTCTGGCCGCCTGGATCATCGAGAAATATCGCACCTGGAGCGACTGCCACGGCGACATTGAAAGCCGCTACACCAAGGACGAGCTACTCACCATAGTTACGATTTACTGGGTAACCAACTCCATCGGATCATCGGTGCGCATGTACAAGGAAAACCAGAGTTCGCTGTGGACGATGGCCGAAAATGAAAAGGTGCCGGCTCCCGCTGGAATGGCCATGTTCCCCCAGGAAATCTCCAGGCCACCACGAGAATGGGCTGAGCGTTCCTACGACGTACGTCGCTGGCAGGAGATGCCTCGGGGCGGCCACTTTGCGGCTCTGGAGGAACCCCAACTGTTGGCCCACGAGGTTCGCGAGTTTTTCCGTCCACTTCGCGATTGATGCTGGCGCAAACGCCGCCGCCGGTACGATCGCCTCGTTGATGCCGGTTGGCCTCACCTTGTAATTCCTGGACCGACAACGACTGTGAATGACCAGTTTTTCACAGCAGTCAAACGCAGCGGGCCATCCGGCGTGGCAGCGTGGGTATCCCATGTTCTGGCCTGGGTCGCTGGAATTTTCCTCCTGATCTTGCCGGTGAACATACAAGGATTGGTTCCGATCCAGGTCATCCAACGATTAGTGCCGGTCCAGGCAAACGGCCCTTGGGATCTCCTGTTCTTTCCCATTCCAGTCATTTTGACCGGCGCCGTCCTGGTCGCCATATTCTGCGTGGAAACCGGGAATCCCATTCGCTCATTGTTGTTCTTGCCATCGTTATCGTTCATCTTAATGATCGCCCTGGTGTCGATCCCGACCATTGGCCCTCTTTATGTTCCGACCGCCGTCACCATGCTGGCCGCGGCTATCCTGGACCAGGATGTCTCGAGCCGTATCGGTGGTTGACGCACCTGCCCTCCTCTGCACCAACGCCTGCACCAACCCCAGGCCCCGGGAATTGAGCCTACACGGGTGCAGCCACCCCGGAGCCGGCAAACAGGGTGCGCGCCACCCGGTCCACAAAATTCTGCCCCATCACTTTGTACCCCTCACCATCCGGGTGCAGGTCGTCCGGGAGCAGGTGTACCAGGTCTGAACCGAATAGTTCCTGACCGTCTACGTAGTGGAGGTTTTTGTCGCCCAGGCTCTTCATGGCTTCCACCGCTTCGGCAACCTCGGCGCGCATCGCCGCAAGAGTGAAACCAGCCGGGTTCTCCGTCGTTTCGCGAGGCGGGGAGAAGATTGGAGAGATGACCGCGATGGGTGTGTCGGGGTGTTTTTCCCGTACGATATGTACGAACCCAATAACCGCCGGCATGAAGGTTCTGGAATTCATGCTGCCTGCGTTATAGACGTTTATCCCCAGCTTCATAGAGATGTAGTCGGCAGGCAACTCCCGGATCATGCGCGCGATCATCGGCTCCAGGTGGCAGCCGCCTCCGTAGCCCAGGCAGGTCAGATTCAGGCCGTGCTGCCGGGCGGCAATCGCAGGCCAGGTCTGGCTCGGGCTCTCCGCCGTCCGGCAATGCGTTATGGAACTCCCGTAGGTTATCCAGCGCGGACGATCGTCCTCAAAATTTTCCAGCGTTGCGCCGTCGGATAATTCCAGGCCACGCAGTCTGAACTCACCGTGCTGCGGTAGCCACAGCTCGATCAGTTTTCTGCTGCCAGGCAGACCGACAAAACGAAAATTGGCCTTGCCTTCCAGCCACGCCGAGCCGAAGAATCGACCATCGCAATAGAGATCTATCGGGCTCGATTCCTCAGCCGGCTCAACTGAACCTCCCAGAACCTCGGTGTCGCTGTAGAACGAGATGCGAATTCCAGCCGGCATCGCCGTCCGTTCTCGCAATGCGTCGGGCGGGAACAGAGACCGCTCGTCGTAAGGGATGCGCCACGGCATTACCCATTGGTCGTTGCGGTCAAAAGAAATAGCTCCCTGCCAGGTCAAACCCGGATGGTCGCCCTGAATCAGTTGAGGCATCATTGTGCTCCTGTTGGGTTGGTTTCGCGTCGGTGGGTTGGTTCGCATCCTCGCAGGATGTGTTCGCCAGTGTTACGCCATAACCGAGTCCAGGGCGCGGCCCGGTACCCGCTCCACCGGCATCAGGATATCATCGCTGGAATTGTTCTATTCCTTGGCGTATCATTGCGAAAATCTGGCTGAAAAAGGTCGCGACGCGCTGGTACGCGCCATTGTGACGCCCGCCATGCGACCGTGCAACTGCGATGCCGCCGACTTAAAAGTGGGCATCCTGGATCAAGAGGGAATGTTGTGAAGTACGATGTAATCGTGATCGGGGCCGGGTCTGCCGGTTCTATCGTCGCCACCAGAATGAGCGAGGACCCCAACCGCTCGGTGCTCCTGTTAGAGGCCGGCCCAGACTACCCTAACTTCGACCATCTGCCCGATGAGGTCAAGTTTGGGTACGCCACCACCACGGACGTAATGACCAGCGACCACAACTGGCAGTTCACCGGTCGCGGCACCGACCAGAACCCGGAGATTATGGTGCCGCGGGGACGGGTGACCGGCGGGTCAAGCGCCATCAACGGCCAGATGTTCCTGCGCGGTGTGCCCGAGGACTACGATACCTGGGCCGCCATGGGCAACGACCAATGGAGTTTTCAAAACCTGCTGGGTTCATTCAGGAGGCTGGAAACTGATACCGACTTCAGTGATGATTTCCATGGGAACGACGGCCCAATAATCGCCCGCCGCTTCAAGCCGGAAGACTGGCTGCCCGCCCAATCGGCGTTTTATAGCGCCTGCAAAGCCTACGGCTTCCCCGACAGCCCAGACCACAACAGCCCCGATGCCTCGGGCATAGGCCCCACGCCGTTCAACAATCCCAACGGCATCCGATGGAGCACCGCGTTGGGGTATCTGGACCCGGCCCGGCACCGCCTGAATCTCACGATTCGGCCCAACTGCACCGTTCACCGCATAATGATTGAAGGCAACCGGGCGATCGGGGCGGTGGTGGAAAGCGGGGGCGATATTTTCACCGTCGAAGGCGACCAGATTATTCTCAGCGGAGGAGCCATCGCGTCCCCGCAACTGCTCATGCTTTCGGGAGTAGGTCCGGCTGATCACCTCCGCAGCCACGGTATCCCGGTGGTGAACGATCTTCCCGGCGTGGGACAGAACCTGCGCGACCATCCCATCGTACCGGTAACCTGGCGAACTAAACCTGGATTCAACCTGGACGGCCTCTCTCCCCGCAGCCAGCTGTGTTTGCGTTACACCGCGGAAGGTTCTCACCTCCGCAACGACATGATCATGATCTTCTCCTCCTACGCCACTGCACAGGTGATGCGCGGCGGTAATCGCATGGAACCCCTGGGCATTAGAGCTTCGGTTTCCATCTACCTGGCTGTCGGCGCCGGCCAACTGCGTCTGAACTCCACCGACCCCAACCAGCAGCCTTTCCTGGACTACAACTACCTGCAGGAAGAATTCGATCGGAAACGATTGCGTGACGGTGTCAGAATAGCCGCACAGCTGGGCGAGCATGGAGATTTCAGCGACATAATCGAAGAACGCACCGAAACCCCTCGATTCCGACCTGGCCACCGACGACGCCCTCGATGACTGGTTGATGCGTGTGGTGTCCACGGCGCAGCACATTTCCTGCACCTGCAAAATGGGTCCATCGTCCGATCCCATGGCGGTGGTTGACCAGTTTGGCAAGGTCCACGGACTGGACGGTATCCGCGTCGTCGATGCATCCATCATGCCCGACTGCATCCGGGCCAACACCAACGTCACCACCATGATGATCGGCGAACGGGTCTCCGAATTCATGCTGCAAGGCAGCTAGCGCTCCCCATCACATCGCGGCCACCGGTCACGCGCCGGCGTTAACAAGGCCAATCCCGGCCCCGGTGGCCCGCCTGTGCATCGGCCAGCTCTTTTCGTTTACTGGTCGGAACTACTTGAGGCCGCCTTTACCGGACGCCAACCGGAAATCCCCTAAACAGCTGGTTCGGGGGTACCTTGCGCGGCGAATCAGAGCCGTTACTGACCAATCACGTTGAGCAATGCCTGTCGGTTGTCGTTGCGCACCGCCCGGAGTCCCCGCTGCAGTGCCGCCGGAACGTCGGCCGGATCGTCCACCCGCTCCCCATACCCACCGGCAGCCTGGCATATAAAGCTCGTACCGGAATGATTGGGAAAGGGTGGTGACGGCAAAGTTGTTGGTTTGCACCGCAACCCCGTCGCTATAGTTCACTTTGGTGGCATTCTGCACGGCGTTCCAGATACCGTTGTTCCACACGATGGTCAGAACCGGCAGATTCTGAGCTTCGGCCACGATATGTCCAGCAGTGCCCGATCCGAATATATAGGAACCATCTCCAACGCAACAGATAACGGTTTTGGAAGGATCGGCAAGTTTGGCTCCCAACGATGCGCCCACACCCCAACCCAGCGCGCCAGACGGAGGAGTGCCAAAGAACCCGCCCGGTTGCCTGATTTCCAGTTGCGCCACATCAATACCCAGTTCGTTGATCAGGATGGAGTCGTCGTCCAGCACATCATTCAGGCATTTGGTGAACCAGGCTTTGCTGATGGGATGCTCGTCCTTGCTGGACAGGGCACGTTGCCGCAAAGTTTCACGGCGCTGGATACCGGCATCAGTCCAGTATGCCGTGCGCGAATCAACCGCCCGCGAGTCGACGCCCGCCTTTCTGACCGCGGCCGACAGTGATTGCAATATCAACCAGGGACTTCCCGCGAGGTTCACGTCCACCGGGAATCCGCGGATCGGATAGTTGGAAAATAGAGGATCGGCGCCGATGGCGATCACCCGGGCATCGGTCAGTTTCCCGGCGCGCCGGGGGATCCACGGCACGTCCGCTTCCACCACCACAACCACGTCGGCATCGGCCAGCGCTGGCCCAATCTCTCCTCCGGCATACAGGGGGTGGCCCATGGGAAAGTTGGCATAAAGCGCCCCCGAATCGAACACCGGTATCCCTAGCAGCTCAGCAAGTTCCACCAGATGAGACACCGTCCGGGGGTCTTTGCCGGCTCCCCTGGTTGCCAGGATCGGGGCGCGGGCGCTCGCCATAATACCTGCCGCTTCTGCGATAGCCTCCGGTGTGGGCAAGCGGTTGCGGGTGGGCTGTTGCCGGGAAGTATCGTTATAGGAAATGCCCTCCAACGTCTCCGCCAAAACCTCGCGGGGCAACGTCAGATACACCGGGCCGGCGGGCTCCGACTCCGAGATGGCCAACGCTCGATCCACCACCCCTTCCACGTCTGCGCCATGCCGGAGTTCGTAGTCCCATTTAACCCACTCCCGAACCATGGACGCCTGATCAAAGGATTCCTGGGCCCAATGAAATACTGCCGTCCCGAGACCCCGGAGCGTCCCCTTCTGCGATCGGCGTCCTACCGGCGCTGAACAGCATCGGTATGTTGGACCGGAAAGCGTTCACGACCCCACCAATTGCGTTAGCAGTTCCCGGAACAGTGTGTACCATGACCACCTGCGGCCGTCCGGTGACCATGGTGTAGCCGTGAGCCATGCCCACGGCTGTAACTTCATGGGGTACGGTTATGGGCCTGGGCAGCGGCTGTTCCTGGGACATCCGTTTAGCGTACGCCTCGATGATGGGGGCAAAATCGGTGCCGCCGTTGCCAAAGAAATATTCAATGCCACGGGCGGCCAGCAATTCAAGATAGGCTTCCGCCACGCTGCTTACACTAGCGCTGATTGTCATATTTTCTCCCGACCCCCTGCATATCTTCCAAGTCCATCCCTGGCGGCTTGCTGTTGATTCCGAAGAGTACGCAACGCGTGTTGCAACGCTGTAGCGGAGCCGTCATACGAAATTCGGAATCACACGTTCGTTGATGAGGCGCAGGCATTTCAGCTGCAGTTCCTCAGGTATTCGGCGACCGAAGTTAATCTCATATACGATTTGGGACAGATGCAAATCCTCAATCAGTTCTTGCAGCCGGTCGGTTACGGCTTCCGGAGTGCCGTAAACCACCTTATCCCTAAGCCAGTCATCGTAGGTCATGCCCCCGATGCGGTCGGCTTCAGCACGCCAATCGCCGGTCGTACCCGCTCGGTCTGCGCTGCCGGCGACCCTGGTGCTCAACCCCTGCATCGAGGCCACGGTGCTATCCATGGGGTCTTCATAGGCTTCCCGTGCGGTTTCAGCCACGTACAACGGTACCCGTAGACCCACCTGCCCTTCGCCCTCGTGGCCGGCGTCCTTCCACGCCGTTCGGTAGCTTTCGATGTTCGGCGCCAACTCCGCCAGGGCGAACACTCGGGACGGATTGATGAAAATCGGGAATCCCATACGCCCTACAATGGGAAACGTTTCCGCCGACGTAATTCCCACTCGAATGGGTGGATGCGGCGACTGGAACGGCTTCGGCTTGATGTTCAATTCGTGGCATTGATAGTGCTCTCCATCAAAGGAAACCTTCTCGTCCGTCCATGCTTTCAGGATGATTTCCAGATACTCTTCAAACCTGCCCCGACTCTCGGGATACGGTGAGATGAAAGCATCGTGATGATCGGGAAACGTGCCACGGCCAATCCCAAAATCAATCCTGCCCTGGCTGATGTGATCGAGCGTTGCAACCTCTTCGGCCACTCGCACCGGATTACTCAGTGGCAACAGCAGCACGCCAAATCCGATCCTCATCTTGCTGGTGCGGGCCGCCACCGCCGTGGCCACCGTAATGGGCGCAGACAGGACGCTGAACGGCGAGAAGTGATACTCGGCCAACCAGACTGAATCCACCCCCATGCTTTCGGCTTCGTCCACCAGGGCCAAACCTTGAGAAAAGGTATCGCGGTCGGTGGTGCCTTCGGGGGCGGCGAATTCGACGAACAATCCAAAATCCATGATGCCTTACCCTCCCCATACCTCGCGGCTGATGCTGGCCACCAGTTCCAGCTTGCGCCATTGTTCCTCTTCAGTCAGCAGATTGCCGGCGACGGTGGACGCGAAACCGCATTGTGGACTGAGCGCCAATCTTTCCAGCGGGACATACGCAGTTGATTCCTCGATCCGTTCCAGGACGTAATCCCGAGATTCCAGGGTTGAATCTTTGCTGCTGATCAGTCCAAGAACCACCATTTTGTCCTCGGGGACGTGCCGCAGTGGTTCAAAGGTACCGGCGCGTTCGGTGTCATATTCCAGGAGAAACCTGTCGACGGGCAACGTCCCGAACAACTTTGCGGCAATGGCCTCGTAGCCGCCTTCCGCGTACCATTTGCTCTGGTTGTTTCCCCGGCAAATGTGCAGCGCCACCGTGGCGCCGGGCCGTTGCGCTCCCTCCAGGCAGTAGGTGTCCGCCGCCACTGCTTCCTCGAACATCTGGTCCGGGTCTTCCCCCAGTTCCCGCAAATGCTCCCGCCATTTTGCGTCCACGTAATAGCTGTAGCGGGGTGCGTCGATCTGGACGTATGGCACGCCCGATTCCAGCAGAGCCGATATCTCGGCTTTGATGATCTCAGCGATGTCCCAGAGCAGGTCCGACCGCGTTGGATAGTATCGATCGGTCAGGCCCGGCTGGAAGCTGATGGCCGGATACTGGCTGGGGCTGGGCACGGTTATCTTGAATGGCCCCGGCGCGTAGGCGTTCATGAACGTTGCCTGGTACTGGGTCAACCTGCGCAGTTGTCGCAGCTTTCCACCCACCACCTGCCGCGTGCCCTGTTCGTGCGGTTCACCTCCCGGGCCCTGCCACACGCGAACCACCGCGGGATCGTTGGTCTCAACGTAGCCTTCCACCGCCTCAATCAGGTCGTTTTGAAACCCGGAGCGCCGAAATTCACCGTCGGTGTAGATCTCCACTCCGGCTGCCTGCTGACGTTCCAGGACGTGCAGGATCGCCGCGTCTTCGATAGCCCGCAGCTGGTGCAGTTCGAGCATACCTTCGCGGCAGTTCGCCCTGGCCTGGTGCAAATCGGCGGGACGCAACAAACTCCCTACGTGATCGGCGCGGTAAACTTCCGGCATGATTCTGCTTCCCTCCGACTGTTGGCGCTACCCCGGACGCTCTTTCAACTGCCATACCGTTACGGCCCGGCAGCCGAACGGCTAATCGAGAGATGGATACGAATCTCCCCATTTGTCCAGATAGACGAAGTCGCCAAGAGCTCCCCGCCGTACCGGTCCGAAATTACCCATGGGATACCCAATCGGGAGGATCGCATAGGAGTGTACGCCCGGCGGCAGCCCCAGAATTGCCTCCACTTCCTTTTCGTGGATCAGGTGCCGCGACGTCAGTGTGGAGCCCAACCCCAATGCGCGCGCCGCCAGCAGCATGTTTTGCACCGCTGGATAGATCGAGGCCCCCGCCGACCGGTTGGGGGTACCGCTGCCGTGGTCCTGGCAAGCCACGATCCATACCGGCGCCTCGTGGTAGTGGTCGGTCAGATATTCCACCGCATCGTGCTGGCGGCGGTAACGGCTGGGACTGGAACCCGGTGGCGGATCGCTGCCGCGGTAGCGCGGCCCCACGACTTCGTCAAAAGCTTTTTTGTACCATTGCTGGACCTGTGCCTTGATGTTTTTATCCTTGATCACCAGGAACCGCCACGGCTGATTGTTGCCTCCGTTAGCGGCGCACACGCCCGCCTCCAGAATCTGCCGGATCAATTCGTCAGGCACCGGGTCGGGCTTGAGCCTTCGCATCGCCCGCGTAGTGCGCATGATATGGAATAATTCCGTGCTTTCGGTCATCGTTTCCTCCCAATCTGATGATTTTATGCCGTGTCGGGCACGTCACGCCTGTCATTCTGGCTGGCGGCGGGGTCCCGTCGCCGATGCACAAGTAAGTTCAGGATTGCTGCCAGGCATCGGACTTACAACCTTGGGGCCCGTTTCTCCAGAAATGCGGTCATTGCCTCGTTAGGATGCGGGGTAGCAAAGCACAAGGCAAAGGCCTTGATGCTGTACTGCGCCGCTTCTTCCTCGCCCAGCTCCAACCATCTGGAAACAACCTCTTTTTGTGTCGCCAGAATGTAACGGCTCATTCCCAAAAACTCCCGAGCCGCGTCCAGCGCGCTTTGCCCCAACTGATCCCCGCGTACGATCCGGTCTATCAGACCAATCCGCAGGGCTTCCTGCGCGTTAACTGTCTCACCCGTGAGCAACAATCTGCGCGCTCTGCCCAGTCCCACGGTGCGCGGCAACAACGACGCCTCGATAACGGATGGCAGTCCCACCTTCACTTCGGGCAGGCCAAAAATAGCGTCATCGGTGGCGATGCGCGTGTCGCAAGCCAGAGCCACTTCCAGCGCTCCGCCCAGGCATGGCCCCCGTATCGCGGCCACCACCGGCAACGGGGCGTGGAGCAGACACCGCGCTGCAGCGTGCAGTGTGCGAATGAATGCTTCGGCCTGCAATGGATTGAGGTCTTTCATCTCGTGCAGGTCCACACCCGCAGAGAACGCCCGGTCGCCGGCGCCCCGGAGCACGATAGCCCGCAAATCCTGGTCGTCGCAACACTGGCTGACCCTCTGGTTCAGCGCCTGAAACACAGCACGACCCAGCAAATTCAGATGCGTTCGGCCCTCGATGGATAGCGTGGCGATGCCGTCCGATTCGTCCAGATGCACTCCGGTGTGGTTGTCAGTCGCCATCCGCGACTCCGGCGCTGGCCGCTGCCCGAGCCGGCAATGGCGCGGCGTTTTCGATGAACCGGAACACCTCGAAATTAAAGATGTCGGGTTTTTCGAAGTACACCGAGTGACCCGCCTCCGGTACCCGCAGCAACTGGGCGCCCGGTATCGACCGCGCCCCCGCTTCAATTACTGCCGGAGGCGAAATAGCGTCATCCTCCCCGACGAAGAAGAGCACCGGCATGGACAAGCCGCCGACTGCCGCTGCGCCGGGCCCGATCGGCTGGCCTCCCGGAGGATCCTGCCGGGGTGGGTTGGTGCGCGATATCTGCAGGTACAGGTTGGCTAGGTTGGGTTCCCTCTGGACAAACAGAGGAGAAACGGCCCGGTATCCTATCTCGCCGCTTGCCGTGTGGCTCTCCCTCCAAATGCGCTGCTGTTCCAGCACTTCGGGCACCTCCATCCCTCCAACGGTGTCTGCCATCACCAGGCTCCGGACGCGATGCGGATACTCGACCGCGAAACCCAGCATTGATCGCCCACCCATCGATTGGGCCACCAGGTGGGCAGTCTCGATCCCCAAATGATCCAGCAACCCCCGCACATCGTCTACAAAGGCGTTGGGGCCGGGCCCTCCCGGCGCGTCGTAAGAATGCCCGAAACCTCGCTGGTCAAACGTGACGCAACGGTAACGCTGGGAGAAGAATGGTATCTGTTGCCACCAGCTCAGCAGGTTTCCGCCGGCGCCGTGGGCGAACACGATAGCCTCCCCTTCGCCGTAGCTCTGGTAGTGTAGGTCGATTCCGTTGATTTTTGCGCTGCTCATGGTGCACCTCACGGCTGCAGATTTGGAGCCCCAGTGTTTCGAACGATGATACCAGCCATTTTGCACATTGGATGACGCTATCGTCATAGCGTGTTGCGGGAAGTTGATCCAATCGGAGCCCTCAAAACCGGGGATACGCAGCCAGTCCGCGAAGTGAGCGCTTCGACGGCCAAAGGCGCATTTTGGTTAATGACAAACGCCGTCTAAAAACGCCAGGCGCGACCCGTTCCACGCGCCTTGCGTCCATATATCGGTCGACTCAGCGGCTATTTGGAAAAACCGGCGTGGAGGGAGCAGACCAGCCTTCTCGTTGGTTCGCCCGCGCCATCGGCAGTTTGCGAGTGTGAGATTTAGCCACCACGGGACCCGAACGGTGTTAGACTGGCGAGATGCAGTTCCCGTCCGCTCCCCGGCTAAACTGGGCCGGCGGCTTGTATGCTAACCAGACACCCAGGGAGGAAATCATGGCCAGAACCCCCAACGTAACCCGACAGTCCGTCCCGGAACATGAACGCGGGGCATTCGACACCTTTGTCGCCGATCGCGGTGAAGTGCCCACCACGGGTCCGGGTTCTGTAATGCTGAACGCTCCCGAAGTGGCGCAGCGTGCTCTCGGCCTCGCACTTTATTTGCGTACCGACACGTCGCTGGAACCGCGCATTAGAGAGTTGGCTATGTTGCTGACGGCCCGCGAAAATGACTGTCAGTTCATCTGGAACGCCCATGCGCCGCCGGCTCGCCGTGCTGGCTTGCGCGACGAAATCGTCGATGCCCTCCGCGAACGGCGGGAGTTGCCCAATCCGTCCGCAGACGAAATCGCCGTGGTGAACTACGGGCGGGAATTCTTCCGGACCAGAAAGGTAAGCCAAACCGCCTTCGACGCCGCGGTCGCCCATTTTGGTATCCCGGGAGTAACCGAATTAACCACCCTCATGGGCTGCTACACAATGCTCGCATTCAACGTCAACGCCTTTGGTGTCGAGCTTCCGGATGAACTCGTCGAGGTCCCATTGCCCATCTAACCCGTCGGCGCGGCGCATCATCACTGCGCCGAAACTATTTCTGTTTTGGAGGAATGGACATGTCCACTCAGCGCGATGTATGGCTCGCCCAAACCGTCGAAGACGCCATGGAACCCGGCCTGCCCATTTGCGACCCACACCATCATTTCTGGGATCGTGATGGCGACCGCTACATGCTGGAACAGCTCACGGAGGACGTGAGCGGTGGACACAACATTGCCCAGACCGTTTTCATAGAATGCCACTCCATGTACCGGGCTCACGGGCCCGACGAGATGCGTTCCGTCGGTGAGATCGAATTCGTCCAGGGGATTGCCGCCCAGAGCGCCAGCGGCCAATACGGCCCCACCGAGGTTGCAGCCGGAATCGTAGGTAACGCCAATCTCATGCTGGGATCTGCCGTGCAGCCGGCGCTGGAAGCCCTTATTGCGGCCAGCAGCAACCGGTTCCGGGGCATCCGTTTCTCCTGCGGCTGGGATGCCAGCCCCCAGGTCTCTCCGGGGAGTCCCAACACGCCCGGGATGCTCATGGATTCGCGCCTCAGGGAGGGGTTCAACTGTCTGCGTAATCTGGGCCTGAGCTTCGATGCCCTGGTGTACCACACCCAGTTGGCCGACCTGGCCGACCTGGCGGGTGCGTTTCCCGACGCAACGATCATACTGAATCACATTGGCCGACCCCTGGGCGTCGGTCCCTATGCCGGCAAGCGGGATGAGGTCTTTGCCGACTGGCAGAAGGGAATCGCTGCCGTGGCCGAACACGAAAACGTGGTGGTAAAACTGGGTGGGTTCGGCAACGTTATCAGCGGTTACGACTGGCACCAGCGCCCCATCCCTCCGACGTCGACGGAACTGGCCGACACCATCGCTCCGTGGATTATGTACTGTATCGAACAGTTTGGGCCCGAACGCTGCATGTTCGAAAGCAACTTCCCCGTAGATAAAAATTCGTACGCTTACACCAACGGTTGGAACGCGTTCAAGCGTGTCACTGCCGGGTTTTCGGATCCGGAAAAAGCCGCCATGTTTCAGGGAACCGCTGTGAAAGCCTATCGACTCTAACCGGTTATCGAATCGCCGATTCCCAAACCGAAACGACACGACACTGGAGGACAGCATGGCACTGCAATGGGAGCACGTCGCGGGACCATTCAGCCGTTTGACCGAGGGGCCGGCTTGGGATGGCGCCCGGATGCTTTTCACCTACATCCCAGCCAGCCGGATCATGGCCTACAATCCCGAATCCGGCGAATGCAGCATTTATCGGGAGAATACCAACCATACCAACGGCCTGGCGTTCGACGCCGAAGGCCGCCTGTACGGTTGCTGCTCGGGCGGACGCTCCATCGTTCGCTTCGAATCCGATGGCAGCACTACCACCATTGTTGATCGCCTGGACGGACAGCGCCTCAACACGCCCAACGACCTCGCCATCGACCGGCAGGGGCGCATCTGGTTCAGTAACCCCTGGAACGCTGGCAACACCGACCCCAGCGAACAGCAGGAGATCGCGAACCGCGACATCCTGCGCGCCGACCCCCAACCCGATGGCAGCTACACGTGCCAGCGCATGACCTTCGACACCACCGGAACCAACGGCCTTCTCGTCTCCCCCGATGAGCGTAGCTTGTACATCATCCAGACCGACGCCGATCCCGGTGGAGTGAGAGAACTGCGTTCTTACCCAATCAATGATGACGGGACGCTGGGCCAGTACATCGTGCTGCATCAATTCGGCGACGACCATCGCGGCCCACAACGCGGCATCGACGGCATGTGTCTAGATTCGGAAGGAAACATCGTGGGGAGCGCCGGCAACTATGCGAGCGGCCCGGGGCCAATGATTTACGTCTGGACTCCTCAAGGTCGCGTCCTGGAAACGTATCCCATGCCGGTGGGAGTCGATATGCCAACCAACTGTGCGTATGGCGACGCCGACCAGAGCAGCCTGTATGTAACGACTCTCGGCGGGCGCCTCCTGCGTTTGCGAAACACCGGCCGCCGCGGATGGATAATGTGGCCGCCGGTTCGCTAGCGCATCTCGCGTAATTGCGGCGCGCGGCGACCAAACCGGAACGGCGATAACCTTGCAATTGAGGAAAGAATCATGAAATACGACGTCATTGTAATCGGCGCCGGTTCGGCGGGTTGCGTTGTTGCCGCTCGTTTGTCAGAAGACCCAAACCGCTCGGTGCTACTGCTGGAAGCAGGGCCCGACTATCCCGACTTCGAGCATTACCCCGAAGATTTGAAGTTCGGTTACAACGCCACCGCATCTCAACCGGGAGCACCCCACAACTGGTCATTCCAGGCCCGGGGTCGTCCCGAGCAAACCGAGCCCATGCCGGTTCCCCGGGGCAAAGTAGTCGGCGGCACCAGCGCGATTAACGGCCAGGTGTTGCTGCGCGGCGTTCCCGAAGATTACGACTCCTGGGCTGCCATGGGTAACGATGAGTGGGCATACGTGAACGTGTTGCCCTATTTCAGAAAGTTGGAAACCGATACCGACATTCGCGATGATTTTCACGGCACGGACGGTCCTATCCCGGTGCGCCGTTTCCAGAAACCCGACTGGTTGCCATTCCAGCAAGCCTTTTTCCAGGCCGCCGTTGACGCCGGATACCCTGAAGATGCCGACATGAACCATCCGGAATCCGGCGGAGTCGGCCCCATTCCCATGAACAACCCCAACGGCATACGAATGAGCACGGGTCTCACCTACATAAACCCAAACCGCCATCGGCTCAACCTGACCGTTCGTGGCAATGTTATGGTCCGGCGAATTTTGTTCGCCCGCAACACCGTGTGGGGCGTTGAAGTCGAGAGTGGCGGGGATATCTTTCAGTTGGAAGCGAACGAAATAGTGCTCAGCGCCGGCGCCATCGCATCACCGCAAATCCTCATGCTGTCCGGTGTGGGTCCGGCAGACCACCTGCGCAGCCTGGGGATTCCAGTCGTGCATGACTCGCCCGGCGTCGGCAAGAATTTCAGAGACCACCCCATGGCGCCCGTCCGTCTCCGCGTCAAGGACGATTTTCCCCAGGACCCTGATGCTCCCAGAATCCAGGCCGCCCTTCGTTACACCTCCAGCGCGAACAATCTACGCAACGACATCCAGATCATGCCTTCTTCCTTCTCCTTCCCGTTGGGCGGCGACCCCCTGGAAGGTGAGGGCGTACGTTTCTCCTGCATCCTGGAACTGGCGGCTGGCAAGGGCGAAATCACTCTCGCCTCCGCTGATCCCGGCGACCAACCGAACCTTTACTACGGTTTCCTGGAAGAACCTTCCGACCGCGAGCGGTTGCGGGAGGCCGTGAGAATCTGCTTCGGCTTGCTGGAGCATCCGGCATTCAATGATATTGTCGACGGACCCTTGACACCCACGGAGGAAGAACTGGCTTCCGACGAGGCGTTGGACGACTGGCTCAATAAAAATGTTACTACGTCCCAACATCTGGCCGGCACGTGCAAGATGGGTCCCGACTCAGACCCGATGGCCGTTGTCGACCAGTTCTGCAGGGTGCGCGGCGTGCATGGATTACGTGTGGCCGACACGTCCGTAATGCCGGACGTCGTCCGCGCCAACACCAACACCACCGCCATGACCATCGGCGAGCGCGTTGCCGATTGGGTGAAGAGCCAATAGCGTCCAACCGCGATCAACAGCCACGACCGCTGCGCCTACGACAAATCTGGCGGCCCCGCCGGTACATTTGACCCATCGGTGGGGTTCGTCAGTGGCGGGGTTTTGCCAGTGGCTTTCTCGCTCTGCCATTGCGAGGAACGCCGCGACACCGCAATCTCGCTGGTATTAGGCGGTGACGACCTGTGCCCGTTGTGATTTCCTGGAAGCATGATGCCCTGAAATCCATTGCCCGTTCGTGGACACTGCCCGGCACCCCTTGATATGATTGGACATCCCGTCATCTGCTCGCATCTTCCACATTCATCTGAGTGAAGAATTACTTTCCGCGCCGAATAATTCCATGCAGAATAATTCCATGACCCGAAATCTGCCACTCATCCCCGTCGTCCTCTTGGCAATCACGTTGGTCGCAATAATTACGGGTTGTTCTACGCTCAGAGAACCACCGGCCACTGACGCCAATCAGTCCTTGCCCACCTCGCTCGCAGCCATTGAGGAGTTGGTTGAAACCGTTACAACCGAACCAGAACCGGTCGGGCCGAAGGTAACAGTGGACGCATCCGCGCTCGATGCGCCTGCCAACACTCCACTACCAACACACACTCCAAGGCCAACGTACACGCCACGGCCCAAACCCGCTTCCCCAGGAGAAGGCGAACGCCGTCCCGGCCCGCGATTCGAGGCCGCTCTACTCGATGGCAGTTTGTTTGAATTCGCGGAGACCTTGGGGACTCCAACGTTGTTAGTTTTCTGGGCTCCCTGGTGACCTTATTGCCAGCGGGAGTTACCCGCTGTACAAGCCCTCTACGCCGAAGAACTCGAAGCTGCCAGCATCAACGTAGTGGGCGTGTCTCAATTCAACACCACCGAAGCGGCAACCAACGAATTCGTCGATCGGACCGGTTTGTCCTTCCCGAATCTCTTTGACGAGTCGGCACAACTGGCCGATGCGTATGGAGTTGGTGGCGTGCCCTCTTACGTATTTTTGGACAAAGAAGGACTGGTCGCTTACACCAGTTCCGGCGCCCGCGGAACCGACCTGATTCGCGCTCTCCTGACCGAACTCAACCGGGAATGAGCTCTATTTCCGACGACCCCGCTACACTCGTGACCCCGGTGGCTCTTTCAGCTAGCATTGAGCGCCGCCCAGAACGGTTCGGCATGACAGTAGCCCGTTGCATTCCGGTTGTATGATACGTACAATTGTTCTATAAATCGCGCCTCGGGCTGTAAGATTACAACCGATGTGATCGGAACGGTGATATGTTAACCAACCAATTGCCCTCGCCACTATCCGCCACCAAGCCGGCATCCACGCACCGCAGTAGTCTGCCTGCCGACGCCCACCGCATGATCGCTCGCTGGGAAACCTTGGGACGCCCGTGCATAGATCTGCAACCGGGCATCAGTATCAGCAACCTGGAACGGTGGCTGCATAAGTCCCTCCCGGTACCGCGCTCCCACCTGGGCATAGTTCGCGAATACCTTTTTATAGACAGCGCCGACCTGCCATTCTGACGCAGCGTGTCGATGCGGCTCTATAACGATTTGGCTCATCTTTGGCCGATCGTAAGTCCTCCCGAGGAATACGACGTAGAGGCCGCTCTGTGGCTGGACATCATCCGCCAGCATCATTTCGAACCGGGTGGTCGACCTGGGCGCAAACCCAGGCTGCTCGAATTAGGTTGCGGCGGCGGACACCTGTTGTCCCATCTGACTCAGCACGTCGATACCGAAGCAGTTGACATTGCTCCAAAAATGCTGGAGACGTCCCGGCGACTCAACCCACAAACGCGGCACCACCTCGGCGACATGCGAACCGTCAGGCTCGACAAGTCCTTCGACATCGTTGCCATCCACGACGCAGTGAACTACATGCTCACCGAGGATGACCTCACGGCCGCGATCACGACGGCTGCTCTGCACCTGGTTCCCGGCGGCCTGTTGATAATGGCGCCGGACTGCCTCCGGGAGACCTTTCGCGGCCCCCGCGTAATTGACTGGACACGGGGGAACAGCAGCCAAGACGTCACGTTCATTGAATACATGGCAGACCCCGACCCCAACGACACCGTGATCGAATCGGTGTTCATATTCATTATCGACCGCGACGGGAAGATCACGGTGGAGCAGGACCGTCATATCAGCGGGTTGTTCTACAAACAAACCTGGCTCGACCTGCTGGACGAGTCCGGGTTTGACGCCGAGTACCGGGAGACCGAAGCCTACGAGGGCGGGATCGGCGGCCACCTGTTCGTGGGCATCCTCCGCCCCTGAACCCCTGCCCCAGACTCAGCGTAAAATATTATTCTTCGTCCAGGCCGGGGACGGGGAAGCGGTTGCCCAGGTGCCTGACCTCTTCCCCAATTGCAGACAGGGCGGCCTCGTCGCCTATGTTCGCCAGCGTACGCACGATCAACCTGGCAACCTGCCGGGTGTCATCTTCGCCCATGCCCCGGCTGGTGATGGCAGGGGTACCCAGGCGCAAGCCGGACGCAGTTCGTGGAGGCAACTGGTCGTATGGTATCGCGTTCTTGTTGGCCACGATGTTTACCGATTCCAGGGCCCGTTCCGCCTGTCTGCCGGTAATGTCCAGCGGCGTGAGATCCACCAGCATCAGGTGATTATCGGTCCCGCCGGCAACCAGCCGTACGCCAGACTCAGACAACTCCTGCGCCAATGCCTGGGCATTGGCCACCACCTGGTGGGCGTAACGTGAGAAATCGGGCTGGAGGGCCTCGCCGAAGCAAACCGCTTTCGCGGCAATAACGTGCATGAACGGCCCGCCCTGCATATACGGGAAAACTGCGAAATCTATTTTTCGGGCCAGGTCGGCATCGGCGAGAATCATTCCGCCGCGGGGGCCCCGCAGCGTTTTCTGCGTCGTGGAGGTAACGATCTGCGCGTGCGGGAATGGCGACGGATGCGCCCCACCGGCAATCAGCCCCGAGATATGGGCCATGTCGACCATCAACTGGGCGCCCACCGAATCGGCGATTGCTCTGAACCTTGGGAAATCCAGGATACGCGAGTAGCTGCTGCAACCCGCAACGATCAGTTTGGGATTGTGCTCCCGCGCCAGTTGTTCAACCTGGTCGTAGTCGATGGTCTCCGTGTCCCGATCCACGCCGTACGGCACGAAGTTGTACAGGTTACCGGAAAAGTTCACTCCAGCACCGTGGGTCAGGTGTCCCCCCATGTCCAACTGCATACCGAGAACGGTGTCGCCCGTCTCCAATACCGCGAAATACGCCGCCATGTTGGCCTGGGCGCCGCTGTGGGCCTGCACGTTGGCGTGTTGGGCCCCAAACAGTTCCTTGACCCGATCAATAGCCAGCGTTTCAACCACATCCACGTTTTCGCAACCACCGTAGTATCGACGGCCCGGGTATCCCTCGGCGTATTTGTTGTTCATCAACTGGGCCTGGGCTTCGAGCACTGCCTTGCTGGCATAATTCTCCGAGGCGATGAGCACGATGGAATCCCGCTGTCGCCGGTTTTCGTTGGCAATCGCCTGGGCAACGGCAGGATCGATGCGTTCAAGAACTGTGGTCATGGTCAATCGTCTCCTCGGGGATATCAATCATCAGGGTGCGCCAGGTGGCGAAACTGTTTTTTCATCATAACAAATCGAAAGCGGTGGCGGTGGTGCTACGCTCCCGGCCCGGTTTAGACACTGGTGTGGCGAGTTGGCCGGAGCCCACAGACACGAGATGACTTCCGACGCGGCAGCCTTCGAGCGTGGCGCATCTATTCGACGGGACTCATGGATATCACTGCCAGAATTTGTGGTTCAGAGACAGTCAGGACGTCGCTGCGACTGCGGCGAACGACGGAAATATCAGCAGTGGAGGACACTCGATCCATCGATACACGGGATCTTCCGCGCCAGGATCGGCCGCTACGCTTCCCGCTCTATTGCTGTTCTCACCGATGCCAATATGCGACCGTAGGCGTTGCAGCGGCACAGGTTGCCCGACAGCGCTTCTAGGACTTCATCATCGGTTGGCGTGGGGTTGGTGTTTAGCAACGCCCTGGTGGCCATCACGAATCCCGGCGTGCAAAAACCACATTGACCCCCGTCTTCGTCGAGGTACGACTGCTGCAGCTCGGACAATATTCCGCCGGAAGCCAGACCCTCTATGGTCGCAACATTGGTACCGTCGACGCGAGAGGCCAGAACCTGGCAGGCGTTTACAGGTTTGCCATCCAGCAACACGGTGCACGACCCGCACTCGCCCCGGTCGCAACCTCGCTTGGCGCCTGTCAATCCGAGCGAATCCCGCAGCACGTCGAGCAACGACCAATACTGGTGCAGCTGAATCGCCACCGAGTTTCCGTTGACCGTGATATTGATTTCCATCAGATTACCGTGGTCTGGGCTTGAATCTTGAGCAACCATAAGCTCCATCATCCTACGCCCGCGGTCGCCCCTCGGCAAGTGCATGGCGCTACCGTCGTTGACGTCTGACCGGGCCATTGATACCATCAGGCGCAACCCGCCGAAACCCAACGACCCGTCCAACACCGTGGGGCGACCTGATATGACAACCACAACCACACACAAAAAGGCGCACACTGACCCTCCCAGCCGCACTCCCACCGTGGGCCACAGCGTGCCACGGCGAGAGTTGGCAGCACCACTCAGCCGGCGCGGCCTCAGTATTCGGATGGGCGGACATATCAGTTGTGACCAGTGGTACGATAGGCAATGCAAGAAAGCGCCCGGGTATTGTCCGCAGCCCGCATCCCCATGCCGACTTACTCATGTAGATGACAAGTAACGCGTACAGGAAGACGGATCGAGGGGTGTGTAGATTGGGTACTTGGGAGGGGAGGATGCTCTCTGAGGCTCCCTGGCCTGGAAGGTGTCCGTGCTGCTGTTACGCCAGACGATGCTCCGGTCGCCCGTTTGGCCCCCGATTTATTGGTGCTGGACACGCGCGTCAGGTTCGTTGGCGACGAAGTAGCCGCGGTGGCCGCCATTGATCTGGACACTGCTCGTCGCGCTGCTGCAACGGTAAAGGTCGAATATCGGCCCTTGCCTTTTGTTACGGACCCGGTTGCTGCCCTGGAACCCGGCGCACCGGCCATCCACCCCAACGGCAATCTGGCCATCCCTGAACCGTTGGCCCTCCAACGAGGCGACATCGATGCCGGATTTGCAGCCGCCGACATAATTCTCGAAGAGACCTATACTCTGCCGACGCATTCGGCCACACCCCTCGAACCTCGGGCTGCTCTGGCTGCCTGGGAAAATGGTCACCTGACGGTATGGAAGTCCACTCGCGGAGTCCACGTAGACCGGGCGGCGCTGGCCCATGTCCTGGGAGTCCCCGCCGAGCAGGTGCGCGTAATCGGCCCCACCATGGGCGGCGGATACGGCAACAAGGACGAGTCGCGTATGGCGGCGCTCGCTGCATTGTTGGCTCAACGCGCTGGCCAACCCGTCCGCGTCGAGTACAGCCGCGAGGAAGAGTTCGTCGCGGGTCGGACTCGCCACGGAGGCCGGATCAACCTGAGGATCGGCGTGAAAAACAACGGCGATATCACGGCCATCCACGGTGACGCCATCATGGATTCCGGTGCGTATCAATCCTCGGCCCCGGGCGTGGCTCGCCGTGCCGGCCAGGGGATACTTTACCTGTACCGCTGCCCCAACGTTCGGTTCGATGCCCGTCCAGCCACCACCAACAAACCCGTTTCAGGCAGCTATCGCGCTTTGGGAGCTCCCCAGGGACACTTCGCGCTCGAAACGCTGATCGACCGGGCCGCTGACGCCGTCGGCATGGATCCGCTGGCGTTTCGTCTTCGCAATCGTGTACCACTGGAAGGACAGGCTGGACCACGCCTGTCGCCCGCCGACGAGATCGTGGACGGGCAACCTCTTGAAGGCGGCATTCCGTTCTCCAGCAACGGTTTGGAAGAATGTCTCCGCCGCGGTGCAGCCCAGTTCGGGTGGGGAGAACAGTTCGAACGAACCGATGCTTCCGACCCCTTTGTTCGTCGTGGTCGCGGCATGAGCATGATGATCTATCGCGGCGGGGTGGGCTCCGAATCGGCCGCCGGCCTGACCATTGGAACGGATGGCAAAGTACAACTGATCAGCGGATTGATCGACGTAGGCGAAGGGGCCGTTACGGTGCTGGCGCAGCTGGCAGCCGAAGCTCTTTCCATTGGCTACGAAGATATTCAACCGCTGTTCGCCGACACGGCGGCAACGCCCAATGCCCCCATAACGGCCGGGTCCACGGCCACATTCTCCACCGGAACCGCGGTTCTGCAGGCTGCCGAGAAATTACGCGACCGCGTTTTTGCGGTGGCTGCGCGTCAATTGCAGGTACGACGCGATGACCTGTCCATGGCCGACGGTGCGGTGTTCGTCGCCACCGAATCCGCGAACCGAGTGACGTTCGCCCAACTGGCTCAATCAGTGGCCCCCGAATCTTTGAGCGCCGAAGCGACGATCACGCCGGGCAGTCCGGATTACATCGTCAATTCGTTCGGGGCGCATTTCTGCGAGATCGAAGTCGACACTGCCACCGGCCGCGTGCGCGTATCACGGTATGTCGCGGCCCAGGATTCGGGTCGAATTATCAACCCTCGCACCGCATTGAATCAGGTTGAAGGAGCTATTTCCCAGATGCTCGGTTTCGCCCTCAGTGAAGAACTTGTTACCGATGTTCCCACCGGCGTTACGCTCAACGGCAGTTATCTGGAGCATAAAAGCCCAACGATTCGCGACTACCCTGGCGTTGAAACAATCTATGCCAACGTGGTGGACCCCATCGGCCCAATGGGAGCAAAAGCGCTGGGAGAAGTGCCGTCGGTCGGCGTGGCTCCCGCAATAGTAAACGCTTTGTACGATGCCATTGGCGTGCGCTTCGTTGAATTGCCGGTGACCCCCGACAAGATTTTGATTGCCCTGCAAAACCAGCAATCGGGCTCCGAGTAAATCGCTATGCCGTTCCGTCTGAGCCAACCGGCAACACTGAATGAGGCCTGCGCCATCCTGGCCGCCGAACCCAACGGCGCCGCCATGATTGCAGGCGGCACCGATCTGTTGTCTGAAATTCGAAATGGCACCACGAACCCAACCACGCTGGTGGCGCTGGATAACGTGAACGACTCCAACTTGCGCGAAATCGCCGCAACTGCCAGTGGGGAGCTGCGAATAGGCGCCCTGGTCATCATCGCGGACATCGCTTCCCACGCTGAAATCCGTAACAACCATACGGCGCTCGCCGAAGCCGCGACTGGTCTCGCCACTCCACAGGTCCGCAACCTGGGGACATTGGGTGGAAACCTCACCCAGCGTCCACGCTGCTGGTACTATCGCCATCCCCTGACGGTGTGTTTGAAGCGTGGGGGCGACCACTGTTTTGCAGTCCAGGGCATGGGCAAGTATCTCTGCGTCACCGGAGGCGATCGGTGTTTCATCGTGCACCCGTCCGATACCGCAGTGGCGCTGACAGCGCTGGGAGCCTCGGTCAGCATAACCGGCCTCCAGGGGGAATGGAATTTGCCCATCGACCAATTCTTCATCGGCCCGACGTAGATCTGATGAGGGAGAACATCCTGGCGCCAGGAGAGATACTTACGGGCATCACAGTGCCACCGCCATCCCCAACGCAGCGCAGCATTTACCTGAAAGCAGGGGAACGGGAATCTGGAGATTTCGCCCTGGTAAGTGTGGCAGCAGTTATTGATGTGGTGGATGGCACAATCAGTCGGGCATCGATAGTCCTGGGGGGAGTGGCGCCCACCCCATATCGCGCCGCTGCCACCGAGGAATACTTGCGATCCCAACCAACTACCTCGGTATCAATGGCGGAAGCGGGATCGCTGGCGATCGCAGATCGCAGGCCGCTGCCCGACAACGCCTACAAAATTCCCATGGCTGCCAACCTGGTAAACCGGGCCATAACCAGACTTCTGCAACGCGACGGATAGATTCGCCGGGGCTACGATTTGCGTTACGCACGGGCGGATTCGTGCCACGACAGGCGTCCGTCTTGACATCCGAGTACCCCTGTTACAGAATAGCGGCAACTCAAAATTGGCAGGAACGAGAGTATGACAACAGTACAGAGCGGTTCCCGAACCTCCGTAAATGTTAATGGTACCGCCGTGGAGATGTTCTCCGGCGGCAGCGGCCCACCACTGGTCTTTTTCCACGGCGCCGGCGGATCGTCCGGATGGCAGGCCTACCACGAAGACCTGGCGGCCAACTACACGGTATACGTTCCCAGCCAACCCGGCTTCAATGGGACCGAAGGCCCCAGTTGGGCAAAGACCATTGGGGACGTGGCGTTTTTCACCACATGTTCATTGACGCCCTGGGCTTGCAGGATATTGTTCTCATGGGCTCATCAATGGGTGGCTGGGTTTCAGCCGAGATGGCAGCCATGGATGACCACAACATTGACGCCCTGATCCTGGTGGACGCCGCCGGCATCAAACCGATTCAAGGCGAGATCGCAGAGATATTTATGGTTTCCGCCGACACCAGGCTACAGCAGCGCTTCTATGATCCCAGCCAAGTGGAAAACTACGAAATCATCACCCGCGAGTTAACTCCCGAAGAACAGCTGGTAGTCCACTCCAACGCCATCACCGCCTCTCAACTCTGCTGGCGCCCATACCTGAACAACCCGAGCCTTCCCCATACGCTGGCTCGCGTCGACACGCCAACACTCATCGTCTGGGGCCGGGAAGATGCCATCATTCCCGTTGAATGTGGGCACATGTTCCAGCAGGCGATCAATGGCAGTCAGCTTTGCATCATCGACAATTGTGGCCATTCGCCGGCCATTGAAAAGCGCAGCGAATTTGTTTCTGCAGTCAACAGCTTCCTGAACAGCCTTTAGCCGGCAGGAGCCCAACCGTTCCCCAATTACCGGAACCAACCCCGCTGCCACACTCGACCCATTCTGCCGCGCAACACCGAGAAGGAGCAAAACCAACATGGCTCACCAGCTTGAAGTGTTCTGGTTCTCAGAACAACCTTACGGCCACGTCACGGAAGACGATCTGGCGCCCTTTGAATCGGGAAGAATGCACTTCCCCAATACCTTTTTCGATCCCGAAAAGGCGCACGTTCTGTACTCCAACTACCACGACCAGTATCAACTGGCCGACGAGGTGGGCTTCGACGGCATCATGTCCAACGAGCACCACAGTTCGTACTGGTGCATGAAGCCGTCGGTCAACGTTGACGCCGCCGTTATTACCCAGCGTACCAAAAGAGCAAAAATTGCGATGCTGGGCAACGTAATCGCAGTCAATGACCCCGTCAAGATGGCCGAAGAGATCGCCATGCTGGACTGCATCAGCGGCGGCCGTATCATCTCTGGATTCGTTCGGGGCACCGCCGTCGAGACGTTGCATGCCGGATATTCGCCCACGGAAAACCGCCCGCGATTCGAAGAGGCCCACGACCTTATCGTGAAGTGCTGGACGCAACCCGGCCCGTTCCGCTGGGACGGCGAATATTGGCCGCACCGCATGGTCAACCCCTGGGTGGTGCCAATCCAGAAGCCGCACCCTCCGGTCTGGTTCCCCGGCACCGGCTCCCCTGAGTCCGTAATCTGGGCCGCCAAGCACCGGTATCCCTACATGAACCTGGGTTCGCTGCTTGATCTTACGAAGCAGTTGAAGGGTATTTACCACGAAACCGCCGCCGAGGAAGGTTACGAAGCGGGGCCCGAGCACTTCGGTTACCTGATCCGCTGCCTGGTTGCCGACACAGATGAAAAGGCCCAGGAGATTGGCCGAACCTTCCTGTGGACGGAGAACCACCGCAACCGTGGGCCGATGGAATTCAACGACCCGCCCGGTTACCAGTCTCGCGAAGCCCTGCGCATCAAGATGTCGCGCCCCCTGATCGGTACCGGCACCATGGGCCAGCGCATGAGCTATGAGCAGCTGCAGGACGCGTACAATATCATCGTGGGTAGCCCTGAAACCGTAATCGAGAAATTGCGGCACATCCGCGAGGACCTCGAACCCGGTTACATCCTCATCTACGGCAACGAAGGCCACATGCCCCACGAGGACGTGATGCGTTCTGTCGAGTTGCTGGGTACCAGGGTCATCCCCGCTTTGAAAGAGGGCTAGACAGTAAATTCCAGCAACATATCCGCGTACAAAAAGCGTCCCGGAGTGTATCCTCCGGGACGCTTATTTGTTAGGGAATGCCCTGAAAGCTGAAGCGCTAGCTGGCCCCGTTACGTTGTTGGGAGCCGTCAGGGTACAAATCGTCCCACAGCGCGTCCCGCCAATCCACGTCCACGGGCAAAACCGCCTGTGCTGGTCGCAGCATGTAGTAATTGCCGGCAACGCCCGGTGGCGTTTCCCCTTCGGCAACAGTGCGCGTAGCCTGCAGCAACATGCGGCGAGCATAAATGATGGCCATGTCGGTGCGGGACAGGTTCTCCCTGGTGCGGTCTACCACATAACCCATGCTTTCCTGCACAGCAACATCCTGAGCGTTAACACCGTCGATACCGCTGAAGGTTTCCGTTTTCTGAACATCGCGGTTAACCATCCAGTTGTTGTCCCGGTTAACCCTGGTTCGGAAGTTGCCCAGCATGTGCTCGGGACCCCGGCCATAGCTGCGGTCCATCTCCACACGCTCATCATCCCCGATCGGATCATCGTACGACAGGTCCCAGTTCCACACCATGACCGAGTTGTCGTCCATGGGCACCCACATGTGTCCGGAAGCGAGGAAACCCGCTGGCCCGGGCCGGCCCCGGTATCCGCGTTGACTGGCGCGGATCTGGTGGAACGGCATGATGAAGTGATAAGCCCTGATGTGGTTGCCCTCGTCTCCCAGCGAGCGAATTCCGGCGTAACGATAACCGTAGTCGGTTATATCCACCTCCAGTTCCGGCGGCCGACCCTGCACATGTGGCGAGTCAATCCGCAGGCCGGCGTGGGTGGTGTCAGCCCTGAGCGTCCGGTGCAGGATCGTGGCGTGGGCAGAGTCGATCCCCCCTTCCAGCGCCTGCAGCCAGTTGCACTCCTGCATGTTCTTGGTAACGTGACGGTGCGTTGCCGGCACAGAAGCCCACTCAAAGTTTGGCGGAGCAGGAACATGCTCTTTCGGCCCCATGTAGGCCCAAATCACCCCGCCCATCTCAATTGCGGGGTAAGACACCGTCGTCATTTTCGACGGAAAATCACTGTCCGCGGGCTCGTTCATCATGTCGACGCACTGGCCATTGACGTCAAATTTCCAGCCGTGATAAACGCAACGTAACCCGCATTCTTCGTTGCGGCCCAGCCACAACGAAACCAGGCGGTGCGGACATAATTCTTCCAGCAGGCCGATGCGACCCTCGGTGTCGCGAAACGCAACCAGCTCCTCACCCAGCAGTTTCAGGCGGACCGGTTCACCATCTGGTTCGGCCAGCTCCCACGAAAGCAGTGCCGGCATCCAATAGCGGCGCATCAAGTCACCCATCGGTGTGCCGGGTCCGACCTGGGTGAGGGTAATGTTATCGGCCTGTGAAATCATGGCGCTGTTGCTCCTTTTTCCGCCTCAATTGTGCAGCGGTTACTTACGGGTTACAAACCGCATACGCCGCCGAATCCCGGCTACCGAGCGATAACCGGCGATTCTCCTGCAGTCATTTTTGTCCCGTCGATCGAATAGAAGTATCCGGCGGTTGTACGCAGGCCCAAAGGCGAACGCCGCTACGACCGTATATCTTTTCGCTGAATGTACCAATAATCTCCCGCATTATCACGGATTCCCTATCACAGGTCAATTTGCTTAATGCCCTCACGCGTACCCACTTTAATCTGTCATTGCGAGGAGCATAGCGACGTGGCAACCTCGATGAGGTTGAACATACGTCGGCGAACCGCCGTTGCTACGGCGACGAGATTGCCAACCCCCGCACCGAGTACGGGGTCACAATGACAAAGTGGGAAGGCATGAGACTTAATGCCGAGTCTTTTTTATGCGATGCTATATTGGACCCGTTGGAAGTGGTCGCCATTTAGCCCGCATCAGGTTGGAGATTTACGATGATTGTCGATACACATGTTCACATCGGACGCAACCAATACGAACCGGTGGAAATGTTGCTGGCCCAAATGGAGCTGAACGGCGTGTCGAAAACGGTGTTAGTGCAATCCACCGCCACCCTGGACAATTCGTATGTACTGGAATGCAAGCGTCGCTTCCCCGGACGGTTTTCGGTCGTATGCCGCGTTGACGTCGATAATCCTGCTGCCGGCGATACGTTGGAGAGTCTACACGCAGCTGGGGCAGAGACCCTGCGTATTCGCAATTTTCACCGCTCACCGGGAAATTACCCGCTTGCGATATGGCGGCGAGTTGCCGATTTGGGAATGTCCGTAAGCGTCGGGGGCTCGGCGGAGGGCTTCGCTTCCCCCGAGTTTGCCGAGTTGGTAGGGTCATTGCCAAACCTGACCGTAATCATCGAACACCTGGCCGGTATGGGCATCTACGCCATTGGAGCCGATTCGATGCCCTCCGACGACGTGTTCCGCACGTCGTTGACGTTGTCCCGCTTCGACAATACCGCGATCAAGATTCACGGCATGGGTGAGATCAGCGACCCGCCGTTCCCCTATACTAATACGCCTCCGTACGTGCGCATGGCCTACGATGCTTTCGGTCCGGACCGGATGGTTTGGGGCTCCGACTGGCCGCGCGTCACCAATCGGGAGGGCTACCGCAATTCTCTGGCCCACACGATGGAACAGGTGGGTTCCTGGTGCCCGGCCCAGGACATAACGAAAATCTTCGGTGAATCTGCCTTGCGATACTGGGAGTTCGAATAGGCACGACGAACATGGTTCCCGATTATCGGGAAACCTGGCTTGAACAATGGAGCCACGATATTGCAATATGCGATAACGTCTGCAACACTTACTGCGTCCGGAAATAGGAAAATAAATTCCCAGTCCATTACAGGAGATTATGATCCAATGAATCGCTATTTGAAATACGTCGCTGGCGCCGCAATTTTGTTGGTCGTGCTCGCCGCTCTGGCATGCACCCCGGAAGATGCCGCCATAACCGACCCTTCCGGTTCCACCGAACCCACGGTCGCCGTTACTGAAGCCGCCCAAATAGTAGAAGCAACGGCCACTGGCGCTTCCGGTGGCACCGAACCATCCGGCGCCGCCACCGGAGCAACCCAGGCGGGAGAAGCAACGGCCATTCCTGGCGGCAGCGAGGCCACCTCAGCCACCAACCAGGGCGAAAGCAGGCTTGCCATCGTTCAGGATCGTGGCACCGTGATTTGCGCCAGCAACAACGGGCTGGCGGGTTTCGGCTTTATTGATGGCGACGGCAACACCGTGGGCTTTGACATTGACCTGTGCCGTGCCGTGGCCGCCGCTGTTCTGGGCGACGCCAGCGCCGTAGAGTTCCGGCCCACCACCGCCTCCGAGCGGGGGCCGACTATGCAGTCCGGAGAAGTGGATTTGATGTCCCGCAATACCACCTGGACCAGTTCACGCAACGCGCAGTGGGGCAACTTCGCGCCGACCATGTTTTACGACGGTCAGGGCTTCATGGTTCCCAAGAGCCTGGGCCTCTCCGGAATGATGGAGCTGGGCGGCTCCAAGGTGTGCGTCCAACAAGGCACCACAACTGAACTGAACCTGCAGGACTTTATCGATCAGAACAGCCTGGATATCGATGTGGTGGTCTTCCCCGACAACGTCACCACCAGCGCCGCCTACATCGCAGGCCAATGCGATGCCCTCACTACCGACCGTTCCGGACTGGTGAGCACGCGCGCCGGATTCGACAACCCCGACGACCACACCATCCTGGCCGGCACCATCTCCGAGGAGCCGCTGGGCCCAGTAGTGCCTCACGGCGATGAGCAGTGGTACGACCTGGTGAGCGCCGTAATGACCATCCTGATCTACGCCGAGGCTTACGGGATTACCGCCGACAGTGTGCCGACCGATGCTACCGGCAACTCCGCCGTTGACCGGCTGTTGGGACTGGCCGGTTCCTATGGCCAGGAGACAATGGGTCTCAGCGAGACTGCGGCGCAGGATGTCATCCGGGCCGTCGGCAACTATGGCGAGATCTACGACCGACATTTGACCCCATTGGGGTTGGAGCGGGAAGGCGGCCGCAACGCGCTGTGGGTCAGTGCCCCCTGCACGGATTGCCCCAAGGGCGGACAGGTGTACGCCGCGCCGCTGCGATAAGTACGCGCACTTAGCCGGTATTCCCCTCAGTGGGCTAGTAGGGGCGGGTGTAACACCCGCCCCTACGACTGTTAATCAGCTGGCGAGCTTGACCAATTGGGGACATTCCCGGTTCAGATTCCGTTGCCGGCAAGCAAACGTCGTAGCGATGCGATAAAATCGCCGTGTCATTACCCCGATATACCCGACCGGTCTACTCGACATCGCTATGAGCCAGCCACCGCGAGTTTTAACCTACCAGGGCATTCCCTTCTGGCGCCACGCCCAAATCATTCGATGGGTAGCGCAGATGGTGTCCGGCATCGTAGTTCTTGGCCTGGTCGTCTGGTTCCTGGTCAACATAGGCAACGCCGTTCAGGAACGGGATATTCCCTCCGGTTTCAGCTTTCTGTCCCGGGAGTATCAAACCCCCATCGGGGATACCTTTATCCCCTACGAATCGTCCGATACCTTCCTCTACGCCTTTGGCGTTGCCGCCGTCAACACCGTGGTTGTCGCGGTGGCGGGCGTCATTCTGCCACGCTGCTCGGCATCGTCATTGGCGTCGCCCGATTGTCCGGCAACTGGATTGTCTCTCGGTTGGCGCTCATCTATGTAGAGTTTTTCCGCAATGTTCCACTGCTGGTGCAGCTGCTTTTCTGGCTCTTTTTTGTGCTGGCGTTACCGGTGGAACGCGAAAGTTACGTTATCGCTGGGAGGCTTTACATCAACAATGCCGGCATCTCCATACCCTGGCCGACGGCAACTGCGTTTTGGCCGGCGCTAGTTTTGGTTGATGCTGACAGCAGCGGCCGTCATCGCCGGGGCATCAGCGTACCGACGCCTGACCCGTCGTGAAGTCGAAACGGGCCGGCCGTCATATCCCGTGTTGAGCGGCTGTGCGGTGGTGGCGCTGGTCGGCGTCGTAGCCTGGCTGGTTGTCGGCGTCGCATCCGGGGACGCGCCTTTCGTCATTTCGATGCCAGAGCCGCAGGGCCGGTTCGCCCGCGTTAGCGGGGGATTCACCGCCCGGGCTGGGTTCCTGGTGCTGCTGATAGCTCTGGTGATGTATACCGCATCATTCATTGCCGAAATCGTGCGGGCCGGCATACAGTCGGTGGGGCGTGGTCAGGCGGAGGCGGCCCGCGCACTGGGTCTGCCGCCCATGGTTGCCCTGCGACAGGTCATTTTCCCGCAAGCCTTGCGCGTCATTATTCCGCCGTGGATTAGCCAGTGCCTCAACCTTACCAAAAACAGCAGCCTGGGGTTGGCGGTGGGCTTTACCGAACTCACCAGCGTTGCCCAGACCATGACCCAGACTGCACCGGCAATCTCCATCTTTATGGTACTGATGGTGGCCTATCTGGCAATGAGCCTGACCTGGTCGCTGATCGGAAACCTGTATAACCGGCGCATCCGGTTCTCGTGAGGACCGGTCATCCGAGGTTAGAACGTGGCTGCCGAACCCAACGCCGCACCCCCATCTCCCGCGTCCATCGGCGCTCGCATTGCCGCCGCCACGGATGAGCGTGGGCGCAGCCGGCTGGATTCGCGCCAATCTGTTCGGCAACTGGTTCGATAGCCTGCTCACTGTCGTATTCGGTGCGGCCCTGGCATTGGGCGCTTGGTACGGGTTGGGCTGGGTCTTCCTGGATGCCGACTGGACGGTGGTGACCGAATTTGGGCGGTCGGTTTGTCATCGGCCAGTACAATACCACCGAGGCCTGCCCCGGCAACAACTGTTTCTGGAGGCCACAGATCGCGCTGATGCTGGTAACGGCGCTGCTGGGAATGGGATGGGTGGTCGCCGGCGGCGGGGTAGCCAAACGCATCGCAATCCTGGCGACGGCCGCGATCGCATTGTTGGCATTCCTGCCCTACGGTCTGGACCGGATGGGGTGGGACGTGCGACTGCTGCTATTGGCGAACGTGCCAGCGTTGATAGCGGGATGGGGGTTGGCCCGCTATACACCGCTGGGCACATCGCGCTGGATCGTAATTCTGTCCGTGGCGTCATTCTTGATAACCCTGGTGCTGCTCCGCGGCCTGCCGGGAGTACCGGGCTTGCATCCGGTGTTGGTTCGCAACTGGGGCGGCCTGATGCTGAACCTGCTGCTGGCGATAGCCGGCATCGTACTCAGCTTCCCAATTGGCGTCGCGTTGGCACTGGGTCGGCGTAGCCACCTGCCGGTAGTGCAGGTACTGTGTGTAATTTTTATCGAAGTTTTCCGCGGCGTGCCGTTGATAACACTGCTGTTTATGTCGCAGACTCTGGTACCGTTGGCATTCCCGGAGGACTTCCCTCAAAATTCGCTGTTTCGCGCCGCGGTGGTCATCACATTGTTCAGCGCGGCTTATATGGCGGAAAACATCCGCGGGGGCCTGCAAGCGATACACCCGGGCCAGGCAGAAGCGGCACGGGCGCTGGGACTTCCCAGCTGGCAGACCACAATGCTAATCTCCCTGCCACAAGCCATCCGCAACGTCATTCCTGCTATCGTGGGGCAGTTCATCGGTCTTTTCAAGGACACCAGCCTGGTCTATATCATCGGAATGCTGGACATTGTTGAAGTTAGCCGCGTGTTCATATCCGGCAACACCAAATACCTGAGCAACGCAGCGGAAGTTTTCCTCTTCGTCGCCCTGGTCTTCTGGATTTTCACCTACGGGATGTCCTACGTGAGCGGGGCGGTTGAGAAGCATTTGGGCGTGGGTGTACAATGACGATGACGGGCATGGCTTCACCCTCCCCAGCGGTGATCGAGGAAACCTGAAATGGCAGCGGAAATAACGCAACCGACTGACAACATCATCGTTTGCAACGACGTTCATAAGTGGTTTGGCAACTTCCACGCTTTGCGGGGCATTTCCACCACCGTCAAACGCGGCGAAGTCGTCGTCATCATTGGGCCTTCGGGTTCCGGCAAGTCCACTTTCATTCGCACTCTGAACCGGCTGGAGCAGCACCAGCGGGGCGAGATATTTGTTGACGGGATTGAGTTGTCCAACGACGTGCGCAACGTCGATGCCATCCGCCGGGACGTGGGAATGGTTTTCCAGTCCTTCAACCTGTTCCCGCATCTGACCGTGTTGCGCAACATTACGCTGGCTCCCATCAAGGTGCGCAAGCTGCCGGCTCGGGAGGCAGAAGCCATTGCGATGGAATTGCTGGAGCGCGTGGGCATCCCGGAGCAGGCCGACAAATATCCGGCACAGCTTTCGGGCGGTCAACAGCAGCGGGTGGCCATCGCCCGGGCCCTGGCCATGCAACCCAACATCATGCTCTTCGACGAACCAACTTCGGCGCTGGACCCTGAGATGATCAAGGAAGTGCTCGAAGTAATGCACGAGTTGGCCGCGTCCCACATGACCATATTGGCGGTTACCCACGAACTTGGATTCGCCCGCGAGGTTGCCGACCGCATCGTTATGTTCGACGAGGGCCAGATTGTCGAAGACCAACCACCCGATGAATTTTTTAACAACCCGCGGCATGAACGGGTTAAGCATTTCCTTTCTCAGATCCTCTAACCTGAACACAATGTATCAGCATAGGTTGAGCATCAGGGTCACCAAATCCATCGTTTTAGTGAACGGCCATGATCGGAATTAGCCGGATCGGCAAATGGATTTGGGCCAGCGCCGATTCTCGTTCAGCCAGGGCTCGCGAGCGCAGGTTGCCAGTGTGGGAATATTTGTGGTTCACGCGGGTGTACCGGATCTGCATTGTGTTGGGATGGTGCGCTGTCGTAGCCTTTTTCCTGATCTGGAATCTGGTTTGGGCCACATCCTGATACCGGCGCGAATTCCGCCGCATCCCAGGCTCCCCTGAATTGCCGCCCCCCTGAGGGCACTGTACAATCGCATCCAAATCATTCATCCCCAGGCGCTTGGAGGATTGGTATGCCGGACCAACAAATGCAGATTGGCGTTGTGTTTCCCCAGACTGAGATAGGAGCCGACCCAATTGCCGTACGGGATTACGTGCAGGCGGCCGAGCAACTTGGATTCGCTCACATCATTGCCTATGACCATGTTCTGGGAGCCGATACCGCTTACCATCAGCCGTGGGCGGGCAGCTACACGAAAGACAGCATGTTTCACGAAATCTTCGTTGCTTTCGGATACATGGCTGCACTCACCACCAAAGTAGAGCTCGTTTCGGCGATCCTTATCCTGGGCCAAAGGCAAACCGCTCTCGTCGCCAAGCAGGCTGCCGAGGTCGATATATTGAGCGGAGGGCGATTAAGGTTGGGCATCGGCGTAGGTTGGAACCACGTTGAGTACGAGGCGTTGGGCGAAGATTTTTCGACGCGAGGACGGAGAGCCGAGGAACAGATTGAATTGCTGCGTCGGCTCTGGACCGAAGAAGTCGTCGATTATCACGGCAAATACCACAACATTACTAACGCCGGGATCAACCCCCCTCCCGTGCAACGGCCAATCCCAATCTGGATGGGAGCTGGCAGCCGTGGGCGCGGACCGATCCCGCCCGACCGTGTGCTCAGCAGAGTGGGACGGTGTGCTGATGGCTGGTTCCCGCAATTTCAGTGCGACGACCCCATGGCGGCTGCCACCATCGCGAGAGTCCGCCAGGCTGCGGCGGACGCCGGCCGAGACCCGGACGCCCTTGGCATGGAACCCCGGGTCAACTACTCGGACGGTGATCCCGAGTATTGGCAGGCCACACCGCTGAAACGTGGCGTGGGCTGGGCGCCACCCACTTCTCGGTGAACACCATGTCGGCCAACTTGAATACTCCCGATGCCCACATCAACGCGATCCGAGAGTTCAGGGAAGTCATCAACGGGTAGCGAGTCCTGTTAGCGCCGACACGTCGGACCGACATGTTGGTTGATCGGTCGGCGCGTCGCTAACCATCATTTGCAGGAGACGACTACAGGAGGCGACAATCATGGGCAGACTGGATGGCAAGGTGGCTTTGATTAGTGGCGGCGCGCGGGGCTCAGGAGCGACGCGAGCTCAGGAGTTGGATGTCGCTCCGAGGGGGCGTGCGTGGTATTCGGCGATATTCTGGACGATGAAAAGGCGCAGAGTTGGCGGCGAGAAATACTCGAGTGGCCGCAGGCCAGGCCTCTAGTCCATCGTGGACTGTCACCCGATGAGGCAGACTGGGCGGCGGCCGTCAACCGGGCAGTTTCAGAATACGGCAAGCTGGATGTTCTGGTGAATAACGCCGGTATAGTTCTGGGTCGCAGCATCGAAGAGATGACGGTCGAAGAGTGGGACCGCTTAGTCGACGTCAACGCAAAAAGCGTATTCTCGGGGTATTCCGAATGCGCTTCCCTGGCGCACATGTTGCGCGACGCTGGCGGTGGCAGCATCGTCAATATCTCATCCACCGCCGGTTTGGTCGGAAACGACTACAACCTGGCCGGATACAGCAGCACCAAGGGCGCGGTACGCCTGTTCACCAAATCCACGGCGATTCAGCACGCCCGGGATGGCATCCGGTGCAACTCGTGCACCCGGGCCCGATTGACACTCCTATGCTGGCGGAATCTCGTCGGGGTCGTGGCGCGTTAACCGATGAACAGCAACGCCAACGCACGCCCCTGGGACGAATTGGTCAACCGGAAGATATCGCCTTTGCGGTCATCTACCTGGCGTCCGACGAATCCTCGTTCGTAACCGGTAGCGAGGTGGTGGTCGACGGGGGACGCACTGCGATGTGAGATCGAGCAATCCGATATGCCCGCGACCTGGCCGTCTACACGGGCTGGACCGGTTGAACCGCAAAGAGGGACGCTTGGTGCGTCCCTCTCAACTTGGGAAATATGAAATGGTCGGGGCGGCCAGATTCGAACTGGCGACCCCCTGCACCCCATGCAGGTGCGCTACCGGGCTGCGCTACGCCCCGTCCCGACTCTTCCAAGATAGCATACGGTATTTTGGGGCGCAACTTACGGCTGCCGTGGTCGTGTAGATAAGCAGCTCTCGTGGATGATCTTGAACGCGCCACGAGACTAAATTTCCGAAAGATAGACCGTCATCTGCGATCGTCTGTATTTCATATTTTCCGTTAACATATATCGGAGAACTCAACCACCAGGCGGGATCGACAGCCCGCTTCGTGTCGCGCCGCCCACTCTTCTGAACCTCGTTATGACCCTACGGGACTGTTACCGCTATTCTAGCGAGATCCGAACGCACCGCGGCTTAGCGCCGGTTGACGAGATTCGCCTGGCTTACCGCAGGCTCGTTCGCCTTTACCACCCAGACCTCAATTCCGGTCCGGAAGCAGAATCGCGAATGCAGCAGATAAACGAAGCTTACAGCACCCTGTCCGACCCGCAGCGTCGCCGGCAATACGATCTGGGGAGCCTTGGCGTCGGGACGGCGGCGCGGCGCTACTCCCGCGGATCAGTCAATCGGACGCGCCAACGTGCTGCCAGAGGCGGTGGCGATTCCCCCGATGCTCGAGCCGGTGAAGATTTGAAGGTTTCCGTTTTCATAAATCCCCGGGAAGCACGCCTGGGAACCCGCAAGTCGTTTCGGATCGAACGGCTGGAAGTCTGTCCCAGATGTCGGGGAACCGGGACCGAACCCGAAGAAACGCTTACCGCGGGGGCCTGCTGGCGGTGCGCCGGCAAGCAACGTCTCCCCAGAGAACTGCGATTGCAGGCGACCATACCGGCAGGCGTTAGCGACGGCGCCCGGTTTAGGCTGCGAGGACAGGGATGCGCTGGAATTAACGGCGGCCCTCACGGTCATGTGTACATCACGGCCCGCCTGTCGAAATCCTCGAGCATCGTTCAGGCATTCACCTTTCTGATGCGTCACCTGTTTTATTAAACAACATGGTTGATGAAAGGTATTCTGACCTAACGTCGCATCTGAGTCAGTGGCAATCCGCAGTACCCGCTCCGGGACTTGCGCTGGTCATCACTGACCGACGACACACCTTGTACACAGCCAGGCTTGGCTACGCCGACGTATCAGCCCGTCAACCAGTGCTCGCCGACACCACTTTTCAGATCGGCAGCATTGGCAAGTCCATGACTTCCCTCGCATTGATGCAACACGTTGAATCCGGCCGCCTCGACCTGAACGCGCCGTTGAGTACGCATCTTCCCTGGTTCGCGTTCCCCTCCAACTTCGGTCCCGTAACACTCCGCCACGTGATGAGTCACACGGCCGGGTTACCCTCAGGGACAGATTTCACCCCAGCGTCCCGCTATGAAGGTTACGCGCTGCGCTACACGCAGGCCGCATGGGAGCCCGGTGATCGGTTCCATTACTCCAACACTGGCTACAAGCTATTGGGATGGTTGTTGGAGGACTTGGAGAACGCTCCGTATGCAACCGTCCTGCGCCGCCGTGTGCTGGAACCGGTGGGCATGACCAAAACCGACCCTGTTGCCGCTCATGCCAATCGCCACCGCTTGGCCACCGGGTACGTGCCGCTCCATGACGATCGCCCGTATCGCATTGGTGACACACTGATCCCAGCGACATGGATGGAATATAACGCCGGCGACGGCAGTCCGGCAGCCACGATTGAAGATATGGCAAGCTATGCCCGGCTTTGGCTTAACGGTGGTCGCGTGGGGCAAAGGGCGCTGGTTTCTGCCACATCATTTCAACAAATGACCTCGCCTGTTATCGCCATGAATCGGGGCGAGCAATATGAGCACGACTACGGTTACGGGTTCGGAATCATTTCACACCAGGTTGACGGCCACCGATTTATTGGCCACGGAGGAAGCACGGTAGGATTTCGGGCCATTATGTTGGTGGACCAAACCGATTCGCTGGCGGTCGCGTTGTTGTGCACCGGCTCGGACGTGGACACATATACACCAGCGCACTACGCGCTACAGGTAGCGGCCGCACTTCGCGACGGGTTGCCGATGCCCTCACCGCCCGGCGCTCCCAACCGCGAAGAGGTTCCCAACGCTAATCGGTATGCCGGCGATTTCATCAATGAGGTTTCCGGGTCTCGGCTCAGCATCAGGAACGAAGCCAACCGTTTGATACTTGACGCACATTCCCCGGATCGGTCCCCGGTACTTGCCGGCGTCCGTTTGCAGCACATCTCAGGCGAGACCATTGTGGTACCCGCTGATTCCTTCGACCCGTTCCCCCTCCGGTTCCGGTTCCAGGGTTCTGCTGGATCTGCGTCTACGGCCGATGAAGTTCACCATGGTGGAGACGTATACATCAGGGCGGACGCATCCCCAACCGTTGACGTTGTTCCGTATCCCCGAACCTGGGAGGCCGTGCCTGGCCACTATCGCAGCCACGCTCCGTACGTATCCAATTTCTGGATCTACCTGCGCCGGGGACGGCTGTATCTGGCGTGGCCGAACGGCGGCGAGGAAACATTGACCGAAGAGACTTTGACCGGAAAAACGTACAGCCAACACGAGACCGGGTGGTTCGGCGTCGGCCCGGCTGGAGAACCCACGGCAGAACGGATCAAATTCGGACCTGTAGTGGCGGGCAAAGCGCTGCGGGCCAGGTGGACTGGCGGTGGGGATTTCTACCGCGTGAGCTGATTCCCTGTCACATCCCGCCGATGGGATTCTTCACGTCCGGCGGTAGTATCAGTCTGGCGATATGGTTTAACCCACGCGTTGGCGAACTAGAGCTGGCCGATATACTCTTCGTACGCGGCGGCATTCAGCAGCGTATCCAGCTCCGACGCATCGCTGATTTTGACCCTGAGCATCCACCCGTCGCCGAACGGATCATTATTGACCAACTCCGGCTCGCGGGCCAACCTGGCATTGACCTCCATCACATCTCCGCTCACGGGCGAAAAGAGGTCGGAAACAGCCTTGACTGATTCAATCTCACCCATCTTCGCCAGGTGACCTACGCTGGCTCCGATTGCGGGTAATTCCAGATACACACGTCACCCAACTGGTCCTGGGCGTAGTGGGTTATGCCCACCAACGCCAGACCCGCAGAACCGTCCTCCAAAAGGACCCATTCGTGCTCGCGAGTGTATTTTCGGTCTTTGGGATTCACGTTGTTTACATCCTCCAGCGATTGAATGAAGCGAGGCGGTCGATCCATCGCTACGACGGGCGTTTGTAGAAGGGCAGTTCCGCCGTGGCAGCCGGCGCTGCGCGGCCGCGTATATCCACCGTGAGTTCTGCATCGACACTGTCCGAGTCGACGAAAGCCATAGCGATGCATTTTTCCAGCGTGGGGGAGTAACTGCCGCTGCTAATAACTCCAACCACGGCGCCGTTAGCGAAATACCTCGTACCCGGCGCGAGGAGCGCTGCGACCGGGCAAAGTCAGGCCGACCAGCTGACGCGGCGTGCCGTACACCCTTTGGTGGTCGAGGACATCGGCCCCGTTGAATCCGCCATCGCGCCGTACAAAACGGCCCATTCCGGCTTCGATCGGGGAAATGTCGTCCGCCAATTCGTGACCGTGCAATGGCAACCCCGCCTCCAATCTCAATACGTCGCGGGCTCCCAGGCCACAGGCCACTGCCCCGGCGGCGCAAAGTTGTTCCCAAATAACGGGGGCGTCGCCTGAACCCAAAGCAATCTCGAAGCCGTCCTCTCCGGTGTATCCGGTGCGGCCAACGAACACCCTGCGGCCGTCGATGTGGCCGCGACCCCAGGAAAACGGTCGCAGCGTTGACGGGACCGGCGATCGGCCCGGGTTGTGCGCCACACGGGTGCCCGGCGAAAAATCTTCGCAGATACGGTCGATTATCTCGGCAGCTGATGGGCCCTGTAAGGCTATCAGCCCCGTGGCAATGGTCCGGTCCGTAATCTGCACTCCCCTGCCGTCGAAATGCTGGGCAAGCTGCCTATCGAACCACAGTGAAACCCCCGGCCGATTGCCGGCATTGGGGATGAGCAAAAATTCGTCCTCGGACAACCGGTAGAAGATGGTGTCGTCAATTACGCCGCCGTCTTCTTTGCAGATGAAACAGTACCGCGCCCGGCCAACCCTGAGACCCGACGCTGATCCCGTCAGAAGAATGTCCAACAGAGCAGCGGCGTTGGGGCCATCCAGGTGTAAGCGACCCATGTGAGAGACATCGAACAATCCGGCGCCATTGCGAACGGCAGCAACCTCGTTGATGATGCCCCCATACTGCACGGGCATATCCCATCCGCCGAACGGCACCATACGGGCCCCCAAGGCTACGTGGGTGTCAAACAACGCCGTGCGCAGGTTCTCTGTATTAGGGGATTCTGCAGTCATCGTATCTTCTATGTTATGACGGTTGAGTGGTCAGCCTGCGATTCATCATACCGCCCTGATGGGGAGCGTGCAATGATTGTGACCAGGCCGATCTCCGGTTCGATATGTTATCATTACTGACCAAATCAAGCCGGGCCCAGGGAAGATTTCTGATCGACCGCCGGAGCGTCTGAGGATAGAATGCCGCGACTTACATCACAGGAGATCGACGCATACCTCGCCGGCGCTCATGTCGCCCACTTCGCCTCGATCCGTCAGGACGGCACACCACACATATCGCCAGTTTGGTACCGATGGGAAGACGGTAAAGTCACCGTTGTTTCCGGCGCCTCTGCAGTGAAAACGCGGAATGTGCTCCAAAATCCCAAGGTTGCAATCTCCGTGGCCACCGACGAATGGCCTTACCAGTATGTGATTCTGGAAGGCGATGCTACCGTGGAGAACTCCGATCTGCGTGATACGGTACGCAGCATCTTTTCCCGCTATGAGGGGACAGAACGCGGCGCACAGGACGCTGACGAACTGACCAAAAGCGACCAGCGACTCGTTGCAATTATAGTTGACGTCAATCGTGTTATGTCCTGGAAAGGTGTCGACGAATAATCCATTGCCTGGCTCTGCCGATGTAGTGATCATCGGTGGCGGCGTCATAGGCTGCGCTATCCAGTACCACCTGGCGCAACTGGGTGTCTCCAACACGGTTCTGCTTGAACGCGACGTGCTGGGTTCCGGCAGCACCGGTCGGTCTCAGGCGATCTGTCGCATGCATTACTCCAACCCGATTACCGCGACCCTGGCGTGGCAGAGTCTTCAGGTTTTCACCGAGTTCGACGAGATAGTGGGCGGAGAGTCCGGTTTCGTACGTACCGGTTACCTGGTGGTGGTGAAAGATGACGACCGCGCCGGGTTGCAACGCAACGTAGCATTGCTGCAGGAATTGGGGATCGACACCTCGGTGGTCACTCAGGATGACGTGAGCCGACTGGCCCCGGCGATTCGATTGTACGACGATGAACACGCAGCCTGGGAACCCCTTTCCGGGTACGCCAATCCGCATCAGGTTACCGTTTCTTACGCCGCCCGCTCGCGGGAAGCGGGAGCACACATTTCAATGCGCAACCCCGCCGCCAGTATCGTGTATGACGGCCGCCGGGTTCAGGCAGTAACCACCCAGAACGGCGAACGCATTGCGACCGAAACCGTGATAATCGCCGCCGGACCGTGGTCATCCCGCCTGTTGTCTGCCATCGGCGTAGAAGTCCCGCTGTTGCCGGTGCGCCATCAGGTGGCGACAGTCGCCCGTCCCATCGAACGGGTGCCCCACCATCCCACGGTTGGCGACATCAGCCAATCGTTTTCCTTCCGGCCAGACGGGTCTGCATTTACCATGATGGGATTCGGCAACGATGAAGAGCAGCCGAATCCTGATTCCTATCCTGAGGGCATAGACCCGGCCGACGCCGCGTCTGCAATCTCCCGGTTGGGTCGACGCATGCCGGGTATGGAGGATTCCTACTACCGGGGAGGTTGGTCGGGATTGTTTACAACCACGCCCGACTGGCACCCGGTACTGGACGCGGTTTCTGGCGTAGATGGTCTTTATTGCGCCGTGGGGTTCAGTGGCCACGGGTTCAAGCTGTCGCCGGCCATCGGGAAAGCCGTGGCTGAGCTGGTGGTGGAACAACGAGCCAGAGACGTTGACCTCACTCCCCTGCGTCTGGACCGATTCCGGGACGGCGATTTGCTGGAATCAAGTTATCGTTATAGAGTATTGGCATAGGAAGCCCTGCTCATTGAAGTGCGCAAACGGGGAATGTCTCCTCGTCCGGTCCCATGGTTGTAACCACCAGAACGGATTGCGCCTGAACCAGAGCCGCCGGTTCCCGGTCCTTTTCCGGAACGGATACGGGCAAAAAAACCGGGTCACCATCAACCAGGCGCGCCGCATGGCACGTCGTCTGAAACTAACGGAGCAACCCAACATGGTTACCGAATTTCAGTCTCATTACATCCCTAACACTGTGGCTGAGCAGATGCAACTGCTGGATTCCATTGGTTTGGGAACCATCGATGACCTCTTTCTAGATATTCCCGACGCTTACCGGAATCCTTCTCTGGATCTGCCGGGTCCCATGTCCGAGCTTGATATTCAACGAGAACTCGGGGAATTGGCATCCAGAAACCGGCCCCTGGCCAGCGGCCCTTCGTTTCTGGGCGCCGGGTGTTACCACCATTTCATTCCCGCGATAGTGAAAGCCCTGATGACCCGCGGCGAGTTCCTCACCGCATACACTCCATATCAACCGGAGGTATCTCAAGGAACTTTGCAGGTCATTTTTGAATTCCAAACCATGATTAGCGCTCTTTACGGGATGGAGGTGGCTAACGCCGGGATGTACGACGGAGCCACCAGCCTCGCCGAAGCGACACTGATGGCCTGCCGGGTTACCGGGCGAAATCGCCTGGTCGTCTGCGACAGTGTGGCGCCTTCATATCGTCAGGTAATAGCCACCTATTGCCAGGCTCAGGGTATCACCATCGATGTGGTCACTACCGCCGACGCCGGAGGGGTGGCCAATGAAGCCACCGCTGGGATTGTGGCTCAATATCCCAACTTCTTCGGGACGCTTGACGACCTGGCCGCGCTCGGAGACGCCATCCATGGCGAGGGCGGTCTCCTGGTAGTGTCGGCCGATCCGCTGGCGATGGGCATGTTGCGCCCACCGGGTGCATTCGGAGCCGACATCGTCGCCGGTGAGGGTCAACCTTTGGGCATACCGCCATCATTCGGCGGTCCGTATCTGGGTCTGTTCAGTTGCAAACAGCAATACATTCGCCAAATGCCCAGCCGATTGGTGGGTCGCACCACTGATACCGAAGGCCGCACCGGCTACGTGCTCACGCTGCAAACCCGCGAACAGCATATTCGGAGGAACGCGCAACGTCCAACATCTGTACCAACGAAGCCCTGTACGCGCTGGCGTCGTCGATATACCTGGCAGCCATGGGTCGCCACGGGCTCCGGCAGGTGGCAGAGCTGTGCTACCACAAATCCCACTACGCCGCCCAGCAAATCAACAACCTGCCGGGTTACTCGTTGCCGGTGGAAGGCGAGTTCTTTCAGGAGTTTGTGGTGTCCTGCCCAATTGACCCGTCAGCCGTGAACCTTCAGTTGATGGAGCGCAATATTTTAGGCGGGTTGGACGTAAGCGACCGGTTCAACAACGGAATGTTGCTGTGCGTAACTGAAATGAATACCAAATCGGACATCGACCAATTGGTCGATGTCCTGGCCACAATCGGGTAATGCGATCGGTTTTGGTTACTCGAGATTCATTGGCACGGAACCTAACGGGAGACATACTGCAAGATGATGAATAAAGGCGGAAATAGAGACACTTCCCGTCTGCTGATGGATCGGAGTGTGCCCGGTCGGGTTGGAACGATCGCACCCACATTGGATGTGCCGGCTGCCCCCATGCCGGATCCCGCGTTTCTGCGCGATGATCTGCCGCTGCCTGAAGTGTCGGAACCCGAAGTGGTGCAGTACTTCACCACGCTGAGTCAACTGAACTTCAGCATCGACACCCATTTCTACCCGCTCGGTTCGTGCACGATGAAGTACAACCCGAAGATCAATGACGATATGGCGTTTCTGGCCGGATTTGCCGGCATTCATCCCCTGCAACCTACCGCCCAGGCCCAGGGAGCGTTGGAATTGCTCTACCGGCTCCAGGATTGGCTGGCGGAAATAACCGGAATGGCCAACACCAGCCTGGCCACTCTGGCCGGCGCCCACGGCGAATTGGCCGGCGTATTGATGATGCGCGCATACCACCTGGCACGCGGCGACGCTGGCCGCACCAAAATGGCCATACCCGACAGCGCCCACGGCACCAACCCGGCATCGGCGGCAATGGCTGGATTTGAAGTGGTGACCCTACCCTCTGACGCCGACGGCAACACCGACCTGGTTGCGTTGCGCGGGCTGTTGGGCGACGACCTTGCCGGCGTTATGATCACCCTGCCCAGCACCTTGGGGTTGTTCGACACCAATATCCTGGAAGTGTGCCGGTTGGTCCACGATTGCGGAGGGCTGGTGTACGGCGACGGCGCCAACATGAACGCCCTGCTGGGACGCGCCAAGCTTGGCGCGTTGGGCTTTGACGTTTGCCATCTCAACCTTCACAAGACATTCAGCACCCCGCACGGCGGTGGCGGGCCCGGTGCGGGTCCGGTGTGCTGTGGCGACAATCTGGCTCAATATCTTGCCGCGCCGATTGTCATCCGTACTGACGGCGGGGATTACGAATTCAGCGAACCAGCTGGAAGCATCGGAAAGATAAGCAGTTTCCACGGCAATTTCGGCGTGTTGGTACGTGCCTACACGTATATCCGAACGCTGGGCGCCGATGGCCTGAGATCCATCAGCGGCAACGCGGTGCTGAATGCCAATTATTTGATGCACTCTTTGAAGGACATCTACTCACTACCATACGATCGCACGTGCATGCACGAGGTAGTGTTCTCCGCGGACTGGCAGCGCGAACGAGGTGTCAGTGGACTCGAGGTCGCCAAACGGCTACTGGATTACGGGTTTCATGCCCCCACGATGTATTTCCCGCTCATAGTCCACGAAGCGTTGATGATTGAGCCCACCGAGTCAGAAAACAAAGACACGCTGGACGCATTCATCGGCGCCTTGCGGGCCATCGACGCCGAGGCCACATCGAACCCGGAGCTGGTGCAGAATGCGCCGCACACCACGCCGGTCGCCCGCCTGGATGAAGCCACGGCGGCGAGACGACCGGTATTGAGGTGGGAACCCGAAGCAGCTGATTAATTCAGCCGGGGCCTGACCCGGGACGGATTTATCCGCCCTGCTCAGCCTCCAGGGCCTGGCGCAGCGCCTCAGGGTCCACGTGGACTTCTACCCCGGAGCGCTCTTCCTGCAACAGCATGGCAACGCGAGAGTCGCGGCCGGCCCATCCGCGGTTCAACGCTTCCGTCATTTCGGCGAGCGTCGTGTTGGCCAGTTTCATGGGCACGTCGAATTCTCTCCCCACGGCAACCGCCAGATCCACGTCTTTGCGAGCCAAACGAAGCGCGAAGTCTGGCGGGTCGAAATCGTTGATCAGGAAGTGTTGAGCCAATCCCTCGAACATGCCGCGCCGTCCGCCGGCGCCCTTGCGCACCGCCAGCCACAGCGCCAGCGGGTCTACGCCCGCCTTGATGCCCATCGTAAAAACCTCGGCCAGGGCGGTTTGAACGATGTAACCGGCGCAGTTGTGCACCAACTTGGCCACCGCGCCGCTTCCAATTGGCCCAACGTAGTAGGCGGCATCGCCGATGGAATCCAGGACTGCCTTGTGCTGATCAAACACGGCTTTATCTCCGCCTACCCATATCGCCAAACGACCGCTGGAGGCGCCAGCCGGGCCGCCACTCACCGGGGCGTCCAGCACGTTGATGCCCTGTGCGGCAACCCGGTCGTGGATTTGACGGATGAGGGTAGGCGAACTCGTACTCAGGTCAAAGTAGGTTTTACCGGCCTCCATCCCGGACATAATGCCATCCTCGCCGAGGGAAACCGCTTCCACCTCCACGGGACCGGGGAGGGAGGTGAACACCACGTCGGAAGCAGCGGCGACCTCTCGGGGAGTATCGGCCCACTGGGCGCCAGCTTCCAGATGCCGGGTGGCCGCCTCCCGCCTGATGTCATGAACCACCATGTCGTTGCCGCCGCGCAGGCAATTAAACGCCATGCTGGCTCCCATTGTTCCCAGTCCGATGAATCCTACTTTCGCCATTATTGTTCTCCCATTGGTTGGCCAATTTTCGTAGCCACTAGGTAAAGGCATTCTATCAGAGGGGCGCCGTTGCCAGCAGGGGCCTTAAGCGAACCCCAGCGGCAACGCCAATGTGCACGGAATGCTAACTTATTATCCGATGCCGACTTTTGATGACGCCATCAGCGTTGACGGCCAGCGGTCTGGCGAATAGACTAGTTGTGTCTATGGCCCGCCTTTTTGACCTTCACATCCATACCACCAAGGGGAGCGCTGATTCCAGCCTTACTCCGGAAGATCTCATACTTGAGGCGGAAAGGTTGGGGTTGCGCGGGTTGTGTATCACCGAGCATGCCGGACCCTGGGACCGCCATGAATTTGCTGCCTTCGCCGGCCTGCATAACGTAGTGTTAATACGGGCAATGGAGGCCGACACCGATATGGGGCATATTCTTGCCTTTGGCGTGGACCAGTACCAGAGCGGTTTTCACCATGCGGAAGAATTGAGCAAAGCGGCTCACTCCGCCGGAGGGTTCGTCGTTTCGGCCCACCCATTCCGCGGGGTTCTGGGACAACACCACCGAACCCGTCCGTACCTGTATCCCGACCCGAAAGAGCCAATCCCCACCAAACCGGAGGAAGCGCTAAAGCATCGTGTTTTCGAGTTGGCCGACGCCGTGGAAGTAGCCAATGGAGGCACGTCGGATGATGAAAACCGGTTCGCCGTAGATGTCGCCCACAAGTTGGGGTTGCCCGTCACCGGCGGAAGCGACGCTCACAGCACGCACGGGTTGGGACGGTTCGTCACGGAATTTTCCGACGAAATATTCGACGAGGCACAATTCCTGAACGCGTTACACCGTGGAGATTTCCGACCCATGGAGGGCCTCCGTCAAGGTGATCTCCGTCCTTACGGCCTGCGCTCCGCAACCTGATTGCGATGATCGGTTGAGCTTTCCCCAATTGGTTATTGACGGCGATTCCCAAAAACCATTCTTACGGCCGCGACTATTGGCATGACCCAAGTACGACTGACTCAACTGAACCCGCTGGAGCAGGTGTACGCCTGCATTGACCTGGAAACCACCGGGCTCAATCCCAATGCCGATACCATCATCGAGTTGGGAGCAGTCAAGTTCCGGGGCGGGGAGGTGCTGGAACGTTACCAAACATTTGTCAATCCGGGTCGAAACATCCCGGCCTTTATCCAGCAGTTGACGTCGATCACTCCCGCTCAGATCGAACGGGCCCCGGCGTTCCACCAGGTGGCCGGCCAGTTCGCTGACTTCGTGGGCGATCTGCCGATTATCGGCCATAACATAAAATTCGACCTGGATTTCCTGAAATCCCACCGGCTCGACCTGCCGAACAAGAGCTACAACACTTGGGACCTGGCCTCCGTATTCCTGCCCACCGTTCCGGAATACAACCTGGCCGCGTTGGCCAAACATTTAGGGCTGGACCACGCCAACGCACACCGCGCCAGCGCCGACGCCGAGGTCACTGCGCAGGTATTTCACAAGCTCCTGGAAATAGCGGCGGCATTGCCCGCCGCCAAGATTGCGTTCATTGCCCGCACGGCGCGCACGGCGAACGCAACCGTTGCCGATTTGCTGGAGGGCCTCATCCCTCACGCCCGGGGAGCCAACGCCATCCTGAACCAGAGCGACGCCGGCGGAGGCGTGGGACTGAATGGTCTGAACCTGGAAAGTCTGGCCGGCCGCGTGTCCGCGGAAAACGGCGGTTTATCCTCCAACGCCCTTCGCCGAACCCTCACCGAGCAACAGATCGAAGAATTGCTGTCGGCAGACGGAACATTCTCGAAATCATTCCCCGGTTTCGAAACCCGTCCGCAGCAGGCAGAGATGCTCAAGGCCGCCACGCGCGCCATCTTCCAGGGCCGCAAACTGATCGTCGAGGGAGGCACCGGAATCGGCAAAAGCCTGGCGTACCTGCTGCCGGCTATTCTGTATGCAGCCGCCCACGGCCAGCGGGTTGTAATCTCAACCAACACGATAAACCTGCAGGAACAACTGATCGAAAAGGATATTCCAGCCGTCATCGATATTCTGGAGCAGGCCGGCATCCTGGAAACCGGAGCTATCAAAGCCGCTCAACTCAAGGGGCGCTCCAACTATATCTGCCTGCACCGGTGGGCCAATCTCAGCAACTCGGATTCATTGAGCGTTGACGATGCCAGGGTTATCGGGAAAACAGCAGTTTGGCTTGATGACACGACGCACGGAGACCGCGCCCACTTGAACCTCCATTCCAGCGATCTCCGATCGTGGTCCCGTATCAGCGCCGACAATCCGGGCCTGTGTCCCGCGTTTCGAAGTGGCGCTCCCTGCTTCTTGCGCCAGGCTCGACAGCGCGCTGAGTCGGCGCACATTCTGGTGGTGAACCACGCATTGCTGCTGGCCGACCTGGCCGTGGGTGGGTCCGTACTCCAGGATTACCAACGATTAATAGTGGACGAAGCGCACCATTTGGAAGAAGAAGCCAGCCGCCAGTTGGGTTTTGAAATCGCTCAGGACGCGCTGCCGCAGGAGCTCGATTCGGTGTACCGCAACATCAACCAGATCGGTGCGGCGGCCGCCAGGATGACGAGTGACGCCGCGTCCACACACATTGAGGAAACAGCCGCCAACGCATCAGCTGCGTGTAATCAATCCGCCCAGGCGTGGACCAGACTTTGGGATGCGATCGAAAGAATGTTCCGTGGCGCCGGAAAATCAGCAGACGATCGGCAACCCTTGTCCCTGGATGCCGGCAGCCGACAGAGTGGCGAGTGGAGCACGGTGGCAGCCGAATGGGAATCCTTTGCGGCCTTTCTGACCGGTTGCGTCAACTCGCTGAGGGAACTGGAACGCGCGGCGTCGGTGGGAACCTCGTCCGATGCTTCAGAGTCTGCCGTGGCAGAATTGAACGGATCCATCGACAAGGTTATCCAAATCAACGACAGCCTCGCGTCTGTCTTCGGGCGCTATGACGACGAACAAATCCAGTGGCTGGACGTGGCGCGCCGCAACCTGACTGTCCACTCGACTCCGCTCACCGTGGGACCGATCCTGGCCGACCGACTGTTCATGGAGAAAGAGGCGGTGGTGCTCACCAGCGCCACACTGACCACCGATTCCAGCTTTGAATTCCTGCGCCGGCGCGTGGGGTTTCCGGAAGACAGCGACGAACTGTTGGTGGACAGTCCGTTCAACTATAGGCGAAATACGCTGCTGATGGTTCCGGAAGACATGCCCGACCCCCGGCAATCCGCTGACCATTCCAAAGCCACGGCATTGGCAATCGTAAACATGGCGAAGGAGTTGGACGGCCATGTGCTGGCGCTGTTTACCTCTCATAACGCCCTGCGTGACGCTTCTTTCCAGATACGCAACCAGCTGGGACCCGAGGGGATTTCCTTACTTGCTCAGGGTGTCAACGGCACGCCTCGCCAACTCATTGACCGAATGCAGGCCAACCCCCGGTCCGTCCTGTTGGGTACCGCAAGTTTCTGGGAAGGCGTCGACATGGAACCCGGCGTGCTAAGGGCTTTGATGTTGTGCCGCCTGCCGTTCCCGGTGCCATCCGACCCCATAATCAAAGCAAGGGGAGCCTTGTGCAATAATCCGTTCAACGATTTCCAGGTCCCCCACGCTGTGTTGCGTTTCCGGCAGGGATTTGGTCGCCTGATCCGTAGCAAATCGGACCGCGGAGCGATTGTCATTCTGGACCGGCGAATCCAGACTGCGAACTACGGCGACCGATTTTTGAATTCGTTGCCTTCCTGCACTTTCCAAAGATCCAGCCTGGCAACTCTGGGTCAGCAAGCGGCCCAATGGCTTCAATTAGACCGTGCACCTAGTCATTGATCAGCCGTTTGACCTGTCGGGAAGTCTGGAAAGCGGCCAGGCCCACCGTTGGCGCAAGCTGGGCGATGGCTGGTATTCGGGAGTTCTCGGCGAACGGCTGTTGCACGTCCGCCAATCTGAATGCGGCGTCGAATATATTTGCAGCGGCGCCAACGGGCGCCACCGTGATATCGACCTGAAGGATTCATTGCAATCCTACTTCCGGCTGGATGACGAAATAGAGGTCATTTATAGCGACATCTGCCGGGACCGCCGCGTGGCTTCTATGGTGGAGCGTTACCCGGGGTTGCGGATTCTGAGGCAGGAACCGTGGGAATGCACGGTCGCATTCATCTGCTCTGCTACCTCGAACATCCCGCGCATACACCAGAACATGGAAGCTATGGCAGATCGTCTCGGCGACCCGGTAAGCCTGGGCGGAGAGACAAGGCATACCTTCCCGTCTGCGAATCAGTTGCAACGCGCCGGCGAAAGCATGCTGAGAGAGCTGGGCCTCGGTTTTCGCGCTCCCTACGTGATCGCGGCCGCCAATATGGTGGTGACGGGTGCACTGGACCTGGATGAGTTGAAACGGGCGACGTATGTTGAGACGAAGAACCGGTTGATGGATTGCCCGGGGATTGGCGCCAAAATCGCAGATTGCATCGCCGTGTTCGCGCTGGAGAATCTGGAAGCATTCCCCGTTGATGTGTGGGTCAGGCGCGCGTTGGCTGAGTGGTACTTCCCGATGCAAAAAAAGCCGTCCGACCGGGCTATGGTGGATTGGGCCCAGGGATACTTCGGCCAATACGCCGGTTACTCTCAACAGTACCTGTTCCACGGGCGTAGATTGCAGAAGTAACGCCATCATTTACCGTGGCGTGCGGTCTGCACTAATCACCTCTGGCGCGGCTCCGGAAATTCCCGTTTGGAACTTCAGCGCACCGGTGACCGACCAACACTGAACGCCGATACGCTGCGGTCGGGTGGGCTCGGGGGATTAATTTCGCACGCCGCCGCCGATGACACGAAAATGTTGCACGTTGTCCGCGTCGGCGAACGCCTGCAATGCTCGCCGGAAAACTGGCTTGCTATGTCGTTTCCGGGCATCCAGCAATATTCCCACGACGGTGCCGCTGTGCGCCACGTTGATACCAACTGCCCCGTTGTCCCGCGCGAAGGACTCCGCCCGTTCAACCCAGGGGACAGCGTCCGGAGTGCAACCGGCACGGGCGCTGATGGTCGCGCCACGGCCCACCAGTTCGGGATCCCCGCGACTTATGCCTTCGCGCACCAACTCCAGGGCAGCATCGGTTTTCACAGAAACTGATTCCCAGTCGGCAGTTCGGTTAATCCGGTTGAACTCCAACGTGTCGACTTCGCCCCCGCAGTCAACCACGATAACTTCCATGGGCGGCGGCGGGCCCAGCGGTTCAGCCACTCTACCGCTCCGGTGATCGAACAAAGTCACTCCGGGGAACATGACGCCGTCAGTAGGTTCCACCGAAAGGGCTATGCGGGCTATCGTTTCTGGAGAGAACACCACGCCGGCCGCGGTTCCCGTGGCCGATACGGCGGCTGTAATATCTGCGCTGCTGCTTCCCATCCCCTTGCCAATCGGCAGGGGATTCGAAACCGATACGTCCGCCAGCAAATCGGGTATCTGGCGCTGTTTTTGGATCTCAACCAGGGACAATCCAACGGCCTGCAGAGTTTTTGGCAACCGCGGATCTCCCTTGACGCGAATACCCGTCTCGGCGTCTGAAGATTCCCGCAACGTCACGGTAACTCGAGAGAACTGGTTGATGGGACAGGTAACCAGGAAATGAACGCCGCCAGTGATACCCTGAACCAATTCGCCGCAGGTTCCGGGCGCCGATGCCGTTGCATTCCCCACTACTGCCCCACTGGGCAGGGGGGGATCAGACTGTTCATCGGGGCCAGATCCTCGTCGCATGGCGGCAAGCGTAGCATACGGAACGACAACCCTCAATGAATTGTCCGCCCGGCAGGATTTACATCACAGCGCGGGAAGGCTTTATCGTGATGGGGATTCCAGCCACCACCAGCGTTACCAAATCTACAGCCGCGGCCATCGCCTGGTTCACAGAGCCCTGTAAATCCTGAAACTGCCGGCCCAACGAGGACGTCGCTACCAACGAATGCCCCACTTCGCTACTCACGATGACGGCGTCCATGCCCGTATCTCTGACCACCGTAACGAACTGCCGCACCGCACCCACCGTTCGAGCCTCAAGTTCAATCGCCGGAATGTTCTCATATTCCAGCAGCAGGTTGGACACCCAACCATCCAGTGAATCCAGCAGCAACACGGCAGGAACGGCTGCATCCCCCGCCGCCGATTGACGAACTACCGCCTCCCGCAACGCTCCGGTCGGATTCAACGGAGACTCTATCGTAAACCAGTGTAGCGGTCGCCGCTCCTGGTGGCGAAGAACCCGCTGAGCCATGTCATCGTCGGTAACCGTGCCGGTAGCGAGGTAGTAAACCGGCTTTCCCGCCGAGATTGAATCAACCAACTGCTCAGCGTATACGCTTTTGCCAGAGCGTATGCCACCCAATACCAGGGAAATATTGCTCATACTCGGTGGGCCAACGGTGTTGCTACGGGGAGGGCGAATAATCCAGCATGCCGTACACCAAGTCCATGTTCAGGCTGTTACGCACCCAATCCGCCAGCTTGTCGTACTCCCGGTCTCGGCCGACGTCGGACCCCGGGAGCATGGTAACTCCCTTGCGGCGGGCCAGTTCATTCAACAGGGCCTGTCGCACGCCGGCGTTGTGGAACAACCCGTGGATGTACGTCCCCATCGCCCGACCCGTGGAATCCATGGCGCCGTCCAGGGCATTGTCCGGGTTGACGTGGGCGTCGGCCCGGTCCAACACGGTGAACGCGGGTGCAACACCTTCACCGGTGGTCCTGCCCATGTGAATTTCGTAACCAACAACCTCTTCGTTGGCTGAGCCAGAAAACAGGGATCCGGGCATTGCAGCATCGGGATGCACGGTGGCGCGTACCCGGTGGGTTTCTTTGGTTCCGGCAAATGTGGTCACCAGCGGAAGCAAACCGAGTCCATCAGCAGCGCCCACCGAAGATTCCACCCGATCCGGGTCCAGGATGGTGTTGCCCAGCATTTGATATCCGCCGCAGATTCCGATCACGGCTGAACCATCCGCAAACGCATCAGTCACCGCCCGCGACAGACCCTGCTGATCCATCCACAACAAGTCTGGGATCGTGGTCTTGCTACCCGGCAGAATCACCAGGTCAGGGTGGCCCAGTCTATCGCCGTGCTGCACGTATCGCAGGGCAACACCCGGCTCCCGATCCAACGGATCGAAGTCGTCGAAATTGGAAATGTGGGGCACCTGCACTACAGCCACGTCCAGTACGGCGGCTGCCGAATCGGATAGTGGCGTAATGTCCAACGCGACCGAGTCTTTCCTCCGGTATGTGGATATCACGGAAATGGTGCACGACGCCCACCACCGGCTTTCCCGTGTACTCTTCAAGCCAGGTCAACCCGTCAGTCAGCAGCGATACATCTCCGCGGAATTTGTTGATGACGAATCCCTTCACTGCATCTCGTTCTGGGGGATCCAGCAACTGCAAGGTGCCCAACAGCGAAGCGAACACGCCACCTCGGTCAATGTCGCCACACAGCAAAACGGGCGCGTCGGCATACAGGGCCACCCGCATGTTGACTATCTCGGTGGCCTTCAAATTAATCTCGGCAGGACTGCCGGCCCCCTCGATAACCACCACATCGTACTGGCTTCGCAAAGTGTCCAGAGATGACGTTACCGAATCCCAAAGTGTGGCTTTGAGATCGAAATAGTCGCGGGCCCCCGCGGATGTCAATGGACGGCCCATCAACACCACCTGTGCGTGGCTGTCGGCTTCCGGCTTGAGCAGCACCGGGTTCATCTCAACGCGGGCATCGACACCCGCGGCCTCAGCCTGTACTGCCTGAGCCCGTCCGATCTCACCTCCGTCGGGGGTAACGTAAGAGTTGTTGGACATATTCTGCGCCTTGAACGGGGCGATTCGCAGGCCGTCCTGCCGCAGAATCCGACACAACGCCGACACCAACACGCTCTTGCCTACGTGAGACGCGGTGCCCTGCACCATCAGGACGCGACCCAACGGTTCAGGCCGAATTGAGAGTTGGTCGCCGGTAGTGCTCAACGTGATGGCCTCCCGAACAATGGTTAGTTCCGACAATCGGACGATGCCACATTAAACCACAATAACGGTCTAAGCACGCATCGGTTGAGCGCGGTTACCGGCGTTGCTGCCGGATTTCGCCTCCGCGTGGCGAATATTTGCCCCGGGTGGATTCCAAACGATTGAGCCAACTGGAGGTTGGCGCTGCATTGCCAATTGCCGGGACGGATGATAACGTAGCCCTGATGCTCGCGCGAAAATTCTGCGCCCCGCCGACGCCTACAGTGCTGTGGCGGTTGATAACGCACCTAAAGCGGCTTTCGGGCGCGGTCGTAGCAGCAATTGCCGTTTCGATGTTCCTGGGATGCGGTTCAAACGTCGCGGATTCTGGTAGCATCCAATTCCAAATGGCAACCAATCGCATAGCTTACATTGACTCCGATGGGCACTGGCAACGGTCAATCCGGATGGCAGCGACCGCAACTTGTTAACCGCTGGCGCAGTGGCAAACACCGGTGGGCAAGTTAGCGGAGTATTATCGCAGCAATTGCCGCCAGACCGTTTGTACGGTTGGCCGGTCTGGTCTCCCGACGGAAGCCAAATCGCAGTTTCGTTGATCGAGGGAGATTCCCGGAACAACGCAGAAATCAGCGTTCTGTCATTGGACGCAGCAACCGGCGTGGGCAGCCCGGTGTTTATAAATGAAGCCCCAATGACCATTGCCGACGGCACGCCCCACTATGTCCAATGGTCTCCCGATGGTCAGCTGGTTGGGATTACCGCCGCTACCCCAGAAGGACTAACACTCTTCGTAGCCGACGCCAATCCTGCCGACGGCGCACGAGTTCCCAGCGAGCCGGTCGCCGTGCAACGCGGGGCGCCACTGTATTTCGACTGGTCGCCGGACAGTAATTCGCTCGCCGTGCACAGCGGTGAAGAAGTTTCGGTGCTCCGCTTCGACCGCGCAAACATGGAACTCACGGTGCTGCCAATAACTCGCTCTCGTTCCTTCCGCACCCCCGCCTGGTCACCCGACGGCGCTCAGCTGGCCTGGTCGGCTCCCGGCGGGGACGGTGAAGCCGTATGGGTCGGCAGACCCGGCGACCCGACGTATCTCCCTATGAGACTGGCAGAAGTGGAAGGCAATACCGCTTTTCTCTGGTCTTCCGACGGCCAGACGATTGCAGTAGCAGACCGTCAGTCAGATGGTTCCCCCGCATACCAGCGGCTGCGACTGGTGGCTTCTGACGGAAGCGGAGAACGCACGATTCGAGACGGTGAATGGGTGCTGGGATTTTTCTGGGAACCGTCCGGGACTCGACTGGCCTGGGTTGCCATAAACTCCGAAGAGCGCACGATGGAATGGCGAGTGGTCGATAGCGAACCGACGGACGCGCCGGCAATGGAACCGGCGGCGGCTGGAGGATTACGATTCTCGCCCAGCGGAGAGACTTTCCTGATGCTGGCATTCTTCGATCAGTATGCCCGCAGTCATTCTCCCTGGGCGCCGGACGGCGCCGGGTTGGTTGTGGCGGGCTCTCAACAATATTTGTCCCAGCGGCGCAACGGCAGCGCGGCCAGCGGCGCCAGAATCTATGTTGCCAGCACCGATGAGGGCGGCGGGCTGGTGGACATCGGCGGCGGGACCCTGGCGGTTTGGTCGACTCGATAACCCGACACCCATACGTAAATTGATTTTGGCCAGGCACTAATTATGAGCCAAAACCCTCCGCGGGAACGAAGATACGACCTGTTGGCCATCAATCTCGCGATGACCATTGCGTCGACCCTGGTTTTGATTGCCTACTGCATGATTGCGTTGGTGACGGTGGTGTCCGCATACGTCGTGACCTCCTACACTCCTTTCGACTTCGATTTCTCATTCGATTATGTAATCATTGTCTTGCTGGGTGTGGTTATCTCTACCGTGGGCGCTGTATCCGGCATCTTCGGAGCGCTCGCTTGCGCTTGGCAACTGAACATACTGACATGGGTTGTAACCGGGTTTACGTTAATATTCTTTCTGCTCACCATCATCACGCCGTTGCTGTTTTTTGACCTGCTGTGACGCTTTCATCAACGTGAGGTAAATCGTGAAAATCACCCGCCGGATTACCAATCGTCCGTCAAAACGTCTATGGGCCGTTATTGCCGTATCGGTGATGCTATTGCTTGGCGTAGCTTGCGAGGGTGGGGCGTTGGGTACCCTGAACAATCAGCAGGGCAACCCGTCATCGCCTGACCCAACCGCCACGCTGCCGCCGATCGACCCACAGCAGCTGCTGACCGCAACGGCAGCAAACATGGAGTCCGTCGAGTCCATGCGGTTCTCGCTCACACATCCGTCGGGCAGCATCTACGTTGATAGCCTGTCAGCGCAAATTACTGAGGCCAATGGAGTTTGGGATTCCCATCAGGGAGCGGATCTAACTATTGAAGGGTACCTCGTTTCCGGGCCGGCAGCGGAATTTCAAGACGGCATTTTCGTCCGTTTAAAGATGGTCATCACTCCCGACAGTTACTTCCTGGTTGATCCGGCGTCCCGATCATGGACCAAGCAGCCAAATTCACTCATCCCCCTGCCAATCGAAGAACTGGCTATCATCATGGCCGATCTCATCAGGGAAGTGGACAACGCACGAATCACCGGCGACGAGCGCGTCAACGGAGTGCGAGCATTCCGACTCAACGGCGTCGCAGACGCTTCGGTAATGTCGTGGACCGGGCTCAACACCAGCAATCGGCCTGATGTAGACGTCGAAATCTGGATAGATGCGGCTAAGTTGCTACCGATCAAAGCCCGCGTGGTCGGGCCGGTGGGCGAATACGACGATTCTGGCACAGTCCGCGAAATAATTCTGAGCGACATCAACAACCAACTGGTCATCGATGCGCCGGAAACTTTCATAGACGTTAGCGCCCAATAGAACATGGACCGGCGCCGATCACAGCCCGGATGCTGAGTCGCCTGCAGAATTTCAGCTTCCCGCCGTGGTTGATGGTGGCCGCCATTGCCACCGGCGTTTTCATTACCGCCCTGGACCAAACGGTGGTGGTTACTGCCCTGCCAGCCGTGATGGCCGACCTGAAAGTCGAGTTTTCCGACCTGGAATCGGTCATCTGGGTGGTCACGGCCTACCTGTTGGGTTACACCGTAGCGATGCCATTGCTGGGTCGTTTGGCCGATGTGTATGGGTATCAGCGCGTTTACCACGTATCGTTGGCAGTATTCGCCGTGGGTACGACACTGGTGGCGCTGTCGGGTGAATGGGATTGGTTAAACGGCGTTATCGAGCCCCTGGACCAAATAGTGGTGGCGCGAGTTGTGCAGGCAATCGGCGGCGGGGGCATCGTGCCGATCAGTCTGGCCATTGCCGCCGCCCTGGTAGCTCCGGAAAAACGGGGACTCGCCCTGGGAATCGTAGCCGGCGCTGCCGAAGCAGGGAGCATGTTGGGGCCAGCCTATGGCGGAGCCGTGATTGAAATCTGGGGCTGGCGAGCCATATTCTGGCTGAACGTTCCTCAGGCGGCTGTGATCGCCATCGCGTTGTTATTCCTGCGCAATGATCGGTTCGCAGGTTCTCGGATGGATTACCGTGGCGCCGTCATACTCACCATCGGGCTGGTGATGCTGGGACTGGCTGCAGCTCATGAAGGGCTGTTCCGCCTCTCTGCCTGGCTTCCCTTTGGCCTGTTGGCGGGATTCGCATTGAGCGTTGCCTTGCTGGTCTACCTTCAACGCCGCACTGATCAGCCACTGATCTCGGGCATGTTGTTCAAAGCCTGGGCGTTCGTGACGGCCAACCTGGCGCAATTATTGGTGGGAATAGCGCTCATCATAGCCATGGCCACCACGGTAATTATGGCAAATACAGTAATGGATGTGCCTGACCGTCCGGTGGATGCGTTCACTGCGGCGCTCTGGCTGCTGCGAATGACGGCAACCATTCCAGTATTTTCCGTAATAGGTGGATTTTCGTTAAGGTGGATCGATGCCCGTTGGGTGACGGCCTTCGGCCTTGGGTTGATCGCGTTCGGCATGTTTCGGGTTGGCAACTGGCAAATCGCTATCGCCGAGCCCCAACTCACCATCGATATGGTTATTGCCGGGATCGGGTTCGGTCTGGTCATTGCTCCATTGATGCACCGGGCCATCGGCGCTGCTCCGTTGGAATATCGCGCCGTGTCGGCTTCGATGATCGTGGTGGCTCGAATGCTTGGCATGACTCTTGGTATGGCGGCCCTGTCTGCCTGGGGAATCAACGAAATGCTGATCATCCTGACCGAGACCCAGTCGCCATTGACCATGCCGGGTCTGGACGCCGCTGCCCGGGCGCAGGCATGGATTGAATACGACAAAACCCTGCGGGCTGCTAGCCTGGCCCTGTTTCATAATTTCTTCCGGGTTGCCGGGACCGTTGCGCTGCTTGCTATCATCCCCGCCGTGCTGATGCGGGCCAGCCCGATGGAACTTTCCGAGTTGTCTCCGCGCTCCGCGCACTCGGTAAAACCTGGGCGCTCGTAGCGTGGATTCACGGCAGTTTCCGATTGAGGTATCGTAGCCCAATGAATGACTACCTGAACCTGCTTCCGTTCCCCAGCGTGGCAGCCGGGCATGTAGTTTCTACTGTGGGGTCAGCGTCCGGGCCAGGTTCGAAAATGCGATCGCGATCCGACAGGCTGTCAGACAGTGCAAGCTTCAATCTTTGGTGGTAATTATGCAGATGAAACAGTTGGCCAACACGGGCGTGATGATATCGGAAATTGGCCTGGGCACCTGGCGGTATTCAGGGGGTTCAGCGCCACTGCGGTACGGCGTGGAATTGGGCGCCAACCTGATCGACACGGCCGAAATGTACCGCACCGAAGATGCAGTGGGCGCCGCAATCGAGGGAATCCGCGACCGCGTTTTCGTTGCCACTAAAGTGCTGGGCAGCAACCTGCGCCGGGACGCCGTTATGCGGGCCGCCGACCGTAGCCTGCGGCTGCTCAACGTCACGAAAAATCGATCTATATCAAATCCACTGGCCCAACCCCAGCGTCCCCATCGCCGAAACAATGCGGGCGTTGGAAGACCTCGTTTCTGCCGGAATGGTGGACTACATCGGCGTCAGCAATTTCTCAGTAGAAGACATGGAAGAGGCGCAGTCAGCTCTCAGGAATAATCCCATCGTGTCCAACCAAATTCTATACAACCTGCGCCGTCGCAGCGCCGAACGCGACGTTATACCGTTCTGCCGGCGAAACAACATCACCGTAATAGCGTATTCCCCGTTGGCCGAGGGTGCGTTGGCCGGCGGCCGAAGCAGAAGACTACCGAACGCTCTGGGCCTTGGCCGCGCTCAAAGTGTTTTGAACGATGTGGCCGATGATGTCGGCAAGACCACGGCACAAGTCGCGTTGAACTGGGTGGCCGACCAACCGGGGATGGTGGCCATCCCGAAAATCGAACAGCCTGGAGCGAACCGCGGCTAACTGCGAATCTTCGGGCTGGCACCTGACGTCAGATCAGCGGCGAAGCCTGGACCTGGCGTTCCCGCTGTGATTGACCTGGGCAAATCAGAGCCCAAAACTACCCAGCGCCTTCCATCCTAAATCAGCGGCCCACCGCCCTCCGCTCCAGTCGTCGCCGGCGGCGTCTGATTCAAACCGGGTAAGGGCAATGCGCCAAGCTCTCGTTATCTGCGACACCTTCAACTCATCGGTAACGGCGCGCGCAAACTCCAGGGCGCTGTCAAACACCGAGTCTGGAAGGTTGGCGTGGGACAGCAGCGGTATCTGCGGCGGGAAATCCGGGCCGTACTGCGACCGTGGAGCAGATATATGCTCACTGCGATCCAGCAAGTCAGCAACCAGTGATTGCAGGCGATACAGCGATTCATTCACCACCTCGGGAGAGAAATCCAGCCAGATGTTGCCATCTGATTCCGAGGGACGGGTGGTCGTGATTCCTCGGTTGAACATGGGGAACCGGGGCGACACCCGTCGGTAGCGCGTAGCTAGCTGATCCAACTCACCGGCCAGCGCTGCTTCCGGGTTATTGGCACCCACCGGTTCCAGTGCGAAATATTCCGAAAGCGGCAGATGCACCATGTGCATTTCAGCAGCCCAGCAGGCATATTGCCCGCAGATAAGCTGGCGTGCCCGGTATGCTCGCGCGGTAAAATCCGGATCGGTTAGCAGGCTTACGGCATAACGTGTAGACATTTCAGGTTTCCAAACCGCCAATTGGGTTGAAACGCAAATTGTTGCTACGCATCAGGTAACAATCGTCCCATCCACCATTGGGCGATTCTAACACGACGCTCACGGCCCACACCCACGCGATGACGGTGAACTGGTGGTGTTCACGTCATTGCCATCGGTTATACTTCCTGAACCTGTTACTCTCCCGCCGAACCGATTTTTTCATGACTTCTCCTCATCACGTATCACCGCCACGCATATTGATTACTGATTTCGTTTGGTCGTCCACCGGGCCTGAGCGGCTGGTGTTGGCCGAAATCGGCGCCGAGGTGGTGGAAGCTCCGGATGGGTCAGAGGATACTCTGGTTGCGTTGGCCGCCGACTGCGACGGCATCATGACGTGCTTCGCCCAGGTTACGCCCCGGGTCGTTCAGGCTGCGCAGCGTTGCCGCGTCATCAGCCGGTATGGGGTGGGAGTGGACAACATCGCGGTTGACGTTGCCACTGAGTTGGGAATACCCGTAACTTATGTGCCGGATTATTGCGTTGACGAAGTAAGCGATCATGTCATGGCCCTCCTGCTGACCTGGAATCGACAGGTGGGTTTCTACGACCGGATGGCGAAAGCCGGTAAATGGGAGGGAGTTGGGTCGCCGCATCCGTTGACGAGGCTCCGCACCCAAACGATCGGAGTAATCGGGTTCGGCAGGATTGGTCGCGCAGTGGCACGCAAGGCGAGATCGTTCGGTTTGGCGGTGTTGGTGTACGATCCATATCTGCCTGCCGATGCCGCCCTTCCCGATGGCATATCGGCTTCGACATTCGAGAGCGTATTGGCCGGCTCCGATTACGTTACATTACACACGCCGCTGAACGACGACACCCGCGGTTTAATCGACGACTGCGCAATTAACCACATGAAATCATCGGCATACCTGATCAATTGCGCTCGCGGACCCATCATCGACGAAACCGCGTTATACAAAGCGTTGCGAGATGAACGCATCGCGGGCGCGGGGCTGGATGTCATGGAATCCGCAGCACCGCCAGCCAGCCATCCACTGTTTGAATTGGACAACGTGATCGTCACACCCCATGTGGCCTTTTTGTCGCAACAATCGGTACTGGAGCTGGAAGAACGAACCGCCAGAGCTACCGTGGACGTTTTGCAGGGGCGGATGCCGGAATTCCTCGTTAATCCCGCGGTTCTGTCCCACTCACGAATCGCACTGCAATAACACCGGACGAACCAGGTCAACCCGGCGAGACAGGAGTATAGATTGGCAGCGACAGGATTCACGATCAGTTACCTGGGCACCGGTTCCGGGGGTTGCATTCTCCGCAACCACACCGCCATTGTGCTGGATTGTCCGGACGGCAGCCGCATCCTGCTCGACGCGGCGTCGGGAAATACCGTGTTGCGGCACGGCGATTTGCTGGGCATGTCCCCAACCGATTTCGACCATTGCCTGCTTAGCCACAGCCACCCCGACCATTGCGAAGGATTGCCTCACATCGAGATGCAACGCAGTCGTCGCGATCCGGACGAAAAACCGATGCAACTTTACGGATCCGGTGAGGCGCTGAACGACATCGGCGCCCTGTTGGCCTACCCACGGCGGGGGCTGACCGTTGACGAAACCGGAGCGCGGCGAAGAGACGGCCGGAAGGTATTTTCGTTCCAGCCTGCGCAACCGGGAGACTGGTTACAACTGACTCCCAGCGTGCGCGCCAAGTGTGCTCCGGTGAACCACATCGGCGGCGCGATCGCCTGGCGGGTGGAGGCAGGGGACCAGTCGATCGTGTTTTCGGGGGACACCCGTTGGTGCCCGTCGTTGGCCGAGCTTGCCGAGGGGGCCTCCCTGTTGATCCACGAAGCTATATGCACCGAAGACGACCGCCGACCGGCCGACAACACCGCTCACTCCACCGCGGCAGAGGCTGCCAGGATCGCTCAACTGGCTGGCGTGAACCAACTGACACTGACCCACATCGACAATGCTTTCCACTACAATCCCGAACCGTTGGTGGTGGAAGCACGCTCCATTTTTACGGGACAGATAGACGTCGCATCAGATTGCTGGCAACAAAGCGTGTAACGTCGAATCTCCCGACCAACGAGCGGTTTGTCGCACCCATCACCGGTTGTCGCTGTTATCCCAAGCACAATGAGACGCGGCATGGCGATGTATCCCGGCGCCCATCGGGGCCGTATCTCGCCCTGATCCTCTCTCCTTCAAAGCTCTATCCCATCAAAAGAAGATTCCAAATCAGATGCATTCCGAATCAACTGGTCACATACACCCGGCAATCAGGGCGACGAACATCCTCCAGGAGTTTTCGCTGCCCCTGATCGCCGGGGTTGTGCTGGGTCTGTTGGCCGCCAACACCAACCACATCTGGTACGAGATGGTGGTGGAGTTCTACCCGTTCGGAGAAAACGCTTCGGTATTCGGTCATGCGCTTACGGTCCACTTCATCATCAACGGCATGTTCATGTGTCTTTTCTTTGGTATTGCTGCCAAGGAGATTACTTCGTCAACACTGCCAGGCGGGGTCCTGAATCCATTGCGCCGGGCCATCAACCCCCTGGTGGGTACTATAGGGGGCGTGTTCGGGCCGGCAGGTTTGTACCTGTTGCTGGCGTGGGTTATTTATGGGGGTAGCGACGATTTCGGCGCCGTTGCCAAAGGCTGGGCGATCCCTACCGCCACCGACATCGCGCTGGCCTGGCTGGTGGCGAGGTTGGTGTTTGGCGCCACCCACCCCGCGGTGAATTTCCTGCTGCTCCTCGCCGTGGCCGACGACGCCATCGGACTGGGCATCATTGCCATTTTCTATCCGGACCCACACCATCCGGTACAACCGATCTGGTTGCTGTTGGTGGTAGGGGGGATGGCCGCGGCGTACGTATTGGGTCGGTTCAGAATTCGTTGGTGGCCCGTATACATCCTGATTGGCGGCGCGTTGTCGTGGATCGGATTAGCCAAAGCCGGAGTGGAGCCGGCGCTGGCCCTGGTACCCATCGTGCCCTTCCTGCCACACTCCGACCACAGCGCCGGCCTTTTCGAAGAGGAAGCGTTTGATCGTAGACATTCGAAATCCGTCCGGCGAAGATAGTTCCCATGACCACATTCAGGTATTCGGTCTCAGTGTGCTGGACCAATTTGAACACCAACTGAAACTGTTTGTTGATGTCGGACTGTTCTTTTTCGCGTTTGTCAACTCCGGCGTCGCACTATCTAGCATTGGGTACGTGACTGGCATGGTGCTGGTGTCGCTCATAATTGGGAAAGCGGTGGGGGTGACCGTATTCTCCTGGGCAGCGTCCCTGGTCGGTTTTCCCCTGCCCAACGGGATGCGGATTCGCCACCTGTTTATATCGGGCATCATTGCCGGATTGGGTCTGACGGTTGCACTGTTCGTTGCCGGCAAAGCGTTTCCAAGCGGCTCGGCGTTCCACGATCCCGGGAAAATGGGCGCGGTCTTCAGCATTGCCTCTGGAGGCCTGGCGTACATATTGGGAAGGTGGTTCAATGCCAGGGATCAGGAAGGCATCGGAGTAATCGACGATCCTGCCGTCGATTCCGCCCACCAGAGAAGCGAAGCAGACAGTTAATTCATTACAGGAGGAAATATCGAAATGGGAATGATAGGCGTGCTGACTCACCATTGGGCCAAATCGGATCGGGTTTCGGAGGCCAAAGCGCTGCTGGACCGGAACGGGGAAGCGCAAAGCCGCGCCCCCGGTTTTGGATCCAGGCAAACCTTTATTTCGCTGTCGGATCCGACGAAAATCTCGACCATGGTTACATGGGACAGCAACGAAATATACGACGCCTGGCGAGCCAGCCCGGAGCGGTCCGTGGCCATGGCGGGCGCCGATGAATTGTGGTCGCAGCCGCCGGAGTCGGAGCGCTTTGAGGTGCAGGACTGATTACCACACCCCGCTACCCCTGGTGATTGCCGCCTAACCGAGTATCGCAGCCAAATCCAAGTGTTCCGCCAGGAGGTCAGCCATACGCTCGGCTTTGTGCCAGTTATGCGGTACCGTGGTGGTTGTCAAAACGCCGATAGCGTCTGCGGTGGCCACAGTTCCGCCGTCAACCAGCAACACCGGCACACCACGTTTGGCGGCCTCTACCCGAATGTATTCGGTAGGCCGAGCCCCTCCGGTTAACACCAGGCATCGGGTGTTCTGCATCAAGCTGGCCATCTGGATGTCGGGGCGCTCGGCCCGCGTGATGACCGCCTGGTGAGGGTACCGACCAAAATAGCCGGCTCCAGAATCCATAATGTTGCCGCCAATCAGGAAGCGATCAACCCACGCCTTATCGTCAGACGGTTTCAACTCCCATCTCCCGTCCAATTGCTGTGCCAACTCGTTCATGGTGATGGACAGCATGGTGCGGTCTTCCGGGATTTGGCCGAAGACGGGAATCCCGTTGGCAGAGAGTTGACGCAGGACAGCCTGGGTTTTTTCGGCCCGATATTTGGGAACCTGATTGACCAGCAGCCCCGCCAGATCGTTGCCCAGCGGCGCGACCTCGCTGGACACCGCCACCGCCGAAAGGTCGGAACGGTATTCGATCACCGCGACGACCCGGCCCGATACTCTCGACACCAATCCGTTGAGCAGCCGGGATGACAGCCCAGAACCACTGGCCGGATTGGCCACCTCCACCACTATGTGTTCCGCGATTCCGGTCAACGACCGGATAGCATTGGCAGCGGCGTCCAGGCCCGCCTCGCTATCGGAATCTATTACGGGCGCTCCACCTCGGAAGTTTGTTGCCAGGTAAATCGAGTCGGGATCCGTGCGGCCGGCCAGCGACATGGGCTTGCAAGCAGCGACGTTGACACCAACCCGTTGAAAGGACCTGGCCATTCCGGCGACGATGGCCGTCTTGCCGGCACGCGGTCGGTCAGATGCAACGAGGAATACCGCCATCTGCGAACAACCGGCGGTTAGTAGTCGTCGACCCGGTTCTCGATGAACATCGGGTCGAATCCCGGTGGGAAGTTTGTGCTGTCATCCCACTTCCCCATGGTCATGTCGCATCGGTGGAGACTGGCGCGATCGAAGTTCGCACCACGCAAATCGGTCATGATCCACATCGAATCTCGGATTTTTGCAGCGGTGAAATCCGCGCCTTTCATGACGGCCCGGCTCACATCCGCCCCGTTCAGGTTGGCCCCCTGCCAATTGGAATCCGTAAGATTGGCCGAGCGCAGGTCAACTTCGATAGCCGTGGTCTGGCTGCAATCGGCAGATGTAAGATCGGTTCCCAGGAACGACGCCCGATTCAATCGCGACCAACGCAATACCGCGCCAGTCATGTCAGACTGTTTCAAATCGGCCCAAAACAGGTTGACGTTGCACAGAATGGTTTCTCTCATGTCGGCCGACGACAGAGTCGCGCCACCCAGTTCACAGCCCGTAAGGTCAGCTCCCCGCAGGTCCGTTCGGGCCAGGTTGGCTTTCTGCAACCGCGCATCCGACAGGTTAGCACCCATCAAATTGGATCCGCGTAGGAAAACCTGACTGAGGTCCAATCCCCGTAGATCGGCTCCCTGCAGGTCCAGATTGACGCCAGGATTGTTTTCGCGCCAGACCCGGACCGCCGCTGCGCCGGCGCGCACGATTTCCAGATGTTCAGAGTTTGCCATTCCAGATTCTTTGGCGATGAAACTGGGCCCGGTCAGTTACCGGTGCCCATCATTTCATCTTCCACGTCAAAAACGCGTTCAGCGACAACCATCTTCAGTTCGTTGACCTGGTTGTAGCTGGGGTATTCGCCACTCTCGTCAAAACGATCAAAGATTTTTTCGCCGTCAAGATAAATTTCCAACCGACCATTGCCGGCAGGCGTCAATTTGACCGCAATATCACCGGCGTTTTGTGACCGCCAGAATTCTATCGCCAACCACGTGGCGAGACCGTGATAGCCTCAAGGCACGCAATAGACAATATCTACTTCGACCTTACCGAATTCCGACCTGGTCATTGGCATGAAATTTGCTCCCTACTGATTGGAAACTTTAGCGCTGGCCTGGCCAACCGCAGTTTTATCGCCGTTTTGATTTTCACAGTAGACGTCGACCGTAACCAGCGTAGACCCGTCATCCTGTGCTTCCCGATTGATCAGCTGACCGTGGACGGTAACGGTGTCGCCGTCTTTGACCGGTCGCAGGAATTTGAGGTTGACGTTGCCGCTGCGGTGAAAATCATCGGCTCCCACAAACTTACGCATGGCTTCGGTGCAAAAAGCAATACTCATGCGGCCTGAAGCGATGGCGTAGTTGGTTCCCAGTCGCCTGGCAGCAAGCTCGGGATCGTTGTGAATATTCGCCCGGTTCAGGATGCCGCAGGATTCGAACAGATTGATCGATTCCTGGGTGATGTGCTTGGTGATAACGGGCAACGTTTCGCTGTCTAACCTTGCGGATGCCATTTCTTTCCCAATTCCTCCGGTTTTTTGAGCTGGTAGGTGCGCATTTTTTCGATCAGCCGGCCGTCTTCATCCATAGCGGTGGCCTCTATGACCAGATACGGCTTATCGCGTCGGATATATTTGTCATGAATACGCCCCGTAACGCGGATTTTTTTCCCCGGAATCGGCGTATTGTGCAAATCGATCTCGTTACCGGCGTTGACACCGCCGGTCTGGTCGTCATAGGCCATCGCCAACGAGGTTGCGTCGTGCTTCACCGCGATGGTAGGGAACACCGCATCGGGGTCGTCCACAGCTCGACGGTACAAGTCGACCATGTCCTGGGTCAGCAGATATTCATAAGAACCGAGTGCTTCCCCGATTTGAACTTCGTTGTAATCGAAAAGAGGCAGTTCCTGTTCGGGCATTTGGATACACTCCGTGGCCAAGGCTGGCGACTAATTCACTGACTGTAGATTGATGCTATTAATGTTAGCGGTTAATACCGCAGATACGATACCGCAGGGTGAGACAGCCGTCAAATTCGGGCCACCCCGGAACGCCGGCCGCGACCATGGCAACAGCGGCGTGGCAACAGCGGCGGGCGACAGCAGAATTGCTCAATAAAGTGCGTCAGAGCGTTCATACTATTGACATTTTTGGGTATTTTCCGTAACCTGTTTCATCGACTGGCGATGCCCGGACGGCCCCGGAATTTGCGGGGTCATTTTAACGTACCCCTGCCCTCGGTGGGACCTCAAGGTTGAGCTGGACAAACTCCGCCCCGGTGGCGCAATGGTAGCGCAGCCGATTTGTAATCGGCAGGTTAGGGGTTCGAGTCCCCTCTGGGGCTCTTCAAATCATAGTTAGCCGGTTACGGAGACACAATAAACCGATCAAATTTGGAGGGGTGGGTGAGTGGTTAAAACCACCAGACTGTAAATCTGGCGCCCTGACGGGCTTCGCAGGTTCGAATCCTGCCCCCTCCACCACCTGAACTAACACCCGCCCACCCAAATAAACCAGTATAATTGTTACCAACGACGCCCATTACCATTGATGCCCAGATAGCTCAGCGGTAGAGCACGTTCTTGGTAAGAACGGGGTCGGCGGTTCGATTCCGCCTCTGGGCTCCACGAGCACGATTAACCCGCCGGGTTGTACCGCGGAAAACACAAAGAGGAGCAAGGAGAACTCCACGCTATGGCTAAAAAAGTCTTTGACCGTACCAAGCCGCACGTAAATGTGGGCACCATCGGCCACGTTGACCATGGCAAAACCACCCTCACCGCTGCCATCACCAGGGTGCTGTCAGAAGAGGGAGGCGCTAGCTTTCGGGGCATGGACGAGATTGACAACGCTCCTGAAGAGAAGGCGCGTGGCGTAACCATCGCTATCGCTCACGTCGAATACGAGACCGGGGAGCGGCATTATGCCCACGTTGACTGCCCCGGCCACGCCGACTACATCAAGAACATGATCACGGGCGCCGCCCAGATGGACGGTGCGGTGCTGGTTGTGTCGGCCCCCGATGGGCCCATGCCCCAAACTCGCGAGCATATCCTTCTCGCTCGCCAGGTAGAAGTTCCTTCCATGATTGTCGCCCTGAACAAGGTTGACATGATGGACGACGAAGAGCTGCTTGAACTGGTGGAACTGGAAATTCGCGAACTTTTGAGCCGCTACGAATTCCCCGGCGACGATACGCCGATCGTGCGGGTCAGCGGCCTAAAGGCGTTGGAAGGCGACCCGGAAGCCATGAAGGACGTTCGTAATCTGATCCAAACTATGGACGACTACATCCCGCTGCCCTCCCGCATCACCGACCAGGCATTCCTGATGCCCATCGAGGACGTATTCGGAATCAAGGGCCGCGCACCGTGGTAACCGGCCGGGTCGAGCGGGGCCAGCTGTCCGTTGGTCAGGAAGTAGAGATCATCCGCTCCGGCGACGTGCGCAAGACCGTGGCCACCGGACTGGAAATGTTCCACAAATTGCTCAACACCACCGAAGCGGGCGATGCCGTGGGCGTGCTGCTCCGTGGCGTGGACCGGGACGAGGTCGAGCGCGGCCAGGTGCTGGTTGCCCCCGGCTCCATGCGGCCATATCGCAAGGCCGAAGCCGAGGTGTACGTGCTGAGTCAGCAGGAGGGAGGGCGGCATACTCCGTTCTTCACCGGTTATAAACCTCAGTTCTACATCCGCACCAGTGACATTACCGGTGAAATCGCCCTTCCCGACGGTGTCGAGATGGTGATGCCCGGCGACAACATCACAATGACGGTGAACCTCATCACTCCGATCGCGATCGAAGAGGGTCTCCGGTTCGCCATCCGCGAGGGCGGACGGACCGTGGGAGCCGGAGTGTTCACCCGACTTCTGGAGTAATCTGATGGCACGTAAATCTACCGATGCCCGGCAAGTTATAACGTTGCAATGCACCGACTGCCGGGAACGTAACTACTCAACCATGAAAAACCGGCGCAACAACACCACCAGAATGGAGTTGCGCAAGTACTGCGGCCGTTGCCGCAACCACCAGATACATCGTGAAGTGAGGTAACTGGCGGTGGCCAGAGCATCTGCCAGACGACCGGCGCCGATTTCTCCCCGCGCTGTGGGGAGGATCGGCCCGGTGGGCTTCCTGCGGGAAACCGTTTTCGGAGCTGCGTAAATCGGTTTGGCCCAGCAAAGAAGAAACGGCGCGCTTGACCGCTGTCGTTTTGGTGCTGGCAGTTGCGATGGGGTTTTTCCTGGGCTTGCTCGACCGGCTGTTTGCAGAAGTCTTCACCAGATTTGTGCTGTAACCCGCCGCAATAATCTTCGGCTGGTACACACTGCATCTGCATAGTTCGCGCTGCGATTGATCTGGTCGCTCCGCCCCGGAACGGCTGGCCCAATTTGCGCTGTGCATATGCCCAGCGTATAACCGTCACTTGGAACTATTCCGACTAATATATGACTACATTACAACCACCCACCGACCTGCGCTGGTATATCGTGCATACCTATACCGGCCAGGAAGACATGGTGAAACGCAACCTTGACCTTCGCCGCGTCAGTTTGGGGATGGATGACCGCATCACCCGCGTCGAAGTGCCGTCTGAAGACGAGATCGTACGCAACAAAGGGGAAAGGACTTCCCAGCGCCGAAAGTTGTTCCCGGGCTATATCCTGGTCCAAATGGTCATGGACGACGAGGCATGGTTCCTGGTTCGCAATACCACAGGCGTAACGGGTTTCATTTCCGCCGAAGAAGAAGGGGGAGACCGCCCGCGTCCGGTGCCGCTGGATGACCGGGAAGTCGATGACATACTGGACCGGGTGGCGTCTGGCGAGCCGAGGGCCGTGATTGGAATGAATCGCGGCGACACCGTACGCATTTCGGATGGCCCCTTCGCCGATATGCTGGGTAAGGTTGAGGAAGTGGACGAGCACCGGGGCCAGGTTACGGTGCTGATATCCGTGTTCGGCCGTGAAACTCCGGTCGAACTGGACTTTATGCAGGTTGACAAAGTCTAATCCGGAACGATTAGACAGGACTGGAGGCCATCCGTGGCAAAAAAGGTACGGGCAATCATCAAGCTACAACTGGATGCGGGCAAAGCCACGCCAGCCCCTCCAGTCGGTCCCGCATTGGGTCAACACGGCGTCAATATTATGGCGTTCGTAAAGGAATACAACGAGCGCACGGGAACCCAGTCAGGCACCATCGTACCCGTTCATCTCACCGTGTACGAAGACAGGTCCTTCACCTTCATTACACGAACGCCACCGGCATCGGATCTGCTGCGCCGGGCGGCAGGAGTAGCCAAAGGGCAAGGAGAAAATTCGGGCGAACCAGTGGGTACCATTACCGGCGATACCCTGAGAAGCATCGCTGAAGAAAAGTTGAAGGATTTGAATGCCAATACGGTTGAGCAGGCGATGCAAATCATCGCCGGTACAGCTCGTAGCATGGGAATCGCCGTAGAAGGCGATTAATCCGGGGAGACAAAGCGCAATGCCAAAACATAGCCGACGTTACAACAATGTAGCCGAACGGGTCCCCGAGGAATCGGTGTACCAGCCCCACGAAGCAGTGGACTTGATCCGGGAACTCTCCACCGCCAAATTTGACGAAACTATAGAAGTGCATCTGCGCACCAACGCCGATGTACGGCACGCGGAACAACAGGTGCGCGGCGTTACCGTCCTGCCCCACGGGCTGGGCAAACAGGTACGCGTCCTGGTTTTCGCCAGCGGCGAGGCCGCGGACATTGCCCGTCAGGCCGGAGCCGACTACGTCGGTGACGACGAACTGATCGCGCAAGTAGAAGGCGGCTGGCTGGAGTTCGATGTCGGATTGGCCATTCCGGAAGTGATGTCTAAAATCGGACGCCTGGGCCGCATTCTCGGGCGCCGCGGCCTGATGCCCAATCCCCGTACCGGTACTCTGGTACAACCTCGGGATTTGCCACGAGTTATCCAGGAATCCAAAGCAGGACGGCTGGAGTTTCGCACCGACCGCACTGCGATCATTCACGGTCAGTTCGGAAAATCATCGTTCGAACCCGACATGTTGATGGATAACCTAACGGTTTTCATGGATTCCGTGATGCGCGAACGTCCCGATGCGGTCAAAGGCCCTTTCATCAAATCGGCGTATATCACGTCCTCCATGGGTCCTGGCATCGCCGTCGACGCAACCGCACTGCAGGCGTTGAAGCCGGAGTAATCCGTCCCTTCATTTCCCGTGCATCAACCCTGGGGCCGCTCTGGTTGCATGGAGTGGTTCGAGATGATAGGCTAACCGCACAAATTGAATAATTCCATAGCGCTTGAGACAGCGGGCACCCGAAAGGGAATAATGGTAGCCTAAGGGCGCCACCCGCCTAGGCGAGGCAACCGGGTTCGCCCGGTGGTGTGGATACCGACCCCGGAGCCAATCAGCTCGGAGTTTGTTCCCATATAAAACCTGCGTCAATGTCTTGAAGTCGCAGGTTTTTTTAGTTCAGAATCTTTTACAAACATTGTTGAGCGTGCATGGCGCTCGCAGAGAATCCAGGAAATCGGAGGAACATCTTGCCAACCCAGGCGAAAGTCGATCGGGTAACCGAACTGAAAGAAAAGCTGGAAAACAGCTCCATCGTGATTGCTGCCGGCTTCTCTGGCATGGGTTCCAACCAGATGGTCGACCTGCGCCGTCGGATGCGCGACGGTGGAGTCGAATTCGTTGTAATAAAAAACAACCTGCTGAATCTGGCCGCCGACGCCGCTGATATCCCGCAACTGAAAGACATTATCACGGGTCAAACCGGTATCGCCTTTGGCTACGAAGACCCGGTAATGGCTGCCAAAACCGTAAACGCCGCTGCTGTTGCCGGCGGAATATTAAGGATCAACGGCGCCGTTGTCGATCGCGGGATCCCGATGGCAGCCAGTGAAGTATCGCGTTTGGCCGCCTTGCCGCCGCGTCCCGTTCTGGTTGCTCAGTTATTGGGCAACATGCAATCGCCTCTGTATGGCCTGCTGAGCGTGCTCAGCGGTCCATTGCGCAGCCTGGCATACCTGCTGCAGGCTCGATCCGACCAGTTACAGCAAACCGAGAGCGTTGCCTAGTCTCTCGCGATCTCGATTCAAACCAAGTAAACAGAACTCGAAACACTAACACCAGGAGGAGCCAGTCATGGCAGTAAATCAGGAAGTATTGGAAGCAATCCGGGGAATGAGCGTCATGGACCTGGCCGATATGGTCAAGGCATTGGAAGAAGAGTTCGGTATCTCCGCAGCCGCTCCCATGGCTGTCGCCGCTGCTCCTTCAGCAGGTGGCGTAACGACGATGCTCCGGCAGGCGCGGGCGACGAAGAGCAAACCGAATTCTCCATCACGCTGGCGGATTTCGGCGCCAACAAGATCAATGTCATTAAAGCCGTCCGCGAGATTACTGATCTTGGACTGCGAGAAGCAAAAGAACTGGTGGAATCAGCACCGACTCGCGTCCGCGAAGGCGTGAACAAGGACGAAGCCGACAGCATCAAGACCAAGCTGGAAGATGCCGGCGCGACCGTGCAAGTCGCCTAACCTGCTGCATTCTCTAAATATCACGACCCCTCTCGGACTCGAGAGGGGTTTTCCTTGCCGCGAGGGCGACCACATTCCAGCTCTCCGGCCGACGGGTTCCACACGGGAGCGGGATTGGGCGGCCACCGCGACCTGGTGTAGAATGCCGTCAATTCAACCCGCGGAGGCAATTCGATGGATTTGCAACTGAATGGGCTAACCGCAATCGTTACCGGCGGGAGCCGGGGCATCGGCAAGGCGGTGGCAAGAGTGCTGGCGGCCGATGGGTGCAGCGTGGTCATCACTGGACGCTACGCTGACACATTGTCCGCATCGGCCGAAGAAATCGCCGGCGATACCCACGGGCGAGTCGTACCCATGGTCGCTGACATGACAAACACCGAACAGGTTAACGCCATGGTATCGAGCGCCGCGGAAACCCTGGGCGGTCGTATCGACATCCTGGTCAATAACGCGGCCGCACCCGGTGGATTGGCTCGCGGTTCGCTGTCAGAAATCCAGGACGCCGACGTGATGTTGGACCTGGACACCAAAGTAATGGGATACCTCCGCTGCGCCCGGGCTGTTGCCCCGTACATGCAACTCCAGGGTAGCGGCAGAATCGTCAACATCGGCGGGTTGTCGGCGCGACAGGCCGCCGGCAACCTCAGCGCCGGCGTCAGGAATTCCGGGTTGTCCAATTTGACCAAAATACCTGGCCGAAGAATTGGGCCAGCATGGGGTGTGCGTAAATCTGGTTCACCCCGGCACCACTCGCACCGAACGCAGCGCCCCAATGTACGAAGAACAGGCCGCTCGGGAAGGCACAACCGTTGCTGAAGTGGAACGCCGGGTTGCTGCCCGCAATTCCACCCGGCGCATTGTTGACGCGGAAGAACTGGCCTGGGTGGTCGCCTTTTTGGCCTCGCCCCGCAGCATTGCCATCAGTGGAGAAACTATTGCCGCCGGCGGCGGCGCCGGCATAAACGTCTACCACTGACGGGGAACTCACACAGGAGACAACGAAAATGATCAAAGTAACCGTTTTCTACGACAACATGGAAGACAAATCGTTTGATTTCGACTACTACGTCAATACCCACATGCCAATGGTCCAAGAGCGGTTGACCACTTTCGGGATGCGCTATTACAACGTGGAAAAAGGCATATCCGATACCGATCCCACCGCGCCCCCCATGTACGTCGCCGTCGGGTACCTCTTCTTCAACGACCTGGAGGGTGTTCACGAGGGGTTCAAGAACCACGGGCGCGAATTGGTGGGAGACGTTAAGAATTTCACCGATATCGAGCCGAAATTCCTGATCAGCGAATTGGTTGCCTGAGCCTCGGTTGCTCCTGAACGCACCCTGCAGCCGGATTCGGCGCCACAATCTCCCCCAATTTCCCAGAGAATAACCACAGCCATGACCCAATCCGAAGACGCAGCCCGATGGCAGTCAGCTGTCAGCAACCTTGCTGAAACAGCCGTCGCCGAACACTGGGATTTCCTGCCTACCTCCGGCAGTCGTATCGGCCGCCACGAATACGATGGAAGGCTTCCCGATTTCTCGGGCAACCGCATACAGAATCGGGTCGAACAGATTCACCGAACGCTGGGCCAGCTGTCGGGGATACCGTTGTTACCGGAACCCAACACCATAAACGGAGAAAGCGATCACGCGATGCTCCGCTTGGAACGCAACCTCCTGGAAATGTTCCTGGGGCGGGAATTGTTCAACCTCGAGGAGATGCAGACGCTACACAACAATCCGCAGCGGCAGGTCGGATATCTGAACGTGGGCGGGTATGTGCAGCGGGGATTATGGTCCGCTGCCCGACCGAATCCGAGCGGCCACGGTGATTCTCCGCCAGGCGCCGGATTTTCTGGACACCCTTGATCGTTTGACCGACGCCGAACTGGGCGCGCCCATCAAGGACATGGCAGTGGAAGCCTACCGGGGAATGGCAACGTATTGCCGCACCGGACTGGCGGATGCCGCCGCAGCATGTGCTCGTTTGGCTCCGGACGTATCCGCCGAATTTGACCGGGCCCGCCAGGACGCATCGTCCGCTCTGGACCGGTTTGCTGATGTGCTGCAATCGCGCGCAACTCGACCGGAGTTCTCCATTGGATCAACTCTATATGGCCGGATGCTGGCCGAGGGCGAAGGCGTAACTACGTCTCTGGCCGACCTGCTGGCCATTGGACAAGCCAACCTGGAGCAAAATCTAAGCAAACTGGACCAGGCAGCCGCGCTGGTCGCTCCTGGCAAAATCCGTACGCGAAGCGGTCGCCCAGGTCAGCGCCAATCACCCGTCAGCAACCGGTTTGATCCCCGACACGCGGGAAATGTTGGAAGACATCAGGCAGTCGTTGATCGACCACGAGATAATCGGGTTGCCCTCGGAAGAACGCTGCCAGGTGACCGAAACGCCGCCCTACATGCGGTATGCCTTCGCAGCGATGGATTCGCCGGGTGGTCTGGAATCTGTCGCCACTGAGGCGTACTACTACGTAACGCCGGTGGAGCCCGACTGGACGCAGCAGCAGCAAGAGGCATGGTTGTCCAATTTCAACTATCACACGTTGAAAATCATCAGCATCCACGAGGTGTATCCCGGGCATTACGTACACAACCTTCACAACCGCCACCGGGCTCCTCTTCCACTCATCAATAGGGTTGCGACCTCGTACGCCTTTACCGAAGGTTGGGCGCATTACACCGAAGAAATGATGCTGGAAACCGACTACGGCCGCAACGATCCCGCTCTGTGGCTGACCCAACTGCTGGAAGCCCTGGTGCGGAATTGCCGGTACCTGTGTTCGTTGGGAATGCACACCCAGGGAATGACACCGGACGAAGCAACCCGCTTCTTCCAGGACCACGCGTACATGGAAGAACATCCGGCGCGGCGCGAGGCGTTGCGGGGAACATTTGACCCCGGGTATCTGAATTACACGCTGGGAAAACTGATGCTGTTGAAATTGCGGCAGGACTGGCGAACCCAGGAAGGCAATGCGTACAGTTTGCGCCGGTTCCACGATACCTTGCTATCCTGGGGCGCCCCGCCGGTGCCGATAGTGCGGCAAGCCATGCTGGCCAACCCAGGCCAACAGGTATTGTGAACGATCGATTACTTCTCGGAACGCCGCAGAAGGCGCTTCGCGAAACTTGCCTATTGTATAAGTTTAGGCTAACCTGATCGCCCATCGATGCGGAGGAACTTGGATTGTGACTAGCGCTGAAACGCGGCCAATTTTGGAGGTCAAAGACCTGCAAACGTACTTCTTTACGCGGACCGGCACCGTCAAAGCGGTTGACGGTGTTAGTTTCCAACTATTCCCAGGGGAAACACTCGGTGTAGTGGGTGAATCCGGCTCCGGCAAAAGCATGACTGCTCTGTCGATAATGGGATTGGTCCCAAAACCGGCCGGGCGTACGGTCGGCGGCGAGATTCTCTACAACGGCGAAGACCTGCTGCAGAAATCTGAAGCTGAGATGCGCCAGATGCGCGGGTCGGAAATCTGCATGATTCTGCAAGATCCCATGACTTCGCTAAATCCGGTTTACACCGTGGGAAATCAGGTAATAGAAACGCTGCGGCAAAACACTGGGGACGGCCGCAGCCTGGGGTTGAGGGCCAGGGCAATTGAATTGCTGGAAAAGGTTAAAATCCCTTCCTCAGATATCCGCTTCTCAAACTACCCACACCAGATGTCGGGGGGTATGAGGCAGCGCGTAGTGGGGGCCATCGCCGTGGCCGGCTCGCCCAAGGTGCTTATCGCCGACGAAGCCACCACGTCGCTCGACGCCACCATCCAATACCAGTACCTGGCGTTGCTGAAGGAGTTACAGCAGGAAACGGGCATGGCGATCATTTTCATCACCCACGACTTCGGCATTGTTGCCAAGATGTGCGACCGCGTGGCGGTGATGTACGCCGGCCGAGTTGCGGAGATTGCCGGCGTTCGCGAGTTGTTCAACAACCCACAGCACCCCTACACAGAAGCGTTGATGCGTTCGGTGCCGAACGTCGATGAAGACGTGGACTTTCTGTACTCCATCGAAGGCCAGCCGCCGGCGTTGGATGATCTGCCGCCCGGATGCTCGTTTGCCGACCGTTGCCCCTATGTTCACGACAGGTGTCTGGAAGAATTTCCGCCGGCGGTGGCTGTTGAGCCACAACATATCGCAACCTGCTGGCGATTGACCGAGGAGAATCGCTGATGACGCAGCCGATGACCGATGCACAGCCCACCACCCAGAACGGGGATTCCATCATTGAGCTGGAAAACGTCCGCAAGTATTTCCCTATCACCAAAGGTATCCTGCTCCGTCGTTCCATCGGGCAAGTTCAGGCCGTTGACGGAGTTTCTTTCAAAATCAAGGAAGGTGAAACCTACAGTCTGGTTGGGGAATCCGGTTGTGGAAAAACCACCACGGCGCGCATGGTGTTGCAAGTAGAGACTCCAACCGCCGGCACGATTCGATTCCACGGCAAAGACACCAATCAGTTCAGCGGGTCGGACCGCAAAGAGTACCGCGCGTCAGTTCAGGCGGTATTCCAGGACCCCTGGAGCTCGCTGAATCCACGCATGCGCGTCGGTTCCATCATCATGGAACCGCTGCTCACAAACCAGCCCATGGGCAAACACGAGGCCCAGGAACAACTGGAAACTCTGTTGCGTGATGTGGGGTTGCGGCAGGCGCAGGGAGACTACTACCCACACGAATTCAGCGGCGGTCAGCGGCAGCGAATCGCCATCGCCCGGGCGCTTTCACTTCGTCCCAAGCTGATCGTGCTGGATGAGCCGGTATCGGCGCTGGATGTTTCCATACGCGCCCAGATCATGAACTTACTTAGGGACCTGCAAAACCAATACGGCGTTAGCTACCTGTTGATCGCCCATAACCTGGCCACTGTGCGATATATGAGCCACCAGGTTGGGGTGATGTACTTGGGGCGAATGGTTGAAGAGGCGCCGGTTCGCGAGTTATTCACCAATCCCAGCCATCCCTACACCAAAGCGTTGATCGCAGCATCACTGCCTTCACACCGGACATTGAACGTGAAGAGATCATCATATCTGGAGAAGTTCCATCGCCGATGAACCCTCCATCGGGGTGCTATTTCCATACCAGGTGCCCGATGGTAATGGACCAGTGCTCGGTCGATGATCCAGAGACCCGGTCGTTGACGCCCACGCATCAGGTTGCCTGCCACCCTGTTCTGATCGTCATTCCTGAACGTCGGACAGATTCCTGACTACCCGCACGCTCTCCATACAAATCCGAACCCGGCACGGCTCGCGTCGATCGATCGACGCGAGCCGTGCCGGGTTCGGATTGCGGATAACGCAACTGTAACGATTACGGCGCCCTAGGTGCGGAAGGTCACCCTGCGGAAGGCTTCTGCCAACGCCAGGCCGGTAACATCTTCCTCGCCGGATGCGTTGCCGATCTCAGCGTTTTGTTCTGCCCGGGCGCGAACGAATCCTTCCATTTCCGCTTCGGAACGCCCGCGCGTTTGGCTGCGGTACGCCATCACCGCTGCCAGCTTGGCATCGAGAGCATCCGCCACATCAACAAAAACATTGGGGTTTTCAGACCCCCAAAACCAGATGGCCGCGGTTTTGTGAGGCTCTATGCCTTCGTTGAGGAACAGGTCGCCAAAGTGTAAATGGTCGCGGGCGTATGGAAAGACGGCGTCCAGGGCAACCTGCCCCGCAATCCGGTGATCCCGGTGCCACTGCATGTTGCGCCGATAGGGTTCCGTGGTCAACACAACGTCCGGTTTCACCAACCGGATCTGCCTGACCAGTTCTTTCCGGAAATCCGCCGCATCCTCCAGCTCTCCGTCAGGGCGGCCCAGCATGACGACGTTGGACACTCCCAGAATTTCGGCAGCAGCCATTTGCTCGCGGCTGCGAATCTCGACCAATTCTTCGGAGGTTACTTCAGGATCGTCGGTCCCTTTACCGCCATCGGTGCATAACACATAGTGAACGTCTGCACCCGCCTTCACCCATTTGGCTATCGTCCCGCCAGCCCACATCTCGGCGTCGTCGGGGTGAGGTGTGATTACCAACGCACGTTCCGGGGCAAATTCCATCGGCTGTCTCCTGCAAGGCAAACGTTTGTTTACTTGATGCGATCGGGTGGGCGATTCTATCAGTCCGCCCGGCGCTGGGGCGATTCCGCGGTTGATCCAGAGCGCGGAACGGTCCACCGACCGCATCCGGGTTCAATTGGGAACCGGGGATTACTCTGCAACAATCCTCCAATAGTGTCAAGGGGCGTATATCGTGATCACCTGTGCTGCGAACCTGCCCAGCGTTCCTTTTGCTAGCCAAGGTTGTGGGTTGTTCAAATACGGGGTTGGGCGGGATATACAGCTTGACCGGCCGGATCAGCGCGAGAGATTGGCTACCGGTTCGGACAATGCCCACCCTTGACCGATTGGGTTGGCTAATCTGTAATTACAATCGATTTTTCCGGTTCTCTCGCGTCAATTCGAGTGACCCGATTCACCCCGATTGTTTGGACGCCGCTCATCGTATCGCCACCACCCCACAGCCAATATTCGCTCGAGGTTGAGCGATCCTGGAACATCGTACGGTTCTGGAAAATGTCGCCGGCAATAATCCCGCCAGAAATGATCATCCGCATCGCTTCCTCTACACTCATGTCCGTCGGCGTAACACTGTTCGCCGGCAGTATCACCAAATATCCAGAAGAGGGTATCGGGGTGGTCGGCACGTAAATAGACAGAAATTCCTGGACGCCGTCCAACTTTCCCAGCTCGGAAGTGATCAATCCTATCGACAGCACGCCAAGCCGAGGAAATTCGAACAGAACCACCCCGCGGTAATTCGTCTGTTGTGTGTCTGACAAAAAATCGATTCCTTGCCGCGTGGTGTCATACACCGCTCCAACAACCGGCACCCGCGCAATTAAGTTGTGGAATTGGTGCACCAGGAATTTGGCCACGGCCCAGCCGATAAACAACCCCATGAGATAAACGACTATGACCACCCCAGCGAATCCCAATCCCGGGTAGTGGGGAAGGTTGATCCAGTCAAAGACCGGGTCCAGCAGCGGATCAATAAAGTCGTAGAAGAAATCGAAAATTACATAGGTTACAAATATGGGCAGGAACACCAGGAGTCCGGCCATCAACCGACCCTCCAGATGTCGTAAAACGACAGCCATTAAGTGGGTTGAACTATGACGGGAAGGAGGTTTCTGTTCGTGACGGTCGGGTCCGTCGCTGCCTCCACGCGGGACAGGCCGCCGGAATCGGCCTGAAATCATGCTGCCACCGTCCTGCCGACTCGGTCGACAGCCAACCGTGCGTACAATTCCAGCAACCTCTGGGCAACCCGGTCCCAGCTCAATCCTTCGGCTCGGTGTCTCGCGGCCCGCCCCATACTGTCCCGCAAGCTCCGGTTGTCCATTATCATCTCCACGGAGTTTGCGAAGGACTCCGGGCACCGCCACGATTTCAGGTAGCCGGTGCGGCCATGCTGAACGATGGTCGGCAAGCCGCCAACCCGCGACGCCACCACGGGAGTGCCACAAGCCATGCTTTCGAGAGCGGCCAACCCGAAACTCTCGTAGAACGACGGCACCACGCACACGTCGGCCGCCGAATAATACCAGGCTAATTGCTCCTGAGGCACCCTGCCCACGAACTCGACATTGGCGCCCACATTCAAATCATCGGCCATCCGCTGCAAACGGGCGATTTCCTGGCCTCCATCCGCATCGGAGCCCACCACCAAAACCTGCACGGTTTCGTCCGATTCCAATTGGGCGGCTGTGTGGATTAGCAGGTCCACTCCCTTAAGTGCCTCGATACGGCCCACGTACAGGAGAATCTTATTGCCTTTTAGTCCGAGCTTGCGATTGGCGCGGGCGCGCCCCAGAGGCCGAAAACGGGATAGATCCACGCCGCAAGGGATTAATTCGATTCGCCTGGCATCGGCCCCATACAACCGCACCATGGCGTCGCGCTCGTGTGCGCTGTAGGCAATGATGCAGTCGGCGGCGCCAATTATTTCCGTTTCTGCTCGCCGGCGTTCGGGTATTTCAGCCTCCCCGGAGCGCGACTGCATCTTGATCTGAGCCAGCGTATGAAATGTAACCACGTGGGCTCGATTGATATCCGCCGCGAATTTAACCCCGGCAGATCCACTTAGCCAATAATTGGAATGCACGGCGAGGTAATCGGCGCACTCCCCGAGACGATATTCATGCATACCAGCGACGAAGTCGTCCAGATAATTATGTTGATGTTCCAGGGGGGCGTCGGGGTCACCGGCCGTATGTGAACCACGTTGACGCCGTCGGCGATCTGCGGTCCGTCTGCGCCGGATTCATCGTGTTCGCGAGTGAATATGTCAACCGTAGCGCCGCATCCAGCCATCGCACGGGCCAATTCACGAACGTACACGTTCATTCCGCCAGATTTACCCTGGCCCGGAGCCGCAAGTGGGCAAGCGTGATACGAGAGTAGAGCAACCCGATTCGAAGCGGCGTTGGTCAACGCTACACGACCCCAGTGGCCGCTGCTTGACCGCGTTCTAACGTAATGCGGTAGAGATGATGATCGACTCCCCCCAGGCGGTATTTATAAGGCTCATTGCCCCTGAGGAAATCGAAGTAACGATACCCCTTCTCCAAGGCGTCTCGTAGGCAGAGCGAGTGCAGCAACAATCCCACGCTATAGTACCGGTACTCCGGATCGTGGCCGCTGTTGTACAACATGCGAACGCCGTCGTAATCCAGGCACAGCGAGGCCGCCACAGTCTTATCGTCCATTTCCATGAAGAAGAGCTGCAGTACCCCTTCTCGCGCCGTTCCGGCTACCATCCGACGAAAGAAAGCCTCGCGTTCGGCAGTCAGGAATTCCGCCTTGGCTTGGTCGCTTCGACGCATCAGGTCCAGAAAGTCGTCCATACGACGGGAGGCCTCATCCACGTCCGACACACAATACCAGCGCCAGTTTTTCGTGGCCTTCCAGACGACGCAGCTTTCGGCGCAGTTCGTGTCGGTCTTTCTTGCTCAGCCCCGCCAGGTATTCATCCCAACTGTCGGTGAGCGCCAGGCGCGGCGCCACGTCTTCCTCTTCTATCTCTACAACAAATCCGCTTTCGCGGGCCAGGTCGGGGAGCATCGTCAACGTGGGTGAATCCTCGCCAATGGAATACAGTTCGAGTCGATGATCTCCGTTGGCGCTGATGGCATCCAGAAGCGTGTGGTAGAAATTGTTTTCGGCGCCTTCGGCTATCACGAAATCGTTGTAGTCGAAGGTATCGCTGTTTCCCAGCAACGAGTAGTTGTTGCCACACCGGGAGAGGGACGCGATCGCCGTAACGTCCCCAGCAGTATCAGACATGTAGAACCCGGCCAGGCTGCACCCATCCTGGAAGGCATCCCACCACAATTCCTGCCAAACCGGAGTGATATACAGGTTATTGACCGTCGAGCGGGTTAATAGTTTTTCCCACTGCTGCCGGACTTGCTCGAAGGAAGTAATCGGCGTGAGCTCCTGAGATTCGGGCATCAAGTTCCTCGGTTGTTAAGTCCTTCAGTGTCCCAGCATATCCAGCAGATCGCGCGGCGCCACTGCGGAACCGCTTCCGTTGGCTGACGAGTTTGTCGCCAGACGAACCGCCGTGGTAACCACGCGGTGTCCGGGTTTGTGCACGCCGCGCATTGACATGCACATGTGTTCTGCTTCCAGTCGACAGGCCACTGCCAGTGGTTCCACCCGGGATAAAACTGCATCGGCCAGTTGTGCGGTGAGGCGCTCCTGTACCTGAAGCCTCCGCGAAGCCGTATCCAGCGCACGGGCGATCTTGCTGATGCCTGCTATGTGACGGTCGGGCACATAAACCAGGTGGGCGTGGCCGAAGAACGGCAGGAGATGATGCTCGCACATGGAAAAGAATGGGATATCGCGCACCATCACCGGATCCTGAGTTACGTTATCAGAAAATACGGCATCAATTTCGTCCGCCGGGTCCCTGCCCACGCCGGCGAAGATCTCTCCATACATCTCGGCAACCCGTTCCGGAGTATTCCACAGACCTTCGCGTCCGCTATCCTCGTCGATGTATTTCAAAACTGTGCCAACCGCCACTGCTACTGCGGCCCGGTTGATTCTGGGAGCGCTGGTCATATATAGCGTGCCTTGCCTTCCCGCCAACTATCACCCGCCAAGCCAGTCATTGCGGGCGGCGGGTGTCAGAGATTCCAATATTACGGATTCGATCGCCTCCAAGTTGGGCTTAACCTCCACCGTATCAGCCTGGGTGCTGCTTACGGCCATGTCGGGGTCCTTCAAACCAGAACCGGTGATGATACATACGGCCCGTTTTCCCCGGAGATCCAATCCGTTCCTTCGCATCTTAATCAGGCCCGCCACCGAGGCTGCGGAAGCCGGTTCTCCGAAGATCCCCTCGCGTGAAGCCAACAACCGGTAAGCTTCCAATATCTCATCGTCGCTAACGGCATCGATAACACCGCCGGATTGGTCCCGGGCCCGTTCGGCCGGTTTCCAACTCGCCGGGTTGCCGATGCGAATAGCGGAGGCGATGGTTTGCGGGTTGGCCACCGGCGCGCCTCGCACGATGGGCGCTGCGCCTTCGGCCTGAAAGCCCATCATTCGGGGCAGAGTTTCCGTACGCCCCAGCTGGTGATATTCAACGAACCCTCTCCAGTAAGCCGTAATATTGCCAGCATTTCCCACCGGTATGAACAGATAATCGGGCGCATCACCAAGATCATCCGCAATCTCGAAGGCGGCAGTTTTCTGACCCTCGATCCGGTGGGGGTTAACCGAGTTGACCAGCGTAATGGGATTGTTGGCTGTAAACTCGCGTACCAACGCCAACGCGGCATCGAAATTGCCGTCGACGAGCAATATCCGCGCTCCGTAGGCCATGGCCTGAGCCAGCTTGCCCAACGCCACTTCACCTTTGGGGATCAGCACCCAGGCTGTCAAGCCACAATAGGCGCAATAGGCGGCGGCAGAAGCGCTCGTGTTACCGGTGGACGCACACATTACGCCCACGCTGTTTGCTTCCATCGCTTTGGCGATGGCAACAACCATGCCGCGATCTTTGAACGAACCGGTGGGATTACAACCCTCCAGCTTGAAAAACAGGTCGGCGCAGCCTAATTCGGGTCCCAGCCGTCTGGAGCGCACCAGCGGCGTGTCACCTTCGCCCATGGAGAACACCGGTGTCTCCTCGTTCACGGGCAGCAAATCCCGATATCTTTCTAACACCCCAATGCCCATCAGACCCCTAATCTAGTGTAGTGAGTCGCTGAATTGCAGACGACAGCGGAATAACAGACGGATTCATTCCTCGATCCGGATGAGGTTATTCACTCCTACCACCACGCCGAGTCTGGCGACCGCTGCCAACGCAAACTGGACGTCTGCTTCCCGGGCGGGATAGGTGGTAATAACCAACTGAGCTGTTCCGCTGCCAGGATCAGTATCTTTTTGAATCACCGTAGCGATCGAGATGTTGCCATCTCCGAGGATTTGGGCTACTTGTGCCAACACGCCAGCCTGGTCGGCGCACGTCAAACGGATATAGTAAGCGCTGGACAACTCATCGATAGGGCATACGGCGCTGTCGGTATCGTCGCCATTTACATCCAACGCCGGTAACGGTGGTGGAACATTGGCGCTACCCATGGTGCGAACGATACTAAGAATATCGCCCATCACCGCACTGGTAGTCGCTTCACGTCCCGCGCCCTGCCCATGCAGGATGATTTGACCGCACAAATCGCCCGTGACCTCTACCGCATTATACACTCCGTCAACCTTGGCTAGCAGGTGATTTTCGGGCACCAAAGCGGGATGCACTCTCGCCTGCACCAACCCGTTGGATTGAACTACCGCAATCGCCAGGGATTTGATGGCGTATCCCAACTCGGAGGCGTAACGGAAGTCTTCGGGGCCCAGCTGACTTATGCCCTCGGTGTGAATTGCGTGATGGGGGATTCGACGGTGGAAAGCCAGGCTGCCCAGGACCGATAGTTTATATGCCGCGTCGATACCCTCTATGTCGTTGGTTGGGTCGGCCTCGGCGTAACCACGAGTTTGCGCCTCGGCCAGGGCATCGGCAAACGACGCCTGGTGCCAGGCCATTTGCGTCAGAATATAGTTCGTAGTGCCGTTTATTATGGAACGAATTGAGCGAATATCGTTGGCCAGCAGTTGCGACATTAAGCAGCCGACGATGGGTATGCCACCGCCAGCGGAAGCCTCGAAGAGCAGGTTCACCTGCTTTTTTTGCGCCAGCGCCATCAGGTCGGGGCCGCGCCGGGACATTACCTCTTTATTGGCGGTAACCACGTGTTTACCCGCATCCAGAGCTCGCTGAAGATACTCCCCGGCCGGATGGTCCCCGCCCATGGTTTCCACCACTATCTGAACATGCGGATCCGCCAGTATGTCCTCGGGATTCGTGGTTAGAACCCCTTCCGGGGGCGCCGGGTCACGGGTTTTTTCGGAATCCCTGACCAACACGTGGCGCAAGTTGACGGAGAATCCCGTTTTGCGCTGGATGCTGTTCGCGTGGTCAGTCAGCGCCAGAGCAACGCCGCCGCCAACAGTTCCCAATCCCATCAATCCGATATTGATTTCTCGGGTGGTGCCAACCATTAGCCTCGCCTGCGACCCCAACCTGCCTATTGTTGCGGAACCGGGGTTACACGCGGTCGGGTGAGGCGAACCTGCTGAGTAACCCATTCGTAGAGACTGCTTCTAAAGTTCATTTTTACCCATCCATCATCGGCTCCCTGGGACAATTGATCATCCTTCCATCTCTCTACGCCGGCTGCCGCCAACTGAAACTGCATCGCCGGTTCGATTTCCCGGGTTTCCGGCTCTCCGATGGCTTGCAGCAGCACGATGTTGTCTTGCATAAAGATGGAACTCGATACGTCACCCGGTCCCAGCAGAGGCGGTTCTCCGTCTTCGCCAAATAGATGGCGATTGAATTCGGTGATAGCGCCTTCGGGCACCCACCCAATGTAGCCGTCCGAACCGCTGATCTCTCGAGATACTGAGGCGAAATCTTCCCCCAGCTGCAGTCGCTCGCGCACCGCGACCGGGTCCGCGGGAGAATTTGCGCCCAGCACGATCGCCTGGGCTTCCACATGCGGCGCTTCTTCGGGAAGGCTTGCCAACATCACCTGAAACAACCTGCTTTCCTGCAATTGTTCTTCGACAATGCGACGGTATGCCGAATCGGAAAGGTTAACCTGGTCCAGGAACCCCACGTAGTTGTTCTCGTACTCGGCGTCCAGTTGTTCGTCATTAACTTCCTGTCCGGTCTCTGCTTGCGGCCTGAAAATCGATCGGATGGTTTGCTCGATATCATCGTCGGTAACATTGATTTGCAACCCGGGCGCCGCCTGCCGCAGGATCTCGGCGTGGAGCAGTTTCGTTAACTGATCAAACGGGTCACGGCTAAGGTCCACCTGGCCACCCTGATAACGGTTGATGCCCTGCAGAACACGGATGCGCTCCACCAAGTCGCCCATCGTGAAACGTACGCCGCGTATGTCGCCCGCCATCACACGAGGCGGACGAATATATTCCTGGTAAATTCCAGCCGCGACGACTCCCGCAATCGCCAGCAGGAGCACGGCTCCAACTACAATCGCAATCCGCTGTCGTCGGCTTTCGAGTATCCGACGGGTTCTGGCGATTGCGACCGTATCGCCGGAGCGTACACCGACGCGGCGGTTACGACCTCCGCGCCGGCGTACCGGTCGCGGGCCACCGGATGGTGGCGGCTCTTCATCACCGTCGTCGGCGCCGCGTTTCCAGGGCAGCGGCAGGTTCAGCATTTTCACGCCAACCGGCTAGCGACCAGAACGCATACCCGTGTTAACGCTGTGATCGGGTGCATACGGCAAGAGGGCCAAAAATCGGGCGCGTTTGATTGCAACAGCCAACAAACGTTGATTCTTGGCCGAAGTGCCGGTCTTGCGAGTAGGATCGATTTTCCCCTGCTCAGAGATATAACGGCGCAGTCTGTCCACGTCTTTGTAATTGGGTTTAACGCCTTCCACGGTGAACGCGCATACGCGCCGCCGGGGTCCAAACCGCCGGGCGCCCCGTCCGCCGGTTCGCGGACCGCCGCGCCCGGGCGGGCGCCCACCTGGGCCACCTGCCGGTCGAAATGATCCCGGACCGCCGGCCGGTCCACCGGGCCGTCGGGCTGGGCCGCCACCATCTGCCGGCACGCCGGTTGGCGCTGGGGCAAAAGCTGGAGCTCCCGATGCTGGGGGAGTAAAAGGTGTGGGAGTAGTCATACCTGAGTTGTCCTCCGGAATTGTGTCCGGGCGCCGCCAATATGACGGCGTCGACGTGAGTTAAAACGGTAAATCGTCGATGTCCGTCATGGGTTCACCAGCTCCTAATGAACCGGCATAACCCGTATCCCCGGAGCGTTGGTCATCGTTTCGGCCGCGTGTTTCGCCAAACGCGTCGTCGGGCTGGTCGCCACGGCGTCCCAGCATTTGCATCTCGGTTACGGAAACATCCAGCGAGAATCCTGGCGTACCGTCCCTACGGTCATATTGTCGAGACTTGAGGCGTCCCTCTAAGTACACTTGCTGGCCGCGCGTGAGGTACTGATTGCAAACATCGGCCAATCGCCCGAATGCGGTGCAATTGAACCACTCTGTTTCCTCGCGCTGCTCCCCTGCGGCCGTGGTGTAACGCCGATTGCTGGCGATGCTAAACGACGTCATCGGATTGCCGGAGGGAGAGTAACGCATCTCTGGGTCGCGACCCAGATTGCCGATGATAATGATCTTATTCACTATCTAGTCTACGCCTGGGCGTCGGTGTCGGATTCGGCCGCTGGTTCCGAGGACGGCGGTTCCGCAGCATCTACCACCGCATCCGGAGGCGTTTCGACAACTGCCTCCGGTTGAGGAGCGGGCGCTGGCTCAGTGTCAACCACCGGAGCCGGTTCAGGTGTTACTGCGGTCGTCGGCTCGGCGCCGGCATCTGCAGGCGGTTCGGCGCTCGGCGGGGCTGGCGCATCGGGTGCGGCAGGCGGTTCGGTGGCCACAGGAGGAGCGGCCGGCGCATCAGGAGCGGCAGGCGGTTCGGCGCCGGCATCTGCAGTGGGTTCAGCGCTCAGCGGGGCCATCCCTTCGGGTGCGACAAGCGGTGAAGCGGCCACGGGAGGAGCGGACGCCGGTTCGGCGCTCAGCGGGGCCGACCCATCGGGAGCGACAAGCGGTGAGGCGGCCACGAGAGGAGCGGACGCCGGTTCGGCGCTCAGCGGGGCCGACCCATCGGGAGCGGCAGCCGGTTCGGCAACCGCCGGTGAGGCCGCTACAGGAGGAGCGAACGCCGGTTCAGGTCTTCGGTCGGGCGAGCCTCCCGGCGCTTCGGGGATTGGGCCACCGCCATCAGGCCTGCGTCCCCGGCCCGGCGGGATGTAGCGGGACGGAGCCGTCAGTTGGCCGGGCGCCGGTCGATCTTCCAGCGGGCCATCGCATCGGATTACCAACGAACGCAATACTCGTTCATCCAGACGCAAATAGGTCTCCAACTCTTTATTGAACGCGTTCTCTACTGCGAATGAACTGAGGTAATATGCTCCTTCCAGGAAGTTGAAACTCCCTTTTCGGATTGGGTAGGCAAGGCGCCTGGTTCCCCAAATTTGTTCGGCGGTAATCTCGCCATCCCGATCCCCAATAAACGATTTTATGTCGGCCCAGGTGGATGTAGCTTCATCCTGATTGAGCATGGGGCTTAGAATGGCTACCAGTTCGTAATGACGCAAGTTTTAGTCTCCTGATTTGGCATCGGGCGTACGGGCGATTATAGCACCTGCTATGCGCGATGTCAGTAATGTGGTGACGCACCGTGGAACTAATGCCGCGAATTGACACCAACGGCAATGCACTGAACCTTGGACAATGATAATCGCAATCACACATTATAACTTGTGCAAATAACGACGAAAAGCGTAAGATATTACATCCCGCGCTCACTCGCCTGTAATTATCCACTGTCGAGCCCATGACTTCGCAACCTTCCCGACCTCCGCCCTCTCGAACTTCCCGACGACTGCCCCGTTTTTACTACGGTTGGTACATCGTTATAGCCACCGGATTTGTAATGACCGTGGCCACTGTGCCCTTGTTCCATGCGATGACGTTGTGGTCGGTGGCGTTGGAAAATCACTTTGGCTGGAAGCGTGGTGCGCTGTCTCTCGCTTTGTCACTCACCCGGGTTGAGGGTGGTTTGATGGGCCCCGTTGAGGGCTTCCTAACCGACAAACTCGGCGCCAGAAAGATGGTGTTGTCCGGTTTCATGATACTGGGATTGGGTTTCCTGGTATTTTGGAAGATTGATGCCGGATTTTGGCCGGTAGGCCCTCTGTACATGTTTTACGTGGCCTACATGATTATGGCCCTGGGCCAGGGGATGGGCAGCTGGGTCCCCATGATGACTACCATCAACAACTGGTTCTCACGCCGCATGGCGTCTGCGATGGGGTGGGCCAACTGGATCAGCCGCGGCGGCGCGTTAATCATCATCCCATTGATGGACTTCGGAATCCACAGCAACATCGGATGGCAGGGCACCGCCCTTACCTTGGCCATCGTAGTTTTCGGCGCTGCCATACCGCTATCGTTCGTCATCAGGAACCGACCCGAAGATATGGGGTTGGAACCCGAAGATGACGCCCGGCCATCCTCGCGAGGCACGGCAGGCGGTCAGAGGACACCTGCGTCCCAGGGACTCACAGCCCAACAGGCCGTTCGTACACCCGCATTCTGGCTGATCGCGATCGGCCACGGCCTGACCAGCATGATCATTCTGGCGATCTTCACTCACCTGGGCCTGTTGCTCAAAGACGCCGACTTCGAGAATCAGGTGGGTCGCGTAGTAACCACCTATACATTTGTGGCAATGTGGGCGCAGTTGATCGGCGGATACGTGGGAGACCGTTATTCCAAGCGGCTTTGCCTGTTCGTCTTCACTTCCATTCAGGCGGCCGCAGTCGTGCTGCTCACCTTCAGCACCCAGTTATGGATGTTTTATGCCTTTGCGGTAGTATTCGGACTCGGGTTCGGAGGTCGCAATCCACTTACCACCTCCATACGCGGCGAATACTTTGGACGAGGCAACTTCGGCAAGATTCTGGGTATCAGCACAATCCCGATGAACATCTTGCTGCTCGGAGCCGGTCCGTTCGCCGGATATATGTACGACTGGCAGCAATCCTATACCGTGGCATTCCTGGTGCTGGCCGGCTTTAATTTCCTTGGCGGCGTGTGTTTCCTGTTCGCCCGCAGGCCCCAAATCCCAACGGAGCCGGCAACAACCTCGCCCCAACCCAGTCCGGCGCCCGTCGTAGCAGACGACGACTAAGGGCTCACGCAATAAAAATCGGCCGCGGTGGCTCGTTGCCCCGCGGCCGATCACCAACGACTTGCGAGACGCTTTAGCCCAGGTCGGTTTCGGTAATCTCTATGTTTAGGATGGCCAGGCGCTCAGCGGGTTGAGAGTTCTCCCCGCTTCGACTGTTGCGTACCGGTGAGGTAGCCAGCGATTCAAGCACGTCGTCGCCTTCGGTCAGGGCGCCGAAAATGGTGTAGTTCGGGGGAAGCCCAGCATCTGCGCCGTGAACCAGGAACCATTGGCTCCCGTTGGTGTTGGGGCCGGAGTTGGCCATGGCCAGGGTTCCCCGCACATACGGTCGCGTCACCGCTTCATCCCTGAATCGATAGCCCGGGCCACCTGTGCCATCGCCTTTCGGGCAACCGCCCTGGATCATAAATCCGTTGATGACCCGGTGAAACTGGTTATTCTCGTAAAATCCGTCACGGGCCAGGAACACAAAATTGTTGACGGTTAGCGGTGCGACTTCCGACAACAACTCTACCGTCATGTCGCCTTTGTCGGTCTTGATAATCGCGTGGTACCGTTTGGTAGCTTCAATTATCAGGCCCGGCGAGTTTTCATACTGTTTGGGGGGCATTGCTCTTTACTCCTGCTTGGCGTGGGCGAAAACTCCGGCGATTATACCCCAAACCTGTAGATCGAAACCGATTATTGCCCACGCAACCACCAACGCATCAGCTCCGGCGCAATCTGGGTAAGGTACGGTTCTGCGGATAAACCTCAAGGTTCTGCTCCTGTTGATGCCATATAATTAACTCATGGGCACGTGGCGCGTTCCCGCCTCTTAGTGGCAAACCACGTGCAACACCGTGACCGAATATTTCGTGTGGTGATGAAAGGAGGGAGATCGGAAATGGAAATTCTCGATAGCATGGCGCGATTCGGACATGAACAGGTTGCAATGTACAACGACCCGAACACTGGACTACGGGGAATTATCGCCATTCACGATACGACGCTGGGGCCCTCATGTGGAGGCACCCGAATGTGGCCCTACGAAAGCGAGACTGATGCACTGGCCGACGCGTTGCGTCTGTCCCTGGCCATGACCTATAAATCCGCGGCGGCAGGATTGAACCTCGGCGGCGGAAAAGGCGTAATAATCGGCGATCCCCGCACTCAAAAGTCTGAATCCCTATTGCGATCATGGGGACGCTTTGTAGACACCCTGGGCGGCAGATACCTGACCACCACCGACGTGGGAACGAACGGACGCGACCTGGAGTCAATCCACCAGGAAACCAGGCACGTGGTGGGGTTGGACGTGACTCTGGGTGGCAGCGGCGACACGTCTATCATGACCGGCCTGGGTGTCTACATGGGCATAAAGGCATGCGCCGGCGATGCGTGGGGCAGCGACTCGCTGCGTGGCCGCACCATCGCGATGCAGGGATTCGGAAAAGTTGCATCCCACACGGCAAAACATTTGCTGGACGAAGATGCGCGAGTCATAGCCACCGATATCAGTGAAGATGCGCTGGGCAAGGCAAAGAGCATGGGGGTTCAGGTCGTCGGCGCCGAAGAAATCTTTGACACCCCATGCGACATCTTCGCCCCGTGCGCTTTGGGCGGTGTTATCAACAAGGATTCGATCCAACGTCTAAGCTGTCGAATAGTTGCGGGTGGGGCCAATAACCAACTGGCAACGGAGGCAGACGGGGAAGAACTGCAGCGACGTGGTATTACTTACGCTCCCGATTTCTTGATCAATGCGGGTGGCATTATCAATGTGTCAACCGAGATCGGACAGCCTTACAATCCGGACCGAGCCCGTCAACAAACCGAACGCATCTACGAACAGATGTCAGCGGTGTTGACGACCTCCCGCAACAAAGAGATATCCACCGCGAGAGCCGCCGAGTTGCTGGCCGAAACGCGCCTTGCGGACGTTCGCCGCGTGCGCGGCATTTTCCGCGGTTAATTCTCCGAATCCCGTCAGCCTTTAAAACATCAGAGGCGGCCAAGAGTCGCCTCTGATGCGTTTGGATCCCATGATTTGGCCACCGACGTTATCCGGCTCCCGGATAAACCACCGTATCAGGCCGGTACACAGCCCAGGAAAACCAAAATTGCCCGATGCGGCCCGGGACCGGTTCCAATGCTGTGCCGGCTAGTGGGCCACCCACGGCGCTGCCAAATATATTCCACCGGCTGCCGGTCTGATCGTCTGCGATGAAGCCATCGGCATCGATGGCAAAGGTCAATGCAACGCCGTCTTGACTCACCGGCACAAATATTCCCGCCGTGCCCACATCCCGCCCGTTGGCTATCGTACCCGAATCGAGGGCGGACGCCGTGCCCGGCTGCCAGAACACGACAAAATCATGTTCTTCCAACGACCCTGCCACGACCTTTTCATCCATCAGTATCGTGAACGATACAGCCCAGGCTGCGTCGTCGAGTTCTATTGCCACTACTCGTTCCACCGCCGGCAGCCTGGGATCCTCGGCGCCGTTGAACAAGAATGGACTTGATCCGGGCCGGTCGTACCCGCGGTAGGGATTATTGCCATACGGGCGTCCGGAATCGGGGCGGGACAGCACCTTTCCATTCGGGAATGCCTGTTTGAAGTCCCGCCACGAAACAATGGACAAGTACAGTTGGTCCAGGCGACGCCCGGCGTGTTGTCCAATTACTCCCTGGCCGCCAACCTCCTGCCACCACGATTCGGTCTGCCGGTCGTACATCAGGAGATTACTGTTGCGCAACGCCCCCGTAGTACCGAAGTCCAGCACCTGCCCGTCCACCGTCCGCCTGAACACGAAGGCGGTATTGCAGAGCGGTCAAAACGTAACCACGACCGGTTCGCCACCCACCACATCATTCACCAGTTCGTGCCAAACCATAATTTGCACTGGATACGCCCGGGAATCCCCGCCGATATCCACCACCTGCACTGGTTCCAGGTCGTCCAGCCACACGTCAGCCTCCGCGGTGGACTCGAAACTGGGTTGGTCGATTGCGGGGATGCCGTCTTTGGCTGGCCCGCCCGTCATTATCTCGTCGAAAGAGATGGCGCTACGCGTAAAGTCAGTGGCCCACGGTGCCCGCAATACCCGTTCAAACCTTTCCTGGGCCTCGTTCGCCTCTACGTCGTCAATGATCAGCACGTTCCCCGCCGGCTGAGTTGGTGTCGCGGATACAACGGTCGCGGCGGGGGACAAATCTGGTGTCTGCAACGGTATGGCGGCTGGCGTCTCACCGACTACGCCAGTGGTGGAGGTAGTTGCCACCCCTGATTGCGTCGGCGCAACGCCCGTCGTGACCGGCGTCGCAATCGATGGTTCACCTCCGCTGCATCCAACCACAACCAGCGAAGCCAACACTGACAATGCTGCCCCGCGCCACCACCGCATCCGACGCGTTGTTATGGTATTCAGGTCGTTTCCCAAAAATGGCGGTTAGAACGCCGGGCGCCGCAATACCGCCGGATCGATGCGCCGCCGAACCAGTTGGCCGTCGGTTGGAGCGCCCAGCAATTCGCCGTTGTCCACCATCACCTTGCCCCTCAATATGACCGTGGTTGGCCAACCGCGAACATCCCAACCTTCCCACGGGCTGTAGTCGCGGATATGCAGATCATCCATGGTTAACTGCTTGTGGAACGTGGGATCTATGATGGCCAGATCGGCGTCGCTGCCCGGCGCGATAACGCCTTTTCGAGGGTACATCCCCAACAGGCGGGCTGCATTCGTGGACGTGATGTTGGCGAACTGCGTAAGGGACATGCCGCGCTTCACCACGGCCTCGGAATAGTTGACTCCCATGCGGATTTCGATACCGATGTTGCCGCCGCGCACGTCCTGGACGTTGCGCCCGGCCGTTTTGTCCAGGTAGGTCGTGAAGCTGCTGTCAGTGCCGGTGAATGTCAGGTTGTGCTCCAACAAACCGGACCACAGTTCACTGCCGTCTTCAGGATACTTTAGCGATGGGTAGGTGTGGTACTTCATCCCATCGGGTTCCCGATACTGCCAGCAATTGAACGACAGGGCCAGCGTGAGAACCTCACCGTACACCGGCAAGCCACGGCTCCGGGCTTCGGCGACGGCGTTGACCCCGTCGCTGCCGGTCACGTGCACGAAGTACATGCCAGCGCCTTTTTGCTCGGCGATACGGATTGTGTCGCGAAACGCCAGGTCCTCCACCTCTTTGGAGTGAATCAGGTGCACGTTGTACCAGTCCCAAATACCTCTCTGCTGAGCCAGCAGGTAGTTGTACATCACGATTTCGTCGTCCTCGGCGTGCACAGCCAGGACACCATCATGCCGGGCCAACTGACCCGCAAGGTCTGACAGCCGGCCCGAATCGATGCGGGCAACTGGAGTCAGCGTCAGTGGTGGGTCTGTAGGGGGACGAATGTTGGTGGTGAAAATTTTGACACTGGGAAATTCGTTCTCAATCAGCTCACCGACCCGAGCAATACTGTCCGGGGAGTTGCGGCTGGAATATATGATGTGGGCCGAATAGTCGGTGTAAGCGTTGTCGTTCCAGACACTGAGAAAATCGTGGACGCCGCCTACCAGGTCCCCTTCCCTGGGCGCCGGCGCGAAATCCACCACGGTGGTGGTTCCTCCCCAAATGGCTCCCAAAGAATGTTCCAGCGGCCCAGCGTTGGGAACGCCGGCCACGAGTTGATGGGCGCCCGCCTGCACGTTGGCCGCCGCGTGGATGTGTGGTTCGATGCCGCCAGGCGTAATGATGCGCCCGGACGCGTCCAGCGTGCGCGCCGCATCATCGGTCAGGGTGCCAGGCGCCGCGATGGCGGCGATGCGCCCATCCTGAATACCTATGTCCACCAACGCTGCCTCGGTGGGCAGAACCACCGTGCCTCCGGTAATCATAAGGTCAAACATAATATCCTCCGCCGCTAACCCGTGTTGCGTCATTCTAATTCGGGGCGAACCAGGGCGCAATGGCGCAACTGGGCGCGATCTGCCGGCCTTTTGATCACGTTGGCCGGCGATTCCGGCCCATATGGTGTCACGCGTCCGGATGTCTGATTCTTTGGGCCATCGGCGCTAAAGCCCCGATTTTACCCAGTCGGCCACACGCTCGCTGATCATGATGGTGGTTGCGTTGGTGTTGGCCCGGATTACGTCGGGCATGACCGATGCGTCTGCGACACGCAGGCCCTGGATGCCGTGAACTTCCCCATGTTGCGATACCACCGCCAACGGGTCGGTGGACGGCCCCATCTTGCAGGTGCCGGCGATGTGATGTTGCGTGTAAGCGTTTCGCAATATCCAGTTATCCAGCGTATCGTCGTTTACCAGGTCGGCATCAACCGGGTTGAGCCGCTCCACGATAAATTCTTTGAAAGGCGATTGATCGGCGAGCTCCAGCGCTTTCCGAACCGCCTGCCTCATACGTTCCCGGTCGTACGAGTCGCTGAACAGTTGGTAATCCAGGTCGGGCTGCACCGCTGGATCGGTGGACTGCAACCTGATGCGTCCCGCGGAAACGGCGTTCTGCAAACCAACGCTGAGGCCGAAGTGGAACCCTTCGCCATCGTAGCTGACGCTGGCCGGGCGGTGTTCGCTGGTCATCAGCGTTGGCGTAATTTGGAAATCTGCCCTGGTGGGTGATCCGTCGGCGCTCCAGCGCAAGCCCACCTGGATGTTGGGGGCAAACGTATCGGGTTCATCGCCGTCGCCACGGAAGAGAATATAAGCGGCGGGATGGTCGCGGAAGTTTTGCCCGACGCCCATCAGGTCGCGGTTCACCGGTATGCCCATCTCACGCAGGTGATCCGCTGGGCCGATACCGGAAAGCAGTAGAATCTGCGCGGAGCCGATGGTGCCGCTGCACAAAATTACGTTCTCGCCCTCCACCGTGAATATTTCGCCACCGCTTTCCACCTCCACGCCAACCGCCTTGGTACCTTCCAATACGACGCGGCTGGCAAGGATATTCCCACGTACGGTAAGGTTGAGGCGATGGCGCGCAGTGCTCAGAAAGGTGAGGGATGTGCTCATGCGCACCCCGTCGATGTTGTTCATCGGGCGAGGTGAAATGGCGGTGTAACAGTCAGGAGCATTCTGGTCAGGATGTTCGGGGATGCCCATAGCCACGCAGGCATCGTAGAAGGCGGCGTTGAACGGAAGCCAGTCGCCCCGCTTGGGACGACGTACCGGCAACGGCCCGTCCGATCCGTGGAAATCGTCCCCGCCATAGTCCCAGTCGTTCTCCAGCTTGCGGAAATATGGCAAACAGTCGGTGAATTTCCAATCGTCGTTACCCCACTCTGCCCACAGGTCATAGTCCTCGGGGATTCCCCGGAACACCACCTGGCCGTTGATGGACGATGAACCACCCATAGCCTTGCCGCGTGGGATGACCATTGGCTCGTCCTGTTGTGCATTGGCCCGTCCCCGCAAATCCCAGCTGTGGGGGCCGTAAGCCGAAAGCCAGGTATTGTTGCCCTGTTTCAGATCGGTGGGCAAGTGCTCGAAGTCAGGATAATCCGGGCCCGCTTCCAACAGGATCACCGACTTGTCGGTCATCTCTGACAATCGGGTTGCCATGACGCACCCGGCAGACCCGCCGCCCACCACAATATAGTCGTACTTCATATCTACGCCCTTCTCCCGGGAAGTTCGTTTATGGAATTGAGGCCGAAATTACCGCGGATATTACCAAGGGGGTCGGTAGATCGGCCAACGATTCAATTTTCGCCCTTTAGTCCCATTCCGCGGCCAGTCGCTCACCGACCATGATCACCGTGGCGTGGGTGTTGGCGCGGGGCACCTTCGGCAGGATGCTGGCATCGGCGACCCACAGGCCGTCCACGCCGCGTACCTTCAGGCGCTGATCAACCACGGCGGCAGGGTCGCCGTCGGGACCCATCTTGCAGGTTCCAGACATGTGCCGCGCCGACCCTATGGTGCGTTTCAGCCAACTATCCAGCAAGTCGTCGTCGGCCAACTCCGGATCAGTGGGCGAAACCCAGGCGTCCAGAACCTCAGCGTACGGCGGATAATCCACCAGGCGCCGGCACAGTCGCACCGCCTCCCGCAACCGTTCGCGGTCCCAGTCATTTTCCATGTACCGGTAGTTGAACCTGGGTTGTTGTAACGGATCGGCCGATTGTAATTCCACCTCGCCACTTCCCGCCGGCAGTTCCAGGGCGCAGGACAGCCTGATTCCGCGGTCTGGCAGGACGTCGCCCGACAACGGCGAAAAGATTGAGTTGGTCATTATCATGACGTCGTTGGGCGTGTCGGAACCGGTGGCGGTGTATCGCAAACCGATCCGAATACCCTGGGCATCGGGCGTCAACGTAACACCATCGCGGGCACGCAGTCCCACGCTGGCGATGGGATGGTTCCACAAGTTTTGACCCACGGCCGGCTGGTCCACCAGCACATCAATGTTGTACCGGCGCAGCGACTCGGACGGCCCGATACCGGACAACATCAGCAGATGCGGCGACTTGATGCCACCGGAGCTGAGCACAATACGTTCCGCCTCGATGTTGAACACCTGCCCACCACTCTCCGCTTCGACTCCAACCGCCCGCTGGCCGTTGAATAGAATGCGCCGGGCCACGACGCCGCCCCGCACCGTGAGGTTCAGGCGATGGCGACCTGGATTAAGATGCGTGAGGGCGGTGGACATCCGGACGCCGCCGGGGTTGTTCATCGGAATGGGGCCCACGCCGCCCGGCTCCGGCCCGTTCAGGTCGGCGCAATCGCCGTACCCGGCAGCGCGACAGGATTCATAAAACGCTTTTTGGATCGGCGGCCAGGGTTCGTTATGCCGGCGCACCAGCGGGATCGGGCCGTCCGTGCCGTGAAAATCGTCGTGGATGTCCTGATCGGATTCGAATTTGCGGTAGTACGGCAGCACATCCGTGTACGACCAGCGGTCATTGCCCAACGAAGCCCACAACGCAAAGTCTTCGGGTAGGCCCCGCAGCATCACCTGCCCGTTGATCGAGCTGCCACCACCTATTACTTTGCCCTGGGCAACGTGTATTTCGCCCTGTTCTGCGTTGATGATTCCCCGCAACGACCAGTTATGCGGCCCGTCCTGCCTTTCGGCGTCGCGTGTGTAACCGTACCGCAGTTCATCGGGGAGCAAGGCCGGATCGGGGTAATCAGGCCCCGCCTCCAGCAACAAAACTGCACGGGATGGATCCTCCGAAAGTCGGGAGGCCAGCACGCAGCCGGTAGCGCCGCCACCAACCACTATCACGTCATAACGCATAACTATTCACCGTCTCCGTGGAGATTGACGCTGAGCAGGAAATACCGCTGAATTTCCCCAGAATCCGGGCGATTCTATCACAGCCGACTGACGGATTCGATCCAGTTTTCCATGTACTTCTGCGTTGGGATTACGAGCTGCGCGGCGTATCCCCAACCTTCGCCGGCATCATCCGTCCAATACTTGCCGCGCCCGCTGAAATACCGCATCCAGCATGTCAAGGGTTAGCCTGCCGGTTTGGGTATTTTGTTGGCTGGGATGGTAACAGGCGATCAGCAGGGGGCCGCCATCGGGGAGTTGGGAGGCTACGTTGTGGCCGAAAGGTGGTTTTCTGGATGGCAATGTACCGCCGGCATCTGCGTAGGCTCGCAGGAAAGCATCAAAAGCGATGCGGCCCAGCGCCACGACGACCCGCAAATCCGTAAGAAGTTCAATCTCGCGCGCTATATACGGGCGGCACGTAGCCAGTTCTTCGACGGTGGGTTTGTTGGCCGGAGGGGCGCACCGGGCAGCGGCGCTAATGAGCGCCTGGTTCAATTCCAGCCCGTCACCGGCGCGCACCGACTCGGGCTGGTTAGCGAATCCAGCTCGGTACAGGGCCCCAAACAGCCAATCCCCGCTACGGTCGCCGGTAAACATGCGTCCGGTGCGGTTGCCGCCGTGGGCGGCCGGCGCCAAACCTACAACGAGCAAGCGGGCGTGGGGATCACCGAAGGCAGCCAGTGGAGCTCCCCAATAGGTTTCGTCTCGGTACATACGGCGCTTGACCCGTGCTACTTCCTCCCGCCAATCCACGAGCCTGGGACACGCCCGGCAGGCGATTACGCGTTCCTGCACCCCGACGATGCTGGAAACGTCCGAGACGTTTACCCGGGTGCCCGGCAATGACTCACCGGCCATTTCGTTTCATCACCGGATTAATGCCGAAATCAGCGCTGATGGTCGTGGCCCTCGCCGCCGGCTGGCGCTCCCCAGCCACCGCCACCGGGTGTCCGGATGCTCAAAATGTCGCCCGCCTCCACATCCAGGGTCTCTTTGCCGGCCAGATGCACCTCTTCGTAGCCGCCCCGGAGGAGTACGTTCTCCCCCTGATGGCCGTGGTGCCCTCCGTAATATCCGGGAGGAGCAAAACGCCGCCGCTCCGAGAGCACGGTAACTCGGGCCGGGCTTAGGAACTCCACTTCACGCACCAGGCCATCACCGCCCCGGTGCAATCCGTCGCCGCCGGACCCGCGACGCAGGGAATAGCGACGCAGACGCAGCGGGAACGCGAATTCCAGGGCTTCGACCGGAGTGTTCAACGTATTGGTCATGTGAGTGTGGATGCCGGAAATGCCATCTTTATCCGGCCGGGCTCCCATGCCGCCGCCAATTGTTTCATAGTAAACGTAGGGTTTGTCGCGAGATATGTCGTGGCCACCGATGATCATGTTGTTCATCGTGCCCTGGGACGACGCCGGGATCCGGTCTGGCAGCGCCTGGCTCATGGCGGCCAGTAGCACATCCGTAATGCGCTGGGAGGTTTCCACGTTGCCGCCCGCTACGCCCCGTTGGGGGAGTGGATCGACCAGGCTGCCCCGGGGGGTAATAACTTCTACCGGGCGCAGGCAGCCCTGATTGGCTGGCGCTTCGCTGCCAACCACGCACCTGATGACGTACAGGCTGGCGGACACGGTTACGGCTCGCGGAGCGTTGATGCAACCGGGCCGATGATCGGCGGTACCGGTGAAATCAATGGTCATTCGATCATCTTCCACGGTTACGGCCACCTTAATGACCACGGGTTCTTGAGTCAATCCGTCGTCATCCATGTAGTCAGTCACCCGGTAGGTGCCGTTGGGAATTTCGGCAATGGCGCGGCGGGTGAGCCGTTCAGAATAGTCGAGCAGGGCATCCATGTGCTCATGGGTATCGGGCAGCCCATAGCGTTCGGCAATTTCGGTGAGGCGTTTTTCACCGACGCGGATGGACGCGATCTGTGCGGCCAGGTCGCCTCGCCGATCATCCGGTGTGCGCGAGTTGCGACAGATCAGGGCGATAATCTCCTGGTTGAGTCGTCCACCGCGAGACAACTTCAATGGCGGGATGATCAGTCCTTCCTGGTACAGCTCGGTCGACAGGGGCATCGACCCGGGGGCCATCCCTCCCACATCGGAGTGGTGGCCGCGGTTGCTGACGTATCCAATGAGGGTTTTTGCGCCGTCGGTCTCGATGAAAGCCGGCGCAACCAGCGTAATGTCGGGCAAATGGGAACCACCCAGATACGGGTCGTTCAGGATGACGATATCGCCCTGACGCAGGCCCCGCGGGAAGGTCTGCAGGGCGGCCTGAACCGACGCTGGCATCGCTCCCAGGTGCACGGGTTGATGCGCTGCCTGCGCCACCATCTCGGCCTGCGGGTTGAACAGCGCGCATGAAAAGTCCTGTCGCTCTTTCATGTTTGTGGAGTAGCTGGTCCGCTGCAGCGCCACTCCCATCTCCTCCGAAACGGAGATGAACATGTTTTTGAACACTTCGAGGCTGATGGCATCAACGGACATGGCGGTTATTGACTCCCGGGGATGGCTGGAAAACGGGGTGGCTGCTTGAAGAGACTTTTAGTTAGAAACGAAACCGGCCGGCGACGGACCAATGGTGTTGGCGCGACCACGTCTCTCATATCGCGGCCAACAGATCAACCGCGCCCGGAGGGGTCACCAGCTGATAGAACTCCGTGCCCATCAACATGTTCACTACGTCATCAGGCAATTGGTGGAAAGGACCTGAGTCATGCAGCTGGGTGCGGTGACAGGACAAAGACCGCAATTTCACATCCACCCACTGCATAACATCGACGGTAGTGGTTACGTCTGAGTCTGGAGTACCCAGTTCGTCGATTGCCTCGGCGGCGAACGGGGGTGTGATGTTTCGGTCGGCCATTTCCTGCCACCAGCGGCGAAACACGTCGCGGGGGAAACAGACGTAATACAACAGCGGAGTGGCCCCGTCCGGATCGGCGACGCGGGACACCGCAGCAGTGGCGTGGGCAGACATGGTTATATGATCCGGATGCCCATACCCACCGGTAGGGTCGTGGGTCAGTACAACATGAGGATTGGTCTCCCGCATGATACTTTCCAAATCGGCCAGAACAACGTCGCGGTCGGAGTTGCAATATGCCCGCGGGTGCCGGTTGTCCTCGGTGCCGTCCATCCCGCTATCACGGTAATCCAGGAACCGCACGTCGGGGATGCCGGTGACGTCCATGGCGTTCCGCAATTCCTGTTTACGCACCTGCCAAAGATTCTCGGGAGTGGCCAGCGACGGGTCGCTGATTTCGCCAACATCGCCGTTGGTGGCGCAAACGAGCGTAACCCGGGCGCCGCCGGCGGCCAGCTTGGCCAGCAACCCGCCCGATGCAAACCCCTCATCATCAGGATGCGCAAAACAGGCCAGGACGGAAAGTCGCGACAGGTTGTTGGTTGATGCGCTCATTTCAGACTCACTCGTATCGAATACCAATCAGGCGGGTTCCAGCAGCAGGTTGCCGTAGGGGTCAACTACCCCAGTCCAGTCGGGCGGGATAACGATCGTAGTATCGAGCTGCAGCAACAGCGCCGGCCCTGGAACCCTGTTGCCAGTCTCCAACCGATTCCGATCGTACAATAAGGTGTCCACGCGACCGCCCGGGAAGACAACCTCGGCGGAGCCGGTGGCGGCGTGGGCGGCGTCCCCGCCAACGTACGCGGCAGGTTCCATTTCAGGTTTGTCGACGGGAAGTTCGAGCTTGAGCCGCAGGTTGACTACCTCGATGGGCAGGGAACGGTCGGCATACCCGAATCGTTGCAGGTGGGAAGCATAGAAACCGGAGGAAATAGTGCGGGTCAGATCGCCGCGACCGGTGAGAGACGGGCAATCCACTGTTATCTCGAATGACTGGCCCACGTAACGCACATCAAGGAACCGGCGAGCGGTCATGCCATCTGCCGGCAAACCCTCTTCGAAAAGCTCCGCTCTCGCCTGGCCTTCCATGCCGTGGAACTCCTCTTCGAGCCGGTCTTTGTCCAGGGCATCGCCGCGCAACATTACGGTACGCGAATAATTCTTGACCACGTCGGCGATGGCTACGCCCAACGCCGACAGGATGCCAGGATGAGCAGGAACCAAAACTCTGGGGATTCCCAGTTCAGCAGCCAGTTCGCAGGCGTGCATTGGCCCGGCTCCGCCGAACGGGACCAGCGTAAACTCCCGCGGGTCGTAGCCACGTTCCAAGGATATGGAACGGATGGCGCGTTCCATGTTGGAGTTGACGACGCGAATGATTCCCAACGCCGTATCGGTTACCGAAGCGCCCACATCGCCCGACAAATCAGCCATCAACCCTTCTGCCCGCTCCCGGTCCAGCACCATCCGGCCGCCGAGAAATTCGTCGGCACGCAATCGACCCAGCGTGAGATTGGCGTCGGTAACCGTGATCCTGTCGCCGTGGCCATAGCATGCTGGTCCGGGCTCAGCGCCCGCCGATTGCGGGCCAACCACCAGGGCGCCACCTGAATCAACCCGCGCAATCGACCCTCCGCCAGCTCCCACCGTGTGGATTTCTATCATGGGGACGCTGACCGGATATCCGCCCAAATTTGCCGATGTGGTTTCTTTGATACGACCCGGACACAGGGAGACGTCGGTAGAGGTCCCACCCATATCCAGGGTAATGATGTCGGGAAAGCCGGCCTGCACGCCAGTATAAAAAGCGCCAACCACGCCGCCGGCCGGCCCGCTCAGAATAGTTCTAACCGGCTGCTCGGCCCCCAGGCGCGCGGTGATACTGCCACCGGATGATTGCATAATGCGCAGCCCGCTTCCCAAAACCTCTTCCAGTTCGGTCAAATACCGGGCCATCACCGGGCCCACGTACGAATTGACAACCACCGTGCTGGTCCGCTCGTATTCACGAAATTCCGGCAGTATCCTGGAAGATATGGAGATGAACGGGCGACCGGGAAGCCGGGATAAATGGTTGGCCAGAATTTCCTCATGGGCCGGGTTCAGAAACGAGAACAGGAAAGATACGGCAATACCATCCACATCTTCCTGTTCCAGCAGCGTCAACAGGGACTGCACAGATTCTGGGGTCAGGTCCTCCAGGATGGCGCCGGTGTAGTCAACGCGCTCCAGCAACCCGAAGCGCAATTCCGAAGGGGCCAACGGTGGCGGCCTTTCCATTGACAGGTCATAGAGGTCGGCCCGATTTTGCCGGCCGATTTCCAGAACGTCCTCAAACCCCAGGGTAGTAACCAGCGCGGTGCGTCCGCCCTTGCCTTCCAGCAGGGCGTTGGTGGCGACCGTGCTGCCGTGGACGAAGTCTGCATCGTTCACGTTGACGCCCGTGTCGGTAATGCCCGTGACAATGCCGTGCGACGGATTTGACGGCGTGGAAGGCAGTTTATGAATGACCAGACGGCCATTCTCCAGAACGGCTATATCGGTGAAGGTCCCGCCGACATCAATGCCAACAACGGTTCGCGTCATCTCGGCGTTGACCCCGCGATTGCCTCGCGGCATATCCAGAAATCACAGGCGTGGTGAGCCACTATTTCCCCTCTTCCAGCTCGATTCGCAATCTCTTGTTTATTCGCCCCTTGCTCTCGTGTCCAACCACCCGTATACGACCCACCTCGCGAGTGTTGCGGACGTGGGTGCCACCGTCGGCCTGAAGGTCAAGTCCCGTTATATCGATAGTGCGAACTTCGGAGATAGCCGGCGGGAGCAGGTTTACTTTGGTGCGGATCAGGTCGGGGTGAGCATCGGCGGCAGATCTATGGAGGTAGTCAACGTTGATATCCCTCTCCTGAGCAACTTCCAGGTTTATGGTCGTCTCTATTTCGTGAGCGAATTCGGCGGACATATTTTCGAGTTCGAAATCCATGCGAGCGGCCCCCGGGCGCATATCGCCGCCGGTTACCAGGGCGCCGTAATCACGCCATACCACTCCGCAAAGGATATGCAGCGCGGTGTGCGTGCGCATCAGTTGGTAGCGCCGGTCCCAATCTATAGCAGCGCGTACGGTTGTTCCTACCGTCAAGGCTGGTTCACCTGGCACCGTGTGAACCACCGACCCACTCACCCGGCCAACTTTGGTAACGGCGCACGAATTTCCCGTCGCGAGATCCGTCAGGGTTCCCGTATCGCACGGTTGACCGCCACCGCCGGCGTAAAATACCGTTTGATCCAAAATCACCCCACCGTCGTCCGAAACCCCGGTCACGACCGCGTCGGTTTGCTGCATATATGCATCATCCAGGAACAACAGCTTGGTCATCGTCTCCTCGCCAAAAGATCAGGTTATCGGTGGATGCCGCCCATTGTTAGCGCAACGGTTATTATAGCAACGGTGATTCCGTCGTGGGGCTGGCATTCGCCAGCGTGATATAATTCACAAAATTCTGCATTGATAAGGTTTTTCAATGATGAAACTGTCTTGCCTTCAGGAAAACCTTGCCCGAGGGTTGGCCACGGTAGGTCGCGCGGTCGCCAGCCGGTCAACGCTTCCGATTACGCAAAACGTCCTGCTCAAGACCGACCAGGGCATGCTGATGCTGTCCGCCACCAACCTGGAAATTGCCATAACCACCTGGATCGGCGCAATGATAGAAGAAGAAGGCGCAATCACGGTCCCGCACCGCCTGCTCGCCGACCTGGTGAATTCCCTCCCCAACGACCGCATCGACCTTGACCTGGAAGGTCCAGACGTCGAAGGCGAAGATGGGACAACCGTAGCCGGGAACGTGCTGCATCTGACCTGCGGCCGCGCGGTGGCCCACATGAACGGCGCTGATCCCGCAGATTTCCCACCGGTGCCGCAGGTCGGAGAGGGCACTGCAACCAACATCGACCCCGCGGTTCTGCGCTCGGGAATCGGATTGGTGGCTTTCTCGGCGGCCAGTGACGAGTCGCGTCCGGTTCTGACTGGTGTCGAAGTCAAACTGCATGAGTCCAGCCTGGTGATGGCCGCTGCGGATGGTTTCCGATTGGCGGTGTACACGGGCCAACTGGCTCAACCGGTCGAACAGGACCTCCAGGTCATCGTGCCGGCTCGCACGTTGCAGGAAGTACAGCGGTTGGTATCGGAACAGACCGCCCCGGTGCAGGTAACGCTTTCGCCGGAGCGGGGCCAGGTGATGTTCAAATTGGAAAACGTTGAACTGGTTTCTCAACTATTACAGGGAAGTTTTCCCAATTACGAACAATTGATTCCCGCGAGCTACGAAACCAGGGCGGTGATGGAACTGGACGATTTGAAGAGGGCCACACAGTCCGCCGCTGTGTTCGCCCGCGACGGCAGCAATATCGTGCGCATGGAGATGATGCCGGAAGGGTCCACCGAAGGCGGCCGTCTCAAGGTCTCCGCCCGGTCTGAAGAAGTTGGGGACAATCTGGATGAACTGGATATCGAGCAGATGGATGGTGAGGACGCCAAGATCGCGTTCAACGTCCGATACCTGCAAGACATCGTGAACGTGTTGGGGCGGGGCAAAGTCGCCATCGAAGTCACCAACTCATCCAGCCCGGGAGTATTCGTCCGGCCGAATCAGACAGCTATGTGCACGTCGTGATGCCAATGTACGTTCAGTGGTGAATACCCGGGGGTCGACGACCCCCATCACCACCATCCGTTCTTTCGTGCCCACAATGCGGATCTTGAACCGGCGCAACAGCGCCCTTACTCCGTCACTATCCAGATTGTCAACCGCCTCGGCGAAACGCTCGAAGCACGCCCGGATTCTGCTCTCCACCTCCACCGCATCCTCGTTCAACCTTTGCTGCTTTTCCAGTAATTCCAACTCCCGCAGATAACCGTCCTCCAAGTTGTTGATCGGACGGATCAAGTTCTCGAACATATCCTGATTAATCAACTCCTTAGCTCTTTGCATCGCAAGGATCTCGTCTGATTCGTGCATTTCCCGATCTCCCGTTTGAGGCGCTTGATCTCCTGGCCTAGCAGCGTGTCCGAGAAAAACGGTTGTTGAGACGTTTCGGGTATGATGGGGGCGAGCATCAAACCAGCGGAGCCTTCGATGAGCAAGACCTACCTTCCCTACGATCCCAACCAGCAATTGCTGCTTCCCGCGGCCCTGCAGGAGTGGCTGCCTGATGACCATCTGGCCTACTTCATCTCCGACGTGGTCGACCAGCTGGACCTCTCGGAGATCACGTCGCGTTACGAGCAGGAAAGACGCGGTGGGCCGCCCTATAATCCGCAGATGATGGTGAAGGTGCTGCTCTACGGCTACTGCATCGGGGTAGCTTCGTCGCGGCGCATTGCCCAGCGGCTCCACGAGGACATTGCCTTTCGGGTGTTGGCGGCGAACAACACGCCCGATTTCCGCACCATCTCCGACTTTCGCAAGGACCACCGGGCGGCGCTGTCGGGGCTGTTTCTGCAGGTGCTGGAGTTGTGTCAGCGGGCGGGGCTGGTGAAGCTGGGTCACGTGGCGCTGGACGGCACCAAGGTCAGGGCCAACGCATCGAAGCACAAGGTGATGAGTTATAAGCGGATGAAAGAGAAAGAAGCGCAGTTGGCGGCGGAGGTGGCGGAGTTGCTGCGGCGGGCCCAGGAGGTGGATGAGGAAGAGGACCGTAGGTACGGCAAGGACAAGCGCGGGGACGAGTTGCCGGAGGAGCTGGCCTTTCGGGAGGGTCGGTTGGAGAAGATACGGGAGGCGATGGCGGCGTTGGAAGCCGCGGCCCAGGCGGCGGCGGAACAGGCCGAGGTCGAAGGTAAGACCCATCCTGGGGAGCCCGAGGACAAGGTCCCAGCGCAACTTCACCGATGCTGAGTCCCGCATCATGCCTGGGCCGGGTGGCCGGGACTTCCAGCAGGCGTACAACTGTCAGGCGGTGGTGGACAGCGCCCACCAGGTCATCGTGGCGGCCCGGGCCACCAACCAGTCCTCGGACAAGAAGCAGGCCGTGGTCATGATTGAGGAAACCATCAGCAACACCGGCGTCATGCCCAGGGAAGTATCCGCCGACGCTGTCCGACTGCCCCGACGCGCCAGTATCCCAGTAGCTGTCCGCAAAGGTTCCGAGGCTCGACCCGATCAGGCCGCCGATGTAGTTACCTCCGGCTTCTCCCGAGACTGGTCCGGTGGCATAGCTGTCGGTGATCCCCGGTATCCCCGGTGTAGCCCACCAGCCCTCCGAAGCCGTTGAACACAATACTCCTGGACTCCACAAGGATGCCGCCCACCGCCGTGACACTGCCCGTGGCGTAACTGGCCATGATGGACTCACCGCTGTTGCCCGTGAGACCGCCGACATATCCACCGTGGGCTGAAACGTCGGCGGAGGCTTAGCTGGCTACGATGCTGCCCACGACGTTGCTGCCGAGCAGACCCCTACCCACCAGGTGCCCACTACCGACCCTCCCGACGTATAACTCATTGAAACCTTACCTAGGTGTTCGCCGGCCAGGGTGCCCGTGAGCTGATCGCCGGTAATGTGCGGCGACTCCAGACCCACGTTGCGGATCACGCTGCCGTAACCGGTAGCGCCAAAAGGCCAACGTAGTCGGTGCTGGGGCGGTTGATTAAAGACGTTGGAGATGGTGTGGCCGTTGCCGTGCAAGGTGGCTTCAAAGGGATTCCTGGAGCGACCCCCGATGGATTGCAAGCCCTTGCCGCCGTTCCAGTAATGGTCGCCCGACCCGGCGGAACCGTCACCGTTGGTATCCAAGTCCAGGTTGGAGATCAATTCGTAGCCGATGCACCCCGATGAGGTACAACCCATCCCGGCCGAGACGCCCACAAAAACCATGGAGTAAGCGCGGTTCGTAGAGTCGCCGTCTCCGTCCAGGTCCCAGCGGATGGCGTCCAACTGCCGCAAGGTGGAGACTTCTATCAACCCGTCATCATCCGCATCGTAATCAAAGTGCGCCGGTGGTAACTTTGCGAATCCCCATCCCCATGTATTATTGGTTGCAATCCCCCTGCGTTCGGCGCCGTGGGTAAGATAATCCACCACTTCGGGCGGGCTAAGGTAGGGAACTGCCTGGCGGACCGAAGCAAACGAGGCCAGCCAAATGCGGCGCTGCCTGGCTGGTCCCATTAAAAATGCCATCCCACGCTGTTGAATATCCCTGATCCAGGCCGACCAGATCCGGTTTGGTTCTACCGTCTGGCGTGGGCCCTACACTGCTAAAATATTCTATCTGCAATGGGGTTCGCCAATCCATCGCTCCGATTGCCATCATGCCGCGGTTGGCGCTTTCGGCCGGGTTGCCTATACTTCCGTGCGTATAGTACGTGTACGTATGCTGGTTGACCGTTTGCAGTTGCATCCACGTCGGCATGGGGCCGGAGTACAGCTTTACTTGGATGTAGTACTGGCCGTCCTGGCTGGGTGTCCAGGAGATCCATTCATATGGGGTGTCGCCGGGGTTTCCAGATTGGTGCGCGTGGCTCTGCCAGGCTATGCTGCCATCCGAATGGAACAGATACAGGTCTAGCAGGATGTTGAAATGGGGTGGTTGAATGGTGGGGTGCAGTATTCGGGCGTCGTAATATCACACGCTGGCGTCTGCGATCCGGGGTCTGAGGTCTGGTTGACGCTGGTCTCAGACCGATTTAGGAGCTTTCCAGCATGGTGAGCCGGTTCAGGACAGACTGATCCCACGGCTCACGCTGTGGCCGCCGTCAGTTTGGCCAGTCGCACCAGGTTGTAGGCGGCGATAGTCATTTCCGCCCACAAGCGGTTGCGGGCAATCCCGCAGCAGCGCAACTTCCTCCCTACGGCTACCGTGTTGATCCAGCCGAATACTTCCTCCACGCGCTTGCGTGCCCGTTGACTGACCCGGTAGCTCTCGTGGCGAGTGGTGCGCCCGTTGATGGCCGAACGCTGCTTCTGGGCCACATGCGGCGTTACCTTCAGGTTTCGGCATTCCTTGACAAAGCCCCTGGTGTCGCAGCCACCGTCGGCGCCCACAGTGATGCGTCGGATGCCCGGCGCCGACGCCAGCATCTCCACCGCCGCGTCCCGTTCCCCGGCGCCGTCGGCAGGCGTGAGTCGCACGTCCACCACCAAGCCTTCCCGATTGTCCATCAGCACGTGGGCGCCGAAACACAGCCGTGCTTCCTTGCCTTTACCCTTCCTGGCCAGCCGAGCCTCGGGGTCGGTGGTGGACCGGTGGGTCTCATTGCGCCGCCGCTCACCCCGAAAGTCCACTTCCCGATTGCGACCGCCGCCGCCGTCCCCCAAGGCTGCACTCGGCGGTGGGTCTCCGTCCCGGGGACGGAAACTCTTCAGCGATGCCCAGGCGTC